GTGAGGTAGGGACAAGACGCAGAGAGGGGGAAAACATGAAAAGAAAGCGGAACAGAGGGATTTTTTTTTTCTTCTTCCTTTTTCNGACCTCATGGGCTCTTTAAAAATTCAAACATGCCAAAAGAGCACCGCGGGAGTCATCCTGCAGGTCAAGAGTGAGGTAGGGACAAGACGCAGAGAGGGGGAAAACATGAAAAGAAAGCGGAACAGAGGGATTTTTTTTTTCTTCTTCCTTTTTCCCCCAAGAACGAGAGTAAAGTCCGGCACTCTAGAGCTTAAAGGAACTGAGAGAGTGAATTTTACATTTCCTGACAAAAACAGTAGCTCAAGCAGAAAAAAAGGGATCATGGATGGAGAGAGGGTTACATGTGTGTGTATGTCTGTGTGTGTGTGTGTGTGTGGGGAGTGGGGGGGGGCATGTACTGACATGGTGGTCGGGCGCTGGATGCTCCAGTAAGGTGACCCACTTACACAGAACCCCCCCCCCCCCCCCCCCACCCCCCCCCCCCCCCCAGAACCATACACCACTTACACATTAACTTACACATGCCTTGCCACCACTCGCTGAACACATCTCGCACCTCACCCGTCGGAACTAGATGCTGGCGCCCATTCATACAGTAATGTTTTCGAAGATTGTGGAATGAGCGGGCAGTGGTGTGTTTGGTTGTGTTGTGGTGTGCTGTTGGGCTTGTGTGTGTGTGCGTGGCGGGGGTTAAGAGAGATGTAGCAACAGCAGAGAAGAAGATACGGGATTAAAGGATACAAGTAGAGGAAACAAAAAAAAAGGGAAACAAATTGAGGACACAGCAGATGTACAGTAGGTAAGATGTATGTGGGGAGTACACACCAGGTGTCCCTTTGGATCAAAATAAATGAAAAGAGAATGTGGTACCTTGTTAAAAGTGTGTGTCTGTGAGCATGTTTCCATCCCCACTAATCTAGTACAGCCATTGACTCTGTGTCCCACCATGACATTCAGCAGAAAGGTCAACTCCTTGCTGGTATGTACGAGATAACAGGCCAGACACATCTATAGTCCTCCACAGAAAAACAGTGAGATAATATAAGATATCACCGCACAAAGGAAGAGGTGACGAACCTGAGTTTATTATGCATCCTTATCATTCATGTATGAATATCTGATTGGCATCCACTGTGAATAGGTGGCTCGCATGGAGCAATCAGCGCACTGGGAATTAACTCATTCACAACTTCAGAGGACTCAGAGAAAACAAGAGAGTGAGTACAACTTAATAGAGGATATAAAATATCACCATCTAGTGGACAAAATAAATAACAGCAGATTTTTCTTCACAGTTCACTGGACAGAATATTTCCAGCCATCAGTAAACTACACTACAGCAGGGATTTCAGCTCTAAATATGTTACAGTCTGTCATCAGTCAGTATCTCAAAATTGTCTATATTGCTATAAAAGTGTAATATGTTCATATACCTTCCTGCAGTGAGGGGGGCGAGGCTCATCTGACTACATTGTGACAACAGCGGCACAGCTAGCGCACATTTTTAATAAAAGAAAAGAAAACAAGCATGTAGTATGATAGGTCTACTACACATTGTGGTCTCCTGATCTGAAGATCTGATTTGTGCACAAGAGCCATCATCAGAAAAGTATAATTTTCTCTTTCAGTGGGCTTTTCTTGACAGGGCTGAACAGTAAGTACTCTTATGTGACAGCTGTCCTTCAAAAATGCTGCTTCCAAGATGAGTGAAAGCAAACATCTACATACAAGACTACTCTGCACAGCTACATCCTCACACCATACAACCTGATCCTCTGCGGTGGGTGATGTTTGCAAATTAAGTGCAGAAAGCAAAAGGAATAATGGAGAATTATTTATGAGCGAGCAGGTATCAGTTCATTGCCTTGTTCAAGATCTGATGATGATCGACACTCAATTTCCAGGTATGAAAGGCTTTCTAGGGATGAGCAATGTAAGTTTATAGAGCCACAATTGTAAAGGGGAAAAATTGCAACCAAGAATGGCTACATGATTTAAGAGCATTCAACTTAAATAAATTAAGAATCGCTGACATCTAACATTAATAACACAAAACTTGCATCACAAACTGGGGCATAAAGTTTAAAAGAAGTCCGCACTTACCAGGAAGTGGAAGACTAACAAAAGATGGTTTTGAGTTGCATTAAGGCAAACGAAGGATCTAGAGACTGCTCTTTCACCGCTCAACCTAGCGTAAACAGCATGGTGGATCGTAACCGCAGATGTGCTTCCAGCCCCAGTTTGCCCTTTTTTCCCCCCCGATTTCTATGTGGGAAAACCATGTTAAACAAAAATATTAATCAGTATTTTTACATAGTTTAAAAACATGTCTAGAGAGGAATTTAAATCTTGACCCATGTTAGGCAATACAGACTCAGGATCTCTCTTTGGAGTGTTGCTCAGGACTAAAGCTGAGACCAGAACTGACCCAACCCATCAAAACTTTTTGTTTAATTTCATTCATTACTGACGGTTAGCTCGCAAGGCTAAATCAACACATAGGCTACACTCTCTTTCCATCTTCTGGGCACTCTAGGCCTACTCACTGAGCATCGCATATCCATTTGAGACAATATATGACATGCAAAGATGCAGATGACTGGCAGTGTCAGAGAGATGATTCCCATTTGAAGATAAGCAGAGCCTGAAGTTTTATGCACCAAACTGGTTGCATCAGATAGCAAAACTAATTCTGACTTAATGGGAGTGAACTACATCGCTGGAGTACCGCTTGGAAGAGTTCAACATTTTGGGAAATATAGTTATTCACTGTCTTGTATAAAGTTAAACAGGAAATCGACACTTTTCATGCTTAGTTTAGCATTGCATAGCTTAGTTTATACTGGAAATGGAGGAGCCGTTTGAATGAAAGAAATCCACCTACTAGTAACTCTTATGCACACTAATTAACTTTTAACATTTTGTTTGTTTAATCCATACAAAAACCAAAGAGCAAAAACAACAAGCTGTGGATTAAACAAGTGAGATAAGACGTGTTAACGACTGAGTTTTGGATGTGCTGGGAGCAGATTTTGTTGCCTTTAGCAAGATTAGTTGTTTCCAAAGTAACCAGAGAGAATAACCATGACATAAAGGTTTTCATGAACATGATCTTCAGTATTTTTTAATGGAATTTTTTTTTTTATACAACCGGAGGTTTAAAACACTATTGATCAGCCTCTGATCACATGCATCTCTAAAAGACAAACACTCCAACTTCAGCAGAAATGATTTACTTTGTGGTGGAACAACTTCAGCATCACTGCTCAATTGGTAACGGGGTAGTGTAATGGGTACTACAGTAGGGGAAGAGTGGAAAACACTTGGCTGCTGTGCTGAATATGTAAATGTAATCAACCATCCAAAGATCATCATATGATCTGTCAGTGGAGCATGAGGTTTGGTGCTGCTGTAGGTCTTCATCAGCTAGAGAGAGAAATGCAAACAGTGGTTTAGACAGCTGTATTTATTATTCAGACATTTAGAATAATTATTCATCATATATCAGGTAACACAGTGTGGAGCTGCACAGGATGAAGTGGAAAGAAAAAAAAAGTGTTATCAATCAGCCCTGGTTCTGATTCATGTGACTGCAAAGTCATGCAGGGTTTCAGCAATACAGTAAGTCATGTGAACACAACCGATAAATGCATTCAAATGTGTTCAATCATAATGATCTAGTGCACACTATAAATGCTTTCTGAAGCCTGAGCACATTTAAATTCATGTGAAGAATTCAAACTGGACCTCAGTGGGTGCCATCTCTAGTGAAACAGCGTAATAGCACTGTTGTTAGACCCCAACAGCAAACCATGTCAAGGTGGAGAGTGTGTACACACGTTAATCGTGAAAGTCAACACATCAATATTGCAGTGTCTGAACATGCAGATAATCTCTGTTTGTTCTGGTGATGAGGCAGACCACAGGAGGCAGATACACGCTCTGCTTTGCTGTACGACACCCCTTCAAGGATTGACTATGTTAATGCCACTGACTGATATGCTTAAGATGCTATGATACTGATGGAGAATGCACTGATGTTTTCATGACATTCTCAGCAGTTATAACATGGGAGATAATGAAGCACTTGGGCATATTAAACAGCTCTGCAGAGCGTTCTTTCCAATTTCAAGATAACTCCCAGTTACACTATTAGAGCAATCTCTATTAAAGCCTCCCGCCATAAAGGGAAAAAACAGATTCAAATAAATCATTAAATTCATAATGTAAGGCAGTCTGAGTAGAGCATCTGTCTACTTTGCATCATTTTGCTGCATTTTAATAGCTGTAAAACAAACCAAAAAAAACATAGCATGCCATTCTTTTAGCCTACTTCTAGGCTACTTTATTAATTGGTACAACAGTTGACTATTTAATAATATTTCATATTATGGGTAGATTACACGTGTATAAAAACTATAGTGACACTGTACTTGTGTTATTGCTGCCGCCTGTCGTGTATCTACTGCATGTTCATTTTAAATGGAACTTGTGTCGTCATTCGGCCGTTAAGTGTCGCTTTTCAGCAATAAAAAAGGAAATAAAAATGTGAAAACACACAACAACAAAAAAACCCTGAATTAAAAGTTCAATCAAGGAATTATTATCTATATGACCTAATTGGTAGTAGTAACATTATGTGAAAACAGTTCAAAAGGAAAAAATTTTTACATGTTTGCTGTCTTAAATATATGAAAGACTGTTCCCTTAATCAGATTAACTATCAAATGTAACAAATAATCATTGTATCAATCATGCTCGTCAATAATAATTTATGTGTCTTTGAAGCAAAATAAAAAACTAACTAAATTTCAAGAGAAATCTTATTGATAATCAATACTACACGTAGCTGACCTTGGATCAGATTTCTACTCCCCTCCTCGCTTTCACTAATGGAAGCTGGTGGTTACAGTCTGATCCCAGGTCGGTGTTCTCTGCGTGCCGCCAGCCGGTGACCACGTGTCTCTGTCCGGCCTGCCAGACGACCATGTGGAGCAGCAAGATGGCGGCGCGGTGGAGGGGAAAAGACGGGGATTTAAATGCCGACAACAGCGACTTTCTGCTCAGCAACACCCCTAACGAGGTACCGGTTTCCTCACTTTAGCTGGTTTGGCATCGAAATAACCGCACGCGGGCAGGTTCCGGTGGTTTAATAGGAAGTGCTTCGCCGGCGCGTAAGGCCACATGTGCCGAGAGCGACACGTGGCTTAAACAGGCTAGTAGTACTACTGAGGCGGTGAGCAGGGTGGTGGCTCATCTGACCCATTAGCCTGCTATTTGGACCATGTCGGCACGGAAAACGCCTTAATGATGAGTTAATACATATCGTTAGTTTTCCGTTCATGTCGAACATCACCGCTTTTATAAAGATTAAGCAAGCGAAAGCTGACGGGGAAACCGGTTAGTTTTCTCGGGAGTACGAGATGTTCCGATACGGCTGCACCGTCACCACTCCTGCTATCTACTCTGTACACTTCACTTCTTTTTATATGATTCAGTACTCTCACTTTACCCTCTTCTTTTGCTGTCTCAAGCTTAATCTTAAATTGTCTCCTGACTGGCAACAGCATAAACTGTCGTGCTGCAACTTAAAACCCCCAAAATGTCCAGTTACAGCAGCACAGGCCGTCAGAGCTCTGGATCCTACTTCCCAGAGCTGGTGTTGAGGTTGTGACTTTAAGGCCTCTTGTCCCCTCAGTCTGCCACTGCCCTGCAAACTTCTGGTCTAATAAAACTTTACAAACTCACTGACAGACTGATTTTAGACTGAGGCCTCACTTTGCAAACATTTTGTAGAGAAAATCTTGGCACTTCGACAGTGTCACTCTTCCTGCTGCTCTTTACATATACAGACGTTCCTATGGGTTCATATTAAGGTATTAACACACTGAAACAGTTGTGTTTATTTTATCAAATGTTCAGTTGTTTAGATACAAACAGAACTACTACAATTAATCGATTAATTGATCAGAGACTATTTTGATAATCAAATATTTGTCATTTTTCAAGCTAAAAAAACCCAAACATTTGGTGTTTCTCAAATGTCAGGATTTGATACTTTTCTTTGTCTTACATGATAGTAATATAATGTTTAGATTTTGGATTGTTGGTCAGACAAGACATGACATCTGAAGACATCACCATGAGCAGGCGTCTTGCTATTTTCTCACATTTTATAGATAAAATGAATAATCGTGAAACAAAAAGATGAATCGATAATGAAAATCATCGTTACCTGGCGACAGGTATACAGTAAACATCAATACCACACACCTTAGTATTTATAGCTGAAGCTCTTCTGCAGTGCTTGTCCCCACAGGCCTTTAACATACACAAAACTCAACAATAAAATGAGCACAGAAACAATTATAAAATAACCATAAAACCTTAACAGTGCACTGGTGTTACAGTATTGCAGTTGCAGATTTATGTTCAGCTAGGTCTGCAGCTGTTTAAAGTGAGAAGTGGATTGATGGAAAATTCAGCTAGAATTCAATTAATCATTTAAGTCCCTTTTTAAGCAAAAATGCCAAAAGTTCACTGGTTCCAAAACCGAATATCTTTGGGATTTGGACTGTCAGTATGACGAACCATGACATTTAGATGTCAGCTTGGGCTTTAAGAGATTTTGATCTGTATTTTTACTGTCTTTGGGCATGCCACTGACCAAATGCCTTATCAAGATAATAAAGAGAAAAAATCATTAGTTGCAGTAAGGTTTTATTCTTTTTTTTAACCTGTTTTTAACCATTTTATCTTGTAGTTAGATAGAGTTCTTTCTACAAAAGTATATGTAGTGTAGCTCATTGACAGCGTCTGAAACATGGATTAAGCCTTGGCTTTCCCTCGATGTTTTTTCATTGCGGTTTTGTCAGAACAGGCAGCTCTTCCTGTTTATGCTGAGAAAGTTAATTTTGAGTTTAATGCCTCCTGTGCCTCAGTTCCTGTTCACACCCAGAGGAAGGAGTGTATTGTAAAATTGCAGGAGGTAGAAATAGTCCAGATCGGTGTGCGTGCACATTTACACAACATGGGATTAATATAGTTTTTCTGCTTGTCTGTGTCCCTGCAGTTGGTCCTGAGCAGAGGTGATGTTGAAGGTGTGAACATGGACGCACAGTCTTGTACCGATCATTCCATCTTGGCCATTTTTGAGGACTCCACAGTCGCATCAGAGGTCAGTGTTCAAGCTTATGAATCTGAATGATTGCACATCATCACAGTCAAAAGCTATTGTGAGGCGCATCCCTGCAAGTGTCTACATCTCAGACATTTATAACATCCTTTAACATGTCTCCGTGTTTGCGATCGTACGGTTTGTGACACTTGTGGTCGGCTCTACTTCACGGTCCAAAATATTTGAGTTGTAGGATTTGACAGATGAATCAATAAATGTGGACACTGCTGTGTTTTTTCAGGGTAAGAGTGGAGTGGAGGAAGAGAGTGAGACCCTGCTGTCGGCCCTGTCTGAGATGCTGGACAGTGTGGAGGATGACGACGGGTCTCCCTTTGATGTTCTACCAGACACTAAGTTCCTGAACCACCCACAGTGCAGGGACAACTCAGTGGTGGGTTCATACACTGCAGCAGCAAACAGAACGACTTATCTGCTGACTTCACATGTTCATTCATGATCATTACACTGAAAAGATACAACAACTTTTTGAATGTGCCTGGTGAAAGCCATTTTGCTGTACGATAACGTCCATAGATATGAGTCACATGCACTTTAAGAAACTGCACGTGCTGAATTGAGTTGAAAAAGTGAAGTTCTTTCAAAATGTGTAGTTTCATTATTCATTTTTCTGCTTCCCAAAGATTAAACACTGAAGATCTGAACCATTCTTTCCTTCTCTTTAGGCAATTTCACTTAGTGACAGACTGAGGCCAAGACCCAAATCACCAAATGTAACATTCACTATAAAGAGGGATGAAGAGAAGGAAAAGGACAACAGAAGCGAGAGAGGCAGCCTCCCACAGCTGTTCACACAACAAACTCAAACATTGTTTCACTCCCAAACTAAGAAAGCAGAGAATGAAGTCGAGGTCTTCACCTCGACTTCTCTCGTCAACCTGGTCCGGCTCATGCACTCCTACTGTCTGAAGCTGCATGTGGAGGAGGGAGATAAACCGGGGAAAAACCGCACATTATTCTCCCAGGAGGAGGTGTGGAGGTATGAGAGGCCCACCGAAGAGAGCGATGAAGAGATAAATGTCGTATCTGATGATGAGGAACCCGTGAAAAAGACAAAGGGGGAAGAAGAGGGAGATGAAAAAAGAGATGATGGTAAACTCCTGAAGAGTGTGTTGCTGAATGGAAACTCCCCCAGAGCACCACCATGCAGAGAGAAGAAAAGAGTGAGCTTTGGCCCCGTTCAAGTGGCTTCATTTAACCAATCAGTGGAAAAGGCACTGAACGAGAAAAATCTAACAAGTGAGACTGTGCCAGCTCCACTGTCCAGCACAAAGGCACTTGGAAATCCAGCTGGGTCAGCACTTGAACCCCAGACAACACCGTCCTCAGGAACGAACAGCGACTTGTCTGATGCTCTGCCGTCTAAAGGTGAGACAAAGGTCAAATCACTCAGCCTCCAACAGTACAGACAGCTGCGCCAGAAGAGACAGCCCCTGGTGGAGAAACAGGGGAACTACACAACCAAGTGGCCCTCTGTTTCTGAGCCCCCCAAGGAGTTGCCCCCCATCCTCTGTTCACAGGGACATAGACAAAATAGCTGCGAACCAAAGACAGCACACCCCTGTTTAAACCATACCAGAGTCAGTACTGATCATCTCCAGAAGCCTGGTTCCAAGGCTGCATCCCATCGTGCCTCTCCACCACAGAGGCCTAGTCCCTCAAAGGCAAAATCATCCACTCATCTACGCTGCAGCGGACTGAAGCGCCCAAGAACCGAATCCAAAACCATCTCACCTGCTGGTCCTCTGCCAGACGTCACAACTAACCCAAGCGTGAATGCGCCTGAAAGCAAAAACAGTCCAGTAAAGAAGCTGACGTTGCTTAGTAGCGATCCCCCGAATCCTGTCCTCGTCCCCCTGCCACTCAGCCAAACAGCGTCACCGTCCACCGCCCACTCCTCATCAAAGTCTAAAGTGGAGTTCATCAGCATAGACTCCGACCTCCAGAGCACCACCCACTCAGAAGAAATCCAACATGAATCCTCAGCAGCATCTCCTCAAAGACAGACATCCTCCTCCGAGCCAAAGCCCCACGTGTTGTTAGTAAACCAGGACGGCGCCGCCCTGCTTCAGGAAATGAAAAACAAGTTTACCAAGATAGCGTCAGATGTCTACTCTAGATCTCCCGCACTTTGTCCTGCCCCAACACGACCTGAATCTGCCTCAGAGTACAATAAACCACAGCCACAAAAATACAGTGCGAGCCCAACAGAAGGAACCGAGCTGGAACCAAAGCTTCCTCAGTCAGCAGGTCCGGATCCAGTGCGGCGTATAAAGTGTCCCTCCCCCACGCCGTGCTCTACTCAGCCACCTTCTCCCGTAGATGCTCCAGAGGTTCCCCCAAGTATATGTTCTCCGCAGGAACCACGGCCCTCTCTTCAGGTTGGCTGTGGAGGGCAGACTGCGACATCTGACTCTGGTAAACCATAGAGATGTAAAATCTGACATAATAAAGGCAGTGAAGCTGATTTATTGAGTTAATGTTACTCTTGTTGTTCCACTTCAGGGATTGAAGCCCCTGATCTGACCAGCCTGCTGGAACAGTTTGAGGAAACACAAGGTGAGTGCTGAGACTCCTGGTACACTGTTAATTTGGATGTGGACATCTGGTCTTTGTATAACCTCTTATTATTCTTCCTGCTGCAGCCAAAGAGGAGAGAGTCAGCGATCCCAATCTCGTCAGTGCTGCTCCACCTTCAAACCTACAAACAGACGGACACATGGCGCTGGACAGAAATCAGGCCGCAGGATCAGAAAAGACCTGCGGATTACCGCCGACCCCATCCTCTGTGGAACCAGTCGAACGTTTAGGCATTTCAGAATCACCCGGGACTCTGAAAACCCTCAGGGAGCCCGTGGACATCCCCGAGCCCCTGGGCACTGAAATCATCCTCAGCACTCAGCAAGAGCAGCCTGCAAGACGCAAAAATCCCCCATCCAAGGCCATTCAGATCATCGACCCCCGGCCTCTACCGTCCAAGAAGACTCACATCGGCCCTTCAGAGCCCCCCGCTGCTCACACCTCTCCTCACATGTTCTCATCTGTATCCTGCGATCACGATTACTGTGGGCCTGTGGATCATTCACTTACAAGTGCTACTGAGCGTAGCAGAGCTAAGCCCTCTTTACTCAAGGATTTTTCTAAACTTACTAATGAATTTCAAGTGGCTTCTCTCGACTCAAGTGCTGCTGCTGAATGGAAAACACAGACCTCGACAGGACATACAAAGTCTGAGTCGCAGCATCACTCTGAGCAACCCAGGACCAGATCAGAGACGAACCCACCCGCGGACAAAGCTCTGCAGTTTTCGGGCTGCCGTGCTGCCTCAGGAGATGTTGGTGGAGGTGAAGACAAAACAGCCCCCTGCACTCTCCCCACACCTCCACCCAGCCCTCCTGTCAGGGGGAGGCAGAAGAGGAGATACCGGAGGGGATCCCCTCTTTCTGACTCCAGCTCCAGCTCTCGTTGCTCCTCCTCTTCGTCTTCCTCCTCCAGCTCTGCGTCTCGCTCTCCAAAAAGACAGAAGTAATTATCTTCTGTTCAACATGCTCAGTATTACTTTCCATTTGTCCTCTTTGTGCATCAGTCCCAATTCTCAATTTGTCCGTCTTGCAGGCTCCATCACAGGCGTTCAGAGAGCAGTTCGTGTTCATCGTCCCCCTGTCGCTCTATTTCCCGCTCCCCACCTCGGCGCTACAGGCTGTCTTACTCCAGATCGAGATGCAGCAGGTCAAGATCCAGATCTTGGTCCCAGTCCAGGTCTCCATCCAGATCCCGATCACCATCCCCACGGATTTGCCAAAGGCAGTGGACAGATGTTTACAGGTTAGTTAATGTTGGGGTTCTTTCGGGGGAATTTGATAAAAAAAGATGATCAAATGTAGGTGTTTGTTTAAATGTCAATTTCCCTTGCGTCTCTCTCTGGCTTTACTGGGTTTAAGAGTGTAACCTCAGTCTCTCTATTTTTCCCATCTTCATGACTACAGCAGCAGAGAGTCCAGGAAGCTCAGGAGGGAGCACGAGATAAGGATTCAGAAACTTAAAGCCATAGTGAGTAAAAAGATCACGACGTGTCAGCTGATGTTGTTGTAGCTTTTTCAAGATGAGTAATGAGCGGTGAGTAATTGTAAAAATCCTCTCAAACAGGATGAGCGCAGGGTGGTGTACGTCGGACGCATCCGCAGTTCTATGACACACGATGAACTGAGAGAGCGCTTCACTCAGTTCGGAGATGTTGAGTGTGTGTCGCTCCACTTCAGAGACAGAGGGTACGTATGTAGCATTGAAAATATGTTTTTTTGTTTTGTATTTACGGTTCACTTGTGTGTTTTTTTTTGTTTGTTCTTTGTTTTGTTTTTTTTACATTATTTATCACGATATCAGTACTCACATTCTGCACCTTTGGTTCCCATAGCGACCACTACGGCTTTGTCACTTTCTACAACATGGAAGATGCTTTCGCTGCTATTGATAACGGCGGAAAACTACGGAAGCCTGATGAGCTGCCGTTTGACATCTGCTTCGGTGGTAGACGACAGTTCTGCAATTCAAACTACTCTGATCTAGGTGAGACTGACAAACCACAAACAATGTACATCACAATACTGAAGGAAACATTTCCCCTCATTTGAGACAGGTGAGACCACTTTGCAGACCTGTTGAAGCCCTGTCACAGTGATCTTTGCAAGCTGCACCAGAGGAACCGTAATATAATTCCTGGTGAATGAAGTGAAGCAGTGCTGCACCGGCTTCACATTCTTCATGTTACTTTTTTATCCCCTCCATACTGCACATGCAGCGTCAAGGACCAAATAAACACCTTTAAATAGCCTTCAGTGTAATTCAGTCCACATCAGCAAAACCACAAAGTATCACCTCAGAACGTAAAAACACACAGTAAAGTTCAGTAGTATTCGTCGTCAACTTGAGTAATCTTCGAGTTGTCTTTACTTCACCTGGTTTTGTGTCCACTGCAGGCTCTTGGCTCTGTTATTCACTCTGTGTGTGTGTGTGTGTGTGTGTGTGTGTGTGTGTGTGTGTGTGTGTGTGTGTGTGTGTGTCGAGTAGAGCAGTGGACAGAGAAGCAGTGTGACCATAAAAGATAAAACACAGAATCAACATGTGGTGGTCAGTGTTGACACTGTGGCTGGCATCAGTCAGTTCAATCAATTTACGGATGCATCGATGAAAAATATTAATGTTGACGATGTTTTCAGTGCCATCATCATTGAGGCTTAATCGCGGCAGTCCTAGAGTTGAACACTTCCTCATTCTAATGTTGAAGTCACTGAATGTAACACTGAGCCTGTACATGTCGCTCTCTTCCTCAGATGCGAACAGAGATGCAGACCCGCCTCCTCCCAAGAGCAGGTTTGAGGACCTGGACTTTGATTCGTTGCTGAAACAGGCCCAGAGAGGATTAAAGAGGTAGCAGAGCGCCGACCTGGATGTGGCAACGACAGAGTTTTTTATTTTCTTCACAAACCTCAGAGCTTTTTGCTCACACTTATGTAGCAAACCTTTGTATGTTAGTGGTTTTTTTTTCATGTTTTCACTCAAATATGCATGCAGTTTTTATGTGTGCAGTAAATATGAACAAATATGTGGCACTCTCAAATTGAAAACATGTTATTAATGGAACCGTTAAAAGATTTTTGTTGCATTCCATAACACTGATAAAGTTTTGTATATGTAAAAAAAATAAAAATAAATGCTGATCATTGCGTTTCCTGATGAACTGACAGCTGCAAGTAAACACAAGTGTATTTGGTTTATTTTGAGTGAAATCTTCACGCCAGACGTTTTGACATGTCGTTGAAGGAAGAGCACAGGTGTAACTAATCACTCATTAACTGCAGTGAGCCAGTGGGGGCCGTGGAACTAGGACACCTGCTTGGAGTGCAACCATGATTAATTAGTTATTGGTCACACCTGTGTTTGACAAACCGTTCCCGTCCACTGCTGCACCAGGTCTGACCTACAAGCCGGTTCTGCTTTAAGCTCTGTATCCTGTTAGTCTCATCCAGTTTGTCTTTTGGAAGTCCCTGGGCTTTTGCTGACTTAGAATCTCAAAACATCAAGTCAGTTTGGTCTGTAGGCCCCCAATCTTAAAGTCAGTCTCATACATTATTTTTCTTTTATCTGAATTCTCTCTCTCTCTCTCTCTCTCTCTCTCTCTCTCTCTCTCTACACAGCAGCTCCGACTCTTTGTAGGCTGTTTTTATCTGCTGTCTTCAGATCTTCAGCAGCCTCATTCCCATCCCTTACAGAGTCAGCAACTTCATTAATGCTCACCACATCATATGCTGTGGAAGTTTAAAGACCGTCCTGTAAGACATCAAAGCTGTGACATAAAATGTGGATTTTAATAGAGCATATCCAACATATTTTTCTGCCTCGGATAACTTTGTTAGGTTATGTTTTAACTTCCCTACTCTCTCAATAGACCTTTCTTGTGGCATACTTAATGAATTGTTGGTGTAACCAATAACATTAATTGCACTCCAATTAAAGTGTTCCACTTCCAGGGCCCTATTATGTCTCTAACCAGACATACAAGTTATTAGATCACTGAGGGTTTTGAGTGGGAGCCACTTTATCATATAATTGCCATTTTAGCAATTACAAATTTAAATTACTTTTTATTTTAAAAAACTGAAGCCTAACCAGCACAGATGCCATTTGTAATGCAACACTGGATAAAGAAGTAAACGAGTTCAGATGTATCAAGGATATGGAGTTCAAGATAAGCCAACATGCTGCCTTCACTTGACTGACGTCTTAGCTTCACTGTGCAAAAATGTGCAGTTTGACACTAAGATGGTTTCACATTCATCTGCTGAAGGGTTCTCTGTGGCCACTGAGTTTAACGTGTTTTTAACAGCATGATTTTGTGGCATTGCAACTATTTTGGAAGTCAGTGTGCAACTTTGAACTTGAAACCTTCAGTGCTCATACACTAAAAAATATTTTTTTTAATGAACAACATTTGCATATTCATTCATTTGGGATTATTCAAAGAGAGAGAGAAAGTAGATATGATTTAAATAATGACATCATTTAATTTTTTTTGTGGAGAAAAGCAATTCATGCACAAATTATTATTCCAAGTCTTAAAACATGACCAGAGTGGCTCTTTCAGCTGATGATGTTAATGTTTTTAAGGAGAACTTGTTCATTTTAAGGCTTTATTTTTGAAGTAATAGGCACCAGCAAATTTTGAATAGCACAGGTGTAATAAACAACATTAATAATGGTACAGACCTATAATTCCTCAGTTGCTAAACAGATTGTCAGCTCTCTATAAGCTGACAAGGGTTTAATTAGTATCCTATTCAACTTAATAACTTGCGTGCCTGCCTTTACATCAGTCACTGTCCAAATTGTTGGTGCCTAATTTATCAGTCACAAATACTGACACAAATAATGTGGCAAAGGTCATGAGGCCATATCCCATATACAGAGCAATCAGAAAGTGTTCAGACCCCTTGAATTTTTTCACGTTTTGTTATGTTGCAGCCACATGCTAAAATAAGAAAAAAACTAATTTCCCCCTCATCAGTCTACACTCAACACCAAAATGACAAACTGAAAACAGAATTTTAGAAATTTTTGCAGATTTTAAAAAAAGAAACTGGAAAATCACATTGACATAAGTATTCAAACACTTTGCTATGACGCTTGAAATTTAGCTCAAGTGCCTCCTGTTTCTCTTGATCATCTTTGAGAGGTCTCAGATTATTCTGATCTCTCAAAGTTTATGCTGCTCTATAAAAATATTCACCAGAGTGATATAATTACCACTATTGTACAGTGCCACTGTACAATAGTGGTATAACCAGACCACTGTATATCTATGGGTCTATTTTCAGTCTATTCCTTTTCCTATTCTCTTGCTTTGTCACTTTTATACTTTTATTCAGCCTAAGTATTATACAGACTTTAGCCTTTTAATTGTTTAATGAAACTTAATTAATTTGTAATTTATCAACCTTAATGTTTTTCTGATGTTTATTTTTACTACTTCTTGTAGTCATTTTTAGACTTTCCAATAAGAAATGTCAACAACCACAATCCATACAGGGTTCTGGTCCAGGGGCCCCTGATCCCTTGGGACCAAGGGCCAGGTGCCCTGTAGTCGCACTCAGTAATCAATAGGTGGCTATAAATTAGTGTTATTTTTGACTGGTTTGTGTTTTCAGGTGAAGTGTCCCTTTAAGCCACAGGGACACTGTCCCTTTAAGACGTTCACCCGGTAGTCGGTCACGTTCAACCAACGTGCCTGTGAATCTGAGTTGAACTTCAGTCATCACAAAACAAGAGCTGCTTCTCTGAGGATTTACAGCTGTAGACTTTAGATCATGGTAGCATCATGTTGTGCAACGCTGCCGCTGTTTAAACCTGGCTGGTGTGCGCAAGCGTGAGAGGACGGTGCAATAAAAGTGAATCAAATTAAAGGCTGGCGTACAAAGCCATGACTGACAATAGGGCTGTGTCAGAGCCGGAGCTGCTGTGTGAACATTAGGAAACTGGACGAAGCGACAGACATTCAACCACTCAACATTAAACTTACACACTAAACCATGTCGAAACCGAGCAGTGCGAAGGGCCAAGCCCAGACTGGGACGAGGGGGTTCATCAGTGGAGTAGTGGAAGGTGAGCAGCCTGGGTCCAGGGGCCCAAACTCGACTATCCGATCCCTGAGGTGTCCCTGCTACAGTACAGCTCCATGAACCATAATGTAAAGGTCCATATTTATGCTGCGAACTCCAGATTTTCTCTCCAGGAAGTACATCTCGGATTATATATTGATCACCTCTGGTAAGGTGACACGATTTTGGTGTATAACTTGACCTTTTGCTTGTTGCAGGTTTTTATGGGCGACCCTGGACAATGGAGCAAAGGACCGAGCTGTTTAAAAGGTATGTGAACTCCCACTCTGAATGAGGAGCATGGGTGGAAACGGTGAACATGTACTGTGGAGCCTAAAAATGGCATTTTGCATCATAGTGGGTGATGTCATTCGCTGATGTTTGATATGCTCACCTTCATTTGGTTCCAGGAACAGACTCCTGATCTGCGGAACAGTCAACAACACATAAACAATATTTAGCACACATGGATTCATTTGTTCTACTTACTGATGTCTCCTGATCCTGTCGGCTCAGTTTCATTCTCACTTTTTAAAACACTGCGATCTACTCACTGGCCCTTTTGATCATGTATTGCTGGTGTTGGGATTCACAGGGAACAGCAGTGGGGTTTGAACACGTACCTGTACGCCCCCAAGGATGACTACAAACACAGGATGTACTGGCGAGACCTGTACTCTGCTGAGGAGGCCGGTGAGTCTCACCTCTTCATGTCTCCACACCGTTCACACTGAAATCACACATTTCATTTGTTTTTTTTTTTTGTATAATTATCATTTCCCTACTAATTGCTTACATCTTCAAATGTAAAAATCCATTGTTTCTTTATAATTTATCTTATCAGGACACACTGTGGTTGTTAGTGTGCCTGGGATCCACCATCCAGTTAACCAGATAAACAGGGTGTCCAACTATAAAAACACACTCGGCTCAGGCTGTATTTAGATCTTGAAGAACATCAGTGTCCTTGTTTACAATTGTGCCAAATTGCAGCTGCAAATGAAACCAAAGCAACAAATTAAAACACTTAATAAAGACTTATGGGAGTTTTGTCCTTTTTTATTATCGGTGTCTCACCAAAGTCCCATCCTGAGTCATCATTATCTCCTGAGAGACAGTTTGACGCCTCTCTGTTGGCTGCCTGGATGTTATCAGTAATGTTACAGACTGAAGGGCAGTGATGATAATTTGAAGTTTGACCTGTTTAAAAACTATCATGTCAAAACACACACTCAGCGGACCATCAGTTTGTATGTACCTGTAATTTCTGGTGCTGTTATGGCCATTTTTATGATCAGAGACGCCACTAAGCATCAAGCTAAAATGTCCTACAGAGGTGCATGTTAGCTGGGAGCTCCTCATCAAACGGCATTTCTTCTCCCATCCCTTGTTCTCCTCCTCCCAGAACAACTCATGGCCCTGATATCAGCAGCTAAACAGCATGACGTCGAGTTCATCTATGCAATCTCGCCCGGTCTGGATATCACTTTTTCCAACCCCAAAGAGGTCGCTGCCCTGAACAGGAAACTGGATCAGGTAGGACTTTGTATGCGGAGAAGAAGGGTGGCGCACAAGAGATAATTTAATGTTGGCTGTATTTGGCTTTATGGCTCTCTGAGGGTTTGTTTGGACGCCACATTACTTTTTATGAAACATGCAGCAGTAAAATAGAAACGTTTGACGTACAGGAAGTAGGTCAACATGCAACTCATGGTGCTGACACTGCCGCGACTAATGGGCTTAATTCCAGGTGGAATAGCTCTTTTGAATAAAGTCTCTAGCAGGTGAAGCAAATATTTAAACTCTATCTGACCTTGTATTACTCATTTATCTGTATATCAGTTTTTTTTTTTTTTTTGCGTTATTGTTAAAATTTCAACTCGGTCTTAAAAATGCTGATCACCTGTTCGTCCCTGTTTGTTCGGCAGGTCAGGGGGTTCGGCTGCAGGTCCTTCTCTTTGCTGTTTGATGACATTGAGACTGAGATGTGTCCAGCTGATAAACAGGCGTTCAGCTCCTTCGCCCACGCTCAGGTGGCCGTCACTAATGAGGTGTACCAGCACCTGGGAGAACCTGAGACCTTCCTCTTCTGTCCTACAGGTCAGACAGCAGGGCGGCATGAAAGTGACACTGGAAAGCTCATAAGATTTACAGTCAATTTAAGCGCAGCCACACAGTTAAAAGCATCTAAAGCTATGTTAAATCTGATTTGTTTTTCATTGTAAGTTTAGTTTTTAGTTGTTTTTTTTTTCCCCCATATTGTCACTGTTCTGTGTCTCCAGATTACTGTGCTGCATTCTGCACTCCCAGCGTGGCCCAGTCCTCCTACCTGCACACTGTGGGGGAGAAGCTGCTGCCTGGTATCGACATACTGTGGACAGGTGAGCTTACACTGAACCACAACCTCACAACCTTGGACTCCACTGGAGTAATCACTGGTACAGTTTGATAATATATTTTCTATTTATTTTTTTATTTTTTTATTTCTTATTTAGGCCCAAAAGTGGTGTCCCACAAAATCTCAGTTGAGTCCATAGAGGAGGTGTCCTCTGTCCTAAAGAGGGCCCCAGTCATCTGGGACAATATCCACGCAAACGATTATGATCCCCAAAGACTTTTCCTTGGACCCTTTAAGGTAAATGCATGCCTGTCCACATTTACATTAATAAAAGATGGTTTTCTAACATTTCCCAGATGTCAGAATGTGCCCCAGTCCTGAGATCTGTATCCTGAAATAATCAGTATTATCTTTTCCGAGCAGGATCGACCCACTGAGCTGATTCCCAAACTGAGAGGAGTGCTCACCAATCCCAACTGTGAGTTTTACCCAAACTTTGTGGCCATCCACACTTTGGCTACGTGGTGCAAAGCAACCGCTGATGGAGGACCAAGAGATGTGGAGATGAGTGAGTGTCCAGTTTTTGTTTTTGTTTTGTTTTTTTAAATAGTGATAAATGCATTTCGCCTTCCCTTCCAAACACAGAGAGTGATGAAGTTTCAAGTCTGAAAGTTGATTTTCGCACAGTACAAACCTGACAAGTGGCTGCCTGAAATATCAGAGAAACTGACTAATCAGTCTAAAAAAAATCTGTGGTGCACTTTGGAAAATGGTTGACACAGCAGAGTCTTCAAACGTCAGACTTTTATTCACAGAAGATTAAATGTTTAAATCCTTGATGCCTGACCTTTTTAATCTGGTGCTTGTCCATGAAGACTGGTGCAAGGACAATTGTCTCTCTTACAGCTCATCCAAAACATCACATTGGGTATTTCATAGAAGATGTTATTATTTTTGTTTTTATTATTGCTGTTGTTATAGTAAATGTTATGGTGGGTTTTTTTTTGTTTTTTTTTTCCCAAGACGGGGACAGTTTGTTAAAATCAAGAAAACAAGGGTGACCAAACCTTTTGCACATCATCGCACTATCTTAGGATGGAAATCTGAAAATGGTGGAATATCAGATGGCTACATTTATGCATTTAACTACCCCATGACCTGATATTTCCCTTATATTTCTCCTTGAGAAGCTTCTGATGGAGAAATAAAATAGTCACATAATGTTATATCTGCTTGTTTCGAAGGTCTAATACATTTACGTTGAATGCAGTTGTCAATCTCAAGATTTGTTTTATTTTTTTGGCCCTTTACATTAAATGGAGCCCGGCACATATGGTATCTTTGGAAACACAAGGGTCCTTACTATAAAAACAAAAAAAAAAGTTCTGTGGGTTTGCCTAAAGCTTAGCGGCACAATATGGGAGTGAAGGCAGCACACTGTCTCACTGTCCCTGACCTTCATCACCAGGCGACGAGGAGCAGGACCCCTGCTACAGTCCCCAGAAAGCTCTGATCCTGGCCCTCAATGACTGGCTGCAGGAGTTCCTGAGCACAGATCAACCAGGAGGTAGAGTCTTCACCTCTCATTTAACAGTTTAATGTATTGTTACCATTATATGACAAAGCAGCTGGAGCAGTGCGAGAATCACATTGAGACAGTTTGTCGGTGCCCTCCTCATCCTTCCAGGCCCGTGTCGTCCTCCAGCTCGTCTCAAGAAAGAGCCATCAGATGAGGAGCCCATGCAGACAGACATGGGTGAAAGCTATGTTCCTGGACCCGGGGAGAACCCACTGTACACAGCAGAGCCTCTGACCCTGGACGACCTGAAGCTGCTGTCGGACCTCTTCTTCCTGCCATACGAGCACGGGCCCACCGCCAGGACCATGCTGCAGGAGCTGGACTGGCTCAAGAGCAACGGCTGCGCTGCTACTGCAGAGACAGACAAGGTTGTGTGTGTGTGTGTGTGTAGTTTTTCCAAATACAGCTCATTCTGCAGGCGTGTTGTGCTCTTTAACACAGCTCATGGTGTTTTTCAGACAGCAGAGTGGTGCTCAAGAGCGCAGCAGTTTGATGACATGTGCGAAGCGGTGGTGCAGATGTTTAACCGCCTGTCAAACGCCCCGAACCGCAGCATCCTGTACGACCTCTACAACTACATCTGTGACATTAAGAGTGGAGTCGGTCTGGCTCGTGCCTATGTGAAAACACTGGGTGAGAAAATCAAAATCTTCCAATGATGATAAAACCAAAAAAAAAAAAAAAAGCTGCTGTGGGTACAGTATAGTAAGAAGAGTTTATTACATTTCTTAGATAACACAGGACTTCTTCCCAGGTCTAGTTCCACTACATATCATGATGCAGATGAAAGCTACTGATGAATGACGGAAATGATCAGAGCTGTAATCTAAAGAGAAAGATGTAAATAATTATTAATTAAAGCCTGTAAATTGTGGCCTTAAACCTGCACCATTTCATTTTGCTACATTTTTAAATTCAAATACGTATTCAAATTACATTTCTGAAATTAGCTGCCACTATAACCTTTTTCAAGACCAATGCCTTTAACTAGACACATTCCTGAGCTTTTATCAGGACTCCCATGAAAACTCAAAACACGGGGAACATAAATGGCCACAGTAACATTGGGAGTGTTACATTTTGTGCTGCAGGTGGAAAAGAAAAGAAACAAAAGGTGATGGATATTCTCACTCTCTAGTGGTTACAGGTCACTGGTCGCCAAGTGTGTTTGTACTCAGATGACAAGCCGACTGTAGCTTTAAATGTTTTGTTTTTTTTGTTTTCCACAGGAGGGCAGGGTCAACCCTCCGCCCAGCTTATGAACGATGACCCTGAACCCTGGGGCTTCAGAGGAGGACTGTCTGGAGAGTTCCAGGTAATCTAACAATGCTGTGTCTAAAGACGGAGACATATTTGAAATGTTGTTTTCTGACTAGTTGTACTAAATCTATCATTTTCCCACTTAATGAACTGTGGTAATTGTTATTAATAGGACAATGCATCTGGAAAATATCATTTTGTTCTCATCCGTGAATTATTAATGTTGCTCTAATGAATATACTGTATTACAGAGAATGCTGCCTGGACACGGAAACAGGGACCTGTTCAGATATCCTCCCATGACAGCAGTGTATTGCATACGGCCATACTGCCCCGAGGACAAGGTAAAGACGGCAGATCCTCAGACAATGATGCAGTTTGGTTAAAATTCAGTAGTGATGCTGCACAGTATTGTTTCCTGTCTTAGATGGAGGTGCGGCGGATTTTCGGGGCGATGCAGATGGCGGGAGAGGGCAAAGTCCCCATGATGACGCAGCCTCCACTTATCTGTGATAGGTAACAAAGAATGAATTACTCTGCTCCTGAGAATTTTATGCTTCTATGTGATCTTAACATCCCCTCTGTCCCACTGCAGCCTGTCAGCAGGTGAAATCTCCCCCTCCCCTCAGTGTGCTTTTGTCCTGGAGGATGAGATTGGGACGTGTGGTTACGCACTGGCACTCATTAATGCCAAACCAGCTGCAGCCAAGATTCAGGTGATCAAAACGCAAGATTTGTTTTCCAGACTATGAGATGATGATGATGATAATGATAATGATAAGATGCAATGTTATTTTATTGTATGTTATCTTCTACCTCCAGAGGGCAACAACTGACCCAGTGTTTGAAGAATTCCCTTCTTTGATCACTATACAAGTGCTGCCCCGGGTCACTGATCCCTCTCCAGCCAAAAGTATGATTGGTCAGCTGTTGTCCTCCATCAGGAACAGTGGTAGGTGCACACTGCCTTTTTGATTACTCAGAGATGCGCCTCATGAAACAGGCTTGCAACTTCAGTCATTCACAAACTCAGGTTTAATAGACTGCATATTCTCCAGGAGGAGGAGCTGTCCAGCCAGTGTCACAACAGTGCTTCGCACCGGTTTCTTTTTATAGGACAGGAAAGTCACTGCAGTATCAGTGTATACTTGCAAGAAACTCTTTGACTTGAGTTAAAAGTTTGGACACACTTTTCGATTCACTTGAATGACAGTGTGTCCAAACTTTACAATAGATGTGCTGGTATTGTTCCAGACAAAGAAAGTAATAACTGCTGAAACTCTAATACTAAAATAGCTCAGAGTGGAAGCTTCAGTTTTTCTTTTATTTCTTCAATACCAACCACGTGGGACTCTTCTTTCCTCTGCAAAGTAACTAAGAGGACAGTCCTGGATGGCTGAGCGGTGTTACTTCTGTATTCTTCCCAGAATTTAGCAGAAAAGTTGTAGTAAACAAAACATCTTACAATTTATTGGTTTAAAATAAAGAGAGAAAACTGCTCTGCTGCACCCATAACTTGCAGGTAGGCATGTGATAAAGGCATATGGCCTGTAGATGGCATACCAAGCTATATACATGATTTAAATTTGCAGATCACTGATGTTGTATGACTTTGTTCCAGTGACAATGAAAGTTGTTTTTCTTTATCACCTAAAGGTTTGAACAATATTTTACCCAAAACAGATTTAAATACCAAACACCGTCTTGGTTTTCCCTTCAGGTTCCAGAGGAGTGTTCTGTGAGTTGAGGCAGAGCGATCGGAGGATGCTCGACTTTTACACTAAACTGGGCTCCTTCAAACCCATCAAAGTGGCTGGTATACCTCAAGACATCCTCGCCATGGCAACAGGCCTGTGAACAAGATTACTCACAAATATTTTCCTCAGGTTTGAACTGTTGTGTGAAGAATCTCCAAGTTTGCTGCATGTTGAACTGATCCAGCCAATCTGTCTTGTCATTTTTGTCAGTTCATCAGATAATCTGTAATTTACCAGCCATCACAATGAACCAGTCTCCCCCTGTGAAGCTGTAACATTAGTCAAGGAAACGCTTAATGAAATTTGTGTAACAAACTACTGTATAATTAAAAGTGTGATGCAAAACTGTTGAATTTTTAGACATGAAAACTGTATAGTGATTATTTTTTAGATAAAATTGTTTAACAATAAAAATGTTAATAGCATCTGATTTGTTGCACAAACATAACAAGACAGTTAAATAAAAAGAAATTTTAATTTGTTTTGAGGGGATGCAAAGGGAATATTAATAGTTAATCTTCAAATAAATCGCTGATGTTCACTTGTTCTCTGGCTTGAGAGGCTGATATTCAATTATGACATTTGAGCTGAACCTGCCCAGAATAATTTACCATGGTTATGGAGCATAAGTTGCTATGCATCACATGACCATGACTGGACCCATTACATCATTAATATAAATTTAATAAGAGAAACTTCAGTGTGTCTGAACAGGTAAAATAAAACACAAAAGCAACAAGTAAGCTCAATATTTCAAGTCATTTAAGGACATTCATTTCTTTTTCTTTTTCAATGTGCGATGCTGTGTCACCTTGTTCCCCTGTGTGTCTGACCAGCAGAGTTTGGCTGCAGGAGAACAGGTCCACATTAACCTGGTGTTTGACAGACCGACAGCTACTAATAAACAAACTGTTATACCCAGACTCCTCTGGGATATCAGTAGTGTCCAATCAAAGCATGATGCTTAACTCAAGGTTGAAACAGCGTTGTTGTACCAGCACTGATATAAGGTAGTTAAGGCTTTAAAACGTTAAAAAAAAATCTTGTTTGGAGGTGAATGACTAGTGACTGATGTATTGCCTGTCCCCGCTTGGCTGTATCATTTATACACAGATCTGTAGTTGGTGAGACTTAATTGTCCTTCCCTGGTGGTGAGGCTTTGTCCTGCCCTTTTATCTTCTCTTGTGCCTCTCAAGAGAAGACTATGAAATATATAATTTGTACCATACTGTATTATTGCACTGTAGAACAAAGAGGGGAATGTAAAACCTAAGACTTTAAACAAGTGTTGCATAAAACAGTCCACTTCTTACTCTTCTCTGAAACATTGAAGACCCCTGCAGCGTTTCCCTTCAGCAACATGTGCACCTTCAGCCCTGTCATTTTCAAATAAACTCAAGCCCCTCATACTTCACATCCCCGATCCTTGTCTCAGGCATCAGCACCCGACCGTCAAGTGTAAATGCAATGATGTAGGTGGCGATCCTGCCTGCATCCTCCTCTGATTTTAGGGCCAAAATGATCTGATCGTCCGTGTCTGGAACAAATTTAAACGAGGAGAAGCCGTGGGTGGGGTTGAGCGGTCCAACGTGCCGCACGGTTATGTAGCTGAAGTCTGCAGGGCAGGACAGGAGGAGGTTGGTGGCACGCCGCTCGTCTGCAGTCTCTTCATAGTGCTCGTGACTGGCGCGGCGAGGGAGGAAGAACCAGCGCTGGAGACGTTCACTCCAAGCTGCCGATTCATGGATAAGGTAGCCTGTGGAAGGGAGAGGTAACAGAATGAATAAGAGCAGACTGTGCGTCAGTGAGTTGCAATTTCCTCTATCCACTATGTATTTTTGGAACGGAAAACAAAACCGTGAATTATGAAACGAAAACTACGCCCATTGATGCCAATAATAAGATGTGATACCAATTCAGACATTGTTGTATGTGGACAGGGCTACAAAGAAGAAACTAAAAATAATCCGTCAGCACCTGGTGGTTGGATCCCTGCTGCACTCCGCAGGGAATTGTAGTGTGGCACCCAATTCTCATGCTCCACGTCGCCATGGTAGCCAACAACTTTAACCCACTCTGGGTTGTTGTTGACGACTTCCCCAGAGGTTGTGGTCCACTCCTTGCCCAGGCCACCAACATACAGGTGTTCATCCTTCACTGCCAGCCACTCGGCCTTGAACCCTGCGCACACAACAGAAAGGACAGATCTGTGAGGAGGCATGTGGATCTCACAAGAAATTACCCTCAAGCTAAGGAAAGGCTACACCCGCGGTCTTTGAGCTACATTAAGTGCACGCAGTTGATAGTTCTGTCCTTTCTTCAGTGAAAAAAAAAAACCCTTTCTGACCACCTTACCCGAGCCAGTTTGAGACTTTAAGACATCTATTAGAAACTGACCTTTGGAGACTGAGCCATCACCGTCAGGTAATATAACCCAGGGCACAGCCTGGTTGCCCTCGATCCTGTACACCACACCTGTGCGGTCGTCTACACTGTAAAGGTGACCGTTGAACGCCACAAGTTCTGACAGCTCCATACCTGCAGCACAGTTAGTAAGTAGAAAAATAAAATGAGGTAAATCAACATTGATTTGAACACACAAACATAACAAATATACATATCAATAGGTAAGTTCTTAACCAACTTATACCTCGTCCCTTCTCAGCCAAATGACTCTCTAGAGTGACAGTCTCAGCATCCCACTCCACCTCCAGTCTGTCAGCGCTCTCTGAAACAGTCAGATAACCTCTTTTCATGTAGCTGAACCACGTCTGATCCTTGGAGCTACGTGATGCCGTGTCCAGGTCTGCGATCACACCGATGCGGTAGCGGATGCCCTTCTTCGTCTTCTCTGGTGGACTTAACGGGTAAGTGTCATTGTAAGGTTTTTCCCTCCTCTGACGGCGGGTGAGGCTTCCTGCAGTTTGTCTGCGAGTGTCCCTGAAGATATCATCCTCACCCTCACTGTACAGTTGCAAACTGTGAGCCCTGTTGCGGTAGTAACCCCTGGTAGGAGTATCTCTGTTCCCTACTGTCCGGTGCAAATACAATATGAGCACTAAAGCCAGCAGGGTCGCCACAGTGATTGCCCGCCATTTTGGGTGAAAGCGTGAGTCTGAGGTGGTAGCTTGTGTCATGGATGCCAAGGCCAGGGGGAGGCCTCGGAGGGCAACACCAAAGGAGGTCATGGAAGTATTGTCGTCATTCTCACCGTCACACGTGGACTGGGGGTGATGACTACCATAGCCTGGGAAAGAGCAAACCAGGGAGAAGCAGGTCAGGAGAAAAGCACGGTGGAGGATGTGGTATAAAAAAAAATTTAAAAATAGAAAAAAAACTTGATATGTCTCTTTGTGTTCATTTTCCAACCAGTTTGCTGTGTTGGGCTTCCAGAAGACATTAAAATATCAAAGTGCGTTATGTGTTTAATAATCATATCACATGTTAAATTATCTAATGTTCCTGTACATGGTACTATATAGTATGAGCTGGAATTGTTTTTAGCTGACAATCATTATCACTGACTATATCACTATTTGTAACCACTTTATATCATCAGTTTAAACAAACATGGTTATAAAGTTTGAATAGAAAACAATAGGTGGAGAAGATGAAAGAATGAACACGGGGGAGGAGGACATGTTGGGGAAAATAGGCTCTTGTCCCCATTGTTCTGTTTACAACAGAGAGCTTTGTTGTGTTGTTCAAGCAGAACCACTATCTGCATACTGAGTAGGTAGCTGGCATGTCATACTTCCTCAGGACAAGAAGCCCATAATTAATCTCGCTCAGTTCTGATGTTAATATTAAATTATTTTGTCCTTCTTAGCCTCAAAGAAATTTGTTTGTAAACAGAAAATGCACATCACAATGTGTGGGGAGAAAAGGAGCCAACATTTTTATATAGTTGCCCCAAAGTGTCTGATAGCAGAGGTGAGCTAAGATCGCCTCCAGTCACATCATAACAACTTATCCACTTTATGTAAGAACACATTAACTTTGTTGAGTGTGACTACTGTTTAGGCCACCATCTACTAACTGCACTGATCATGTGATGCAATGCATCCTGGTGGCTTACCACCTCTGTTAAAGAACGTCCTATGAAAACCATGTTCTCTTGTGGAAGCTCACTGGGTAATGTGAAATATGCACTGTCAAGTAAAAAACAAGGCTATGTTTCTCAGTTTAATGTAATTTGCAAATACAAAATCTTTCCGATGAACATGTCGTCCAGTCCTATAGTTATGCTTCGTGGTAGTATCAGTTTGGCACCACTCATGTCTTCTATTGTGAGTGCAGTGACTAAATGTAATGAGCGACTCGTATGAAACCTGAAGCCAGGAAAACTGAAAGTCCAAGTCCAAATCTAAAACTGTGCACAAACTGAACTCACACCAATATAATAATACATGAACTTTGGTGAGTTTTTCTCTTGTGTTCCATATAGAGTTGGTCATAATGAGCCTTTGTCTACTTTGTGTACTTTCACTTGAGTTACAAACAGACTCCTTAATCTGTTTTAGGTTCAGGTAATAGAGCTGACATGACGCCCTGCCCGCTGAAATACGAGAGGTGTTCTTGTTTTGGGAGAACATGAACGCCAAGGTGACCTTCGACCTTTCTGTCGTCAAGAGCAACCAACTGGTCCAGTAAGTACATGCCGGTGCTGGCATAGGTTGAGCTCACTCAGCCCACCTGTACTAAGCCACATAATGCAGTGGCTTCCTGTTTGAATCATTTTACAGTAGTAACTGGCCAATATTAATATTTTAAAACATAATTAACACACACCATGAAACATGACCTCCTGTTAATAGTTGTAAAAAAAAAAAACTACATGCAGCACAACAGGCCTTTGTTTATTCCTGTACTTTAGAGAGCAACTTCCTGAAAAACTAAACCACTTCCCCAATACTTACAAATGATCGTTGAGATTGAAACGTTTGACTGTTGCATAATGTTGCATGAAGTCAGCATGATAACAAATGCAGCTTCAAAATAATGCAACTGTAAATGACACATTAATAGTTGAGCTTAAGCAATATCTAGATGGCACAAATAAATCATCATCATTTAGCAACCCAAAACAAATATCCCAGCAGCATCAACAAAAAGTCTTTCTGTGGAAGAGCAATAGCAGCAGAAAGCAATGCTCAGTCAGTATTGAAATAACTATGTTCTAAACTATGGATATAAACACAAATTAGTGTGTAAAAATATTTCCCAAGACCCTATTTGGTATTACTGAAATGGACCACATATTTTATATCATATACAACTGGTAGCCATTATTTTTCCCTCTGTCTCTTCAGTAGCCTTCCAAACCAGTTCAACCTTCTCAGCTAACATTAACATGCTCTAACACACACATTCACATCAAACTGCCAAACTACTGGCCAACAAATAATCCCCTTATTTTCACTACTATATGCATAGCCCATATTTCCAATCTTTCTGCAGCACACACTCAAACACTGCTTAGCTGTATGAAGAATTGAATTACTCACCCTTCCTTCGCCGCTTCTCCCCTGAACACGCTGTAACCATCATGCCACTCTCCTTTGCACGCATCTCATAATAAACTCCACGTCCCTCCAGCCCTCTATCCCACATGAATAACTGATCTCTATCTCACCAAGTCTCCTCCTTTTCTCTCCATTACAATCTCAAGTTTCTCCCCGCTTTTGTAGATCCAAGAAAGAAAGCTGGGCTTCATTAAAAAGGATAATAATTATATGAATAAGGAAGAACAAGTTGGGCATTGAATACAACCCTGTTAGATGCAGTGTGTCTGACTTTAAATAATGAGTTGGATGAATCAAGAATAAAGAGTAAGTGGCCATGTCAGTAATTACTGATAAGTGAGCACACTGAAGCTTGAACAAGCTTGAGAACAAGTCTTGATGCATTTTCAATGAGGACTAAACTGTGTGTTTGGATGGGTTTAATACATCTGTGTATTAACTTTCATGTTTGTTGTGTCTTCTGCTCGTTTGTCTGACCTTCAGCCACAAGTAAACACTGAAAAGTTATAACAAACCCCATCAAAGTATACGCTTACACTTATGTTTTTTTTTTTCTAACCATTAGCAGAACTTAACTCCTACTCGACAGTAGAAGAAGTATGTAGAGGCAGAAAAACAGGTAATTGAGTAATCATTTACCTCAGGATTGACCAATAACGTTACTTTAAGACCTTTTACAACTGGACTGCGAGTTGACTAAGATAACAAAACAACCTGATGTCCTTGTCCTGATTAGATCTTTGTTAATACTAAACGGGGATGGCTGCAGAAACATTTCTCCCTTGGTAATTGATGCAATTTCACACTACAGCTCGTACACCCTCCCTATCTGAGTCCAGACAGCCACGAAGGCAGAGACATGACGAGCCGCTGAAGCCTCGGCAATACTTGTAAACTTTACCCTGCTGAAAACGAACGTAACGTTAAATCTCAAAACTGTGATATCACACGAAAGTTAAAGGATATAACGTCGACGAACTTTTGAATAAGCAAGCTGCCGGCTAAACATTTGCTTATACAAGAAATAAAAACACACCGGTTCCATTTAAAAATGTTGGCTATGTAGCTAACATCAGCTAGCAACTTAAGCCTGCTAGCATTAACCTTAGCCAGGCTAACGTTAGTACTGTTAGTACAGCCTCAGTCATTGGACTCAGGGAGCTGAGCTGAATTAAGAGTTTATCTGGTCGTCACTTTGTGGCTTTAGAAATCTCTGTGCTCACCTGGTGCAGAGGGTCTTCAAGTCCGCTCGGTTGAACATGACTGATAGGCTGTTTGGTTCATGTTGGCAGATTCTCGGTGGTTAGCTCCTCCTGCCTGGAAACTCCGGACCAGCTCAACTGATGTCGTTCACACTGTGTGACAAAAACTGAACTACTGATGTCGAAACATACCACAACAGGGCCAAAGCCACTCTCTATAACTAATAATTTTTATTTATTTATTTATTTACTACTGACGAAGTTATAAACTAAGAGAAATGTTTCACAATAAATCATTTTCTCTGAGAAGAACAGAAATGAGCCCTCTGACCACGGACGGATTAACATTTCAGGGCTCTGGGGTTAGAAATTAGGTTGGGCCCCTGACACCCACCCCACTGATGGTTTTTATGGTACAGTCTGCTGTTTTATTTGTATAGTTAGGCAAACCTGTGGTTATAATAATTAAATATATCTCCACCAAATTAGTGGTTAGGATAGTATGCATGAAACAGTAAAATCTTAATTTGTGTGAAATCTACACTTTTATAAAGAAAGCTTATAAAGCTAAAATAAGAGTGAACATTCTTCTGAATCATATTTGTGGACAATAAAATGTAACTAGTTTCTAGATAAAAATCAAAGTACATCAAATTTTCTGAACAGCACACATACATGGACAACTGTCAACACATCCATTCACAAATATAAACATTTATTGTGACAATTCTCTTTATAATCTACAGTAACGATTGACAGAGCATTGTGCAAACAATAACGTAAACAATTATTAAAGATGCTAGAATGAGAGCAGTAAGTAACAATGTGCATCAGTTACAATTTAGTCACATTTTTTAAAAAATACATCTATTTGAATATCAGTATTCTTCTACTGTATTAGAGTAAAATAAAAAGTGAAAATATATAGTTTTCATTACCAACATTTACTGTTTAAGTGTAGATGACACATTAAAGTTCCCTGCGTGAGATCTCAGCATTGTGGAGGTTACAATAAAAAGCTACATTCACTTTGTATGATATGTCAGTGTTCTTGACACAAGCTCCTGCTATTGTCCTTTCTAAGGACTTAAAGTTGTGGTGCAGATTGTCACAGAGGAAAATTTTAACAGAAAAAAAAACAGATTGTTTATGAGTGAATATGAGTAGGTTTATCAGAACTATAATTTGCTACAATCACCATTCTTGAAGTTGTTTAGCTTTAGGCACACAATGTTTTGTTGTTAATGTGACTGGAACATATTAAGCTCATTTAGGACATTTTCTGACAGCAGTAACTTCAGTGAACAAACACAGTAAACTAGACTCTCAAAACAATCCATGCCATATTATTTTTTAACGATCGAAACAGATAGAAATTGTACATTTACCACAGTACAAACCTGAAATAATGCATATTTTATCAGTATCGGTGCATGATGACTGTTAAGAGGTGTATGTTGATAAGGAGGTATGTTGATATTAGATGATGGATCGAAGACACCTCAGCTCTTCCCCATCATCTTCATGAGAAGCTACAAAGAATGAAGAAATTAAAACTCTGTTTTTTCTATAAAACAAAAAAATACATACTGCAATCCATAAATGTGTCCTGAATTTTGTAAAACTAAAAATCTGTTGGATATTTGATGATAATGTTTTCTTGGCTGCACATTTCTGATAGCACCAGGCTGTACATTAATGCTGCGCATTAATATTGTAAAGCTACTAGTCAGAGAGATAGGTAGACATTCTGGAAAATAGCATTGACATTAATAGTGACTTAAGAGTTTAAATTATTTGTGTTTTAAGTGCATGTGTACCTTTGTTAGGTGATACTCCCCATCCACCAGTTGCTCAATGATACTGAAGTGATCAGTGTTTGGCACATCCTCCATGGTCACGTTCAGTCCTGACGCCTCCAAAGTCTTAAAAGGCAGCAAGACGGAGAGGTAATGACATGCAGAGGTAGGGAAAAAGCACATATACACATACCATTTTGAATATGATGTACCTAAATGATACGTTATCATAAATCAAAAACAATTTGTCAGTTTATCAGAGTATTCAACATCCTCACCAAAAAAAAAAAATCCTTAACAAAGGGATTTAGGATCTGATAATTGACAAAGGCCACACATCGTATTTCCCTGGTGATGACAAAATGTCTACATAGTGCTTAAAAATTTGATAAATTCACCCTCTATTCATGGCTGTGTGGGTTCTACTATCCTAAACATCTATCCTAAGGATAAATATTTTATCTATCAATAGTGAAAATATTAATTGCAGTCATTAATATTGCACTTTATACTCTGGCCAAAATGGCATTCATTATCTATCAGCAGCACTGACTTTGTAGTACTCCTCTGACTGCTTGCGAAACTCTGGCGAGTCGTTCTCAGCGACGGCCACAACAATGTGGCAGCTGGAGGAGGAGACTTTGAGCTGAGGGACCATCTTGCTGGGGCTGTTCCTGACCGCCACCTCCCTGCAAACAGACACCCAGGAGACAGAGCAGTCAGACACTGACTGGCACCAGCAGAGGACACTTACAGACACACACACACACACACACACACACACACACACAAAGACGTTTAGATGCACAATTTCTCCTTCATAATAACAATCACTTACACACACTGCTTTCTACGTCACAGTGACTGACAGTTACAGGCACACACATACAAATGATTTATTTCTCTAGGGTTTCTCAATCTTATCTGGATTGTGACCACAATTTTAGATCAGAAAAATTAAAAAAACCAAGTGGTTACATTTTTCATTAAATTGTGAATTAAAGTAACTCAAAATGTAATTTCCTGAAAAGATTATACATGTGATAGCTATTTGTTTTATAAGAAATACAAAATGAGAAAAATAATCACACATTAAATCTGATATTCTCAAACAAACAAATTTGTACATCAAGTGACTCCATGTGGTGTCCCTCCCCCAAGCTTGAAAAACTCTGGATTACCAAGAGTAATCAGGTTAGGGATGGAAATTGCATAATGCGTTTACATGTTGTTAAAGTCTGATTACTGTGAAAACCCTAGTTTATCGGGTCAGTAATCAGATTATTCCCTTCCAGGAGCGCTCCACCAATGTAGCATGGCACTCAGCGACACTCACTGTTGGACTCACGATGGACAGTTTAAAACAAGTATCAAGTATCAAAACTGATGCAGCAGAACCACAGATATCATCTTTCCATACCTGGTGCCTACATTACCCACAATGCAACATGACAGCAGGCAGACCGGTCAGAGATTCCAGAGTATTATGCTAGTGGTAGCTAATGCAGCAGGTTACAGAGGTCTGGTAAAATCAGTGACATCACTCGAGGCAGTGTGTTAGACTTCACACATCTCCTTCTGGAGCCACAAAAGGCTTTATACAGCTTTTTTCATATATGAGGTGATGCTGCCCGAGATCAGCAAATAGACTTTATGTGTAAAACAGATTGAGTTCTCCTTTAAGGGAAGGAAAAATGACCTCATGTTATTATCAGCCTTCTATATGCTATTGCAAATAAAGATGGACAATGTAGAACAGATCAAAAAGATTTTGTCCCATATTACTTCACTTGCAAATTACACTTTTTATACTGGTTATTATCAAAAAGGGGCCGCATAGCTTCTGCATCCTCCAACGTTACTGTACCCATCCAGCAGAAACCCCATTAAGTCTCATTCAGTTGATTTCTACCTGTGTTGCCTGTGCTATTCCTAATCCTATAAAGGGAACACAAGTTATTCAGGGTTCAGTGTGTCTACACAGACATTTGATGATGTCTGATTACTGTCAAGTGTATGTAACCATCAGATCAATACATGTAGTTGCACTAGAGGTTGGCATGTACATACTCAGTCATCTTCAAAGGCTCATTGACGTAGGTGGACAGGATGGGCAGGAGGTCGTATATGCCACTGACCAAGAAAGCCCCTAGAAAAGTTTAAAAGCACAAAAAGTAGTACATGAGCTATGCAGCATGTGTCTCAATCTTGTATTTCTGAACATCTTTTCTTCCATTTCCACCTCACCTTTGATCTGAGGAGTGATGCTATACTGTGACCAGTCAGTGGAGAGGACCATTGCAGCCAGGTGAGCTCCAGCAGAGTGGCCACACAGGTACAGACCGCTGAGAGAGACATCAGAGAGATTTCATAAAACACAAACAGAAGCACAGTGGATTTATGATGGAGATGGTGACATTTTAGCTCCTTGTGAATGAGGGAAGAGCTAAGACAGTGGGAGCATAAGAGAAATTGATTTATAATATGATACATCAAGATGGACTTTAATCATACTGAGTGATGACAACAAGGGGTACCAGAGGCAAGGGTACCTGATGTGAGAATACTGCTGAATGACAGACACCACACTCCTGCGTACTTGAGACACCATCAGGTCCATGTTGCCTGAAAAGGAAGTGCAGGGCCACATGCTGAGAGTTGACGTTACCAGTTCATCGCCTCAAATGATCTGTACTTTCCCAGAGAACAGAAAACAAGTTTGTCAGAAATGGAAAGACTCTACCTTTGGGGGCGATGTCGTAGCCGACGGCAACCACCACTACACCTTTATCGACGAGTGGAACGGCCATGAATCCTGACTCCTCCTTGCTGTATGTGCACAAAGCATCAGCATGAAAAAGCTCTGTGTACATCTACTTTCCAATTCAAAGCCCTCTGAAAGTAGGAAACTGTACCTGAGAAACTGCCAGTAGCCCCCATGTAGGTAAATAACAAGGGGGACATCTGAAACAGAGGGAATGAGGCCTGTTAGTTGTCATACTTATGCATACTTGAAGCATGACAGTGGGGTGGGGTTTGCGTGTCACAGCAGCCACAAAGGTCCGTACCCAAAGAGTCGGTGCTGGGTATGTAGACATCCAGTTTCTCTCCGTCTCCCTCTCCATATGGCACATTGAGTAAAGTCTGAGCCAGACCACGGGCTCGCTCCGTACCTGAACAACACATGGTATCCAAGCATGATATTACAGAGATATAGGCAATAAGATTAGATTCATACGTCTGCTGTCAAAGATTTAGCCATACCATTTATAGTCTGGTAGCGATCCCTTTAAATATTTGCTGGTGTATTAGGTTATTGTGGGCAACGTTGCAAATCATTGTGAACAATGCTGGATTTTAGAATGATTTTTGTATCAATGAGAGGAAGTTTACTGATTCTTTTATTTAATTCAATGGACAAGGGAAAAGAAGATATTCTCATTTCATTGTTTTATCCATTAACTTTTTCTTGCAGGGAAACATGGGAGCGCAGGGAGTTAACTGACGATGAACAGCAACAACCCTGTGGCTGGGGACCATTGTTGTACGTCATCCCCCATCTCTCCCCCACCCTCACTTCCTGACAGCTCCCAGCTATCAGCTGTCAAATAAAGGCATCAAACAACCCCCCAAAAATACTTACAAATCTAATGATATCTCAATATTAAAATTACATGTACCATGATAGGGGATTTTATCCATATTCCTCATTCATAGTTGACACAGAAACAAATGATTCACTAGTGACAGGTGCGTGGGAAATTTTATATCTCATTGTAGAACAAGAAGCAGCAGCAACATATTTTAGATGGTTTAGTTCTGGCTAAAAAAACCTAGCACAGTATGTTCACCAAATTCAATTTATGTCCCAAACTTACGCAAATATGCTGCTTTGAGTGGAATATACACAGGTGTATTCTGGTAGCCTCTGTTTTTTCTTGTGCAAAAAAAAAAAAAAAAAGGTTCACACCCTCCAGTTAGAAATCTTTACAAAATCAGGATGTAATTTGTATGGCCTACACCTCAGAAACACAACGTGTATGTAATATAGAGGGTATAGGCTGCCTGGGTTGTCTTTCAAAGCCTCTTGTATCGTAAATGTGCAACATATCTTCGACAGGGAACACACATTTACACGGGGATACAACATTTGACACGACACCTGTGTTCCTACAGCCCCAACCGGATTTCTGTGTATTGTTGCGAATTAGTATCTAACTTCAAAACAGACCGACCTTCCTTCAAAGCCTTCACGTGAGCCTTGATCACGTCGTCTGCCGACATCCTGTGCGACCACCGGCTGGGCGAAAACTGCCTCTCAAGCTCCTGTCAGACGGAGAGAAGACTCCCGTGAACCGGGCGGCCATGAAAGCAAAGCAGAGACACCAGCCACCATCAGCCGGTGGTAAACACTTTGAACACGGTAAACAGCGCCCTCCCCTGCTATTTTTAATTATTTGCTTTGGTTAGGCCGTCACTGTTTTACTGTCAGTCACTTTATTTCTTCTCTAAAGAGACACAATGAAAATTTGTTTTTAAAACTGGAAAAACTTTTCAAAAATCAGGACGCAGTCAGCTAGACATAGAGATTAAGGCTGCTACATACAAACAGTAACTCTCGCACATGCAGGAGAAAAAAGTGAAAATACCAATCAAAGTCAAACTCTTACATCTTTGTTCATTTCAGTCCAGTGCATCGTTTTATCCCTTTAAGTGACTTAATTTGCCGAAGGTCTTCAGACTGATTAATCCAACCAACATGTGCTCAGTGGTGGTTATGACCGGAACTTTAGACTGATGTTGAAACCCCTGATGTTGAAACCCCTGATGTTGAAACCACACAGCACGTTCAATAGTAAAAAAAAAAAAAAAAAAAAAGTTTAAAGAGTGTAAAATGCATTGTGGTGTTAGGACTTTTTTCAGTGTTCACTGTGTGTGTGTAACGATATGCACTATAAAGGCTTAGCTGAGTCTCCTGTTTTGAATAAGAGCAATACAGAATCAGAATCAAATATTAAGACTTCACTTACAATTGCAAGTCAAAATGTCTGTTAAGAAAAATGCCCCAAGAATAGGGTGAGGTACAAGGTTTGGAAAGCGCTGAACAGCCATGACTGTAAGTATTACTTTCATTTGTATGTTTAACATACATGAGCACTGTTTGCACATATAAGTTAACATGGATAATAAAACAGCTTTGTTAAGCCTTCTGTTTGTGTGAGCACACACATAAATACAACACAGGTACGGCAGAATATTTCTGGTGAGGTAACCATGAAGTAAATCATTCAGCCAGCTGGTGGAAAATGTCGTAGAATATGGAAAGAAATTAGTGACTTGCCTCAGTTTACTTTTTTCCTGGCAACTAAACCAAAACTTAACATGACACTTTTAAGTTACATTAAGTTGTTATGTCATATTAAAAACAAACCACCCAATTAGTGTCTCTTCACAGCACATTTCCATAGGCCATAGCATGGGTTATTATACCAAAAGGCTTTTAGTTCACAAGCATAATCACCATTATCTTCTAGCTGCTGATTTCAGAGACATTAGTAATTGCTCCATATAGGAAAATCTGAGAGAAATTTATGAACATGAGAGCAACATGATGTTTTATTTAAGCAACAGCAGGAAATAGCTTGCAAAACTTTTCCTATCCATGCAGGTAACACATACAGTACTGTGCAAAGGCTTTAGGCACTTTAGATGTTTAGATTCTTATTCATCACACAATACCACCAAGGAGGCGTCTGATCGGCCCCACATTCTTTCTGCAGTATGTCAACAAACATACAACCAGAGACAACAAGAACAAAGCCTGCTGCAACAGATGGTTTAGCCCCCACAGACCCCTGATCTCAATATCATGGAGTCAGACTGGGATCACATCATAGGCTGTAAATAAAGAGGAACACATGAAGGAACTGATCTGTGGCAAGATCTTCAAGATGCTTGCAACAACGTACCTGCCAAGCAGCCTGGAAAAGTGCACAGGTGTAATTTGTGCAATTGTTGCTGTTTTAAAGAAAAGTTTGTCATACCAAGTATTGATTTAGTTTTTTTTAATGTTCACTACACGTTGTATGTAGTTAAGTGATAAATAAAAACTATTGATTGCATTATTTTTGAAAGTATCATAGCCCCACGTCTCTTCCCGCGTCCTGGTTCCATGGATGTTTTATGCTAGGTCGTAATAACAACAACAACATGATTAGCCGCCGGTATGTGAAAGCAACAGCTGTTTCTTTAAATCAGACTGAGCGCCAAACACAGGCGCATGTCCAGATTGGTCGACAGTGGCGCGGTCGCTCTGTTATCTTGAATCTGTTTGGTCGTAAGGAATTACGTCAGAACCGTTGACTCTACGCCCATTGGTCAGATTTTTCTGGTATAAATACAGCCGCCCATAGTCGCTAGGGCGCCACATTCAACTTAATGTTTAACAGCTGCTGATTTTGGGAGATTATAATAGTATTACGTTTGTTTTTCTTGTTATTATCAGCACCTGCATTGATACAACTTACTTGAATAAAAATGGACTGTGTGGATTTCCCGAGAGTTCTGCCAAATTCACCCAGGAAAGCCAGGGGACAAATTCAGGTTTGTATCAGATTAACGCGAAGTTATTGTTCAAATTATATCAACATTCAATAACATTAACCCCAACTAATGTAGCTCAAAGTAGGTAAGATGACATAAAGTTAATGTAAAAGTTAGCTGTGTTTTTGAATGTGTGCTGTACGTGTAGTCACTGACTGACCTCAGTCCCTCTGCTGTTGAATGCAGGTCATCTTTGGACCGATGTTTTCAGGCAAAAGGTGAGTTATTCATTCACAGAATCAAAACACAAGTCTCTGTGCAGGTTTAGCTTGCTATCGTCGTTTACATTTACTGCTAAAAGTAAGGTTAAAACAATACTGACTGCCCAGACGTTACCATCCCGCCAAATCTCTTGCATTGTTTACCCAGCTCCCATCTATAGAAACTAAACTAATTGTATGTTATAAAGCGTTCAGCCTGTATGCTTTGTCTGTTAACATCTACGATTTTAATACCACTTGGCACTTTTTACTTTGTAGTAAACATGTTACATAGTGGTCATTACCACATGCTAATGGTACAGTAGAATGAAATCAGTGTTTGGGGGCCACTGTCACACAACAGACCACCGACATTGTATTTTCATGTACTAAATGAACAGACTGGTTTCACTGATGTTCACTAAATTGTTGTCATTCACTGCAGCACTGAACTGATGAGAAGAGTGCGCCGTTTCCAGATAGCCCAGTACAACTGCTTGGTGATCAAATATGCCAAAGACACACGTTATTCTGACGTAGGCATGGCTACGCATGACGAGTGAGTTTTAATTTACTTTTTCACTTGACTAAGTTGTTTGCATTATCACAAATACTCTTGTCTGTGTATTTGAGGAAGTGGTAATAATAAAGTCAATAGAAAAGAAAGCACTTAAAGCTGTGAAACTTTGCTTATCTGTTTAGCTTTAGTTTTTGCACAGCCATGTATGCAATTTCCCAACAGTAACAAATACAACATGAGGTGGAGGTGAGCTGTTACGGGAATTAATTCAGATTTTGAAAAGAAATTGAAATATAATATATATATCATCCTGTCCATCTTTTAGAAACACAATGGATGCTGTGCCAGCCGCCTGTCTGGGAGATGTGAGATTTCAAGCACTGAAAGCCTGCGTCATTGGAATTGATGAAGGACAGTTTGTAAGTACATATATACTGTATATTTTCCTCTTTCATTTTTGGCGTAAGATAGTTACTGTTCACCTCCAGGGAGACCAGGGTGTCTTACTGTCTAGAAGAGTGAGGGGTGTTCATTTAGAGGAATTCTGTCTGATCAGGTTCAGGTCTTTGTCTTAGCACATTGTGATCCAGGATTTGTATCATGCTGGAGGAATCCTCACCCACTAAATCTGTGCTTCTTCTGTGTTTATTGTAGTTTCCAGACACAGTGGAGTTTTGTGAGGAGATGGCCAATTTAGGAAAGACAGTCATCGTAGCTGCCTTGGATGGAACCTTCCAGAGAAAGGTAAGTATCTGTGTGTTTGTCTCTACATGTCAGAGTCAGGGCAATGCTGTTTGTTCATATCGACAAACAGACAGTGTGTGGATGCTGAAGGGGCAGATAGAGCATCATTGTGGATGTAGACACAACAGTATGTCCAAAACAAGGAACTCATTTTTGAGGTTGCGCTGAACAATGTGCATGAGCAGCACTTTGACAGACACTTCATTGTGCTCATTATTTCACACCATAGTGTGTCTGTTGTGTCCTGGTAATGTAATTATACCTGACTGCTTTTCTGTTGTCCTGTGCATTTCTGTAGCCATTTGGAAAGATCCTGAACCTTGTCCCTCTAGCGGAGAGCGTGGTGAAGCTCCACGCTGTCTGCATGCAGTGTTACAAAGAAGCTGCCTACACCAAGAGGTTAGGTGCAGAGAAGGAGGTGAGGTGATATAAGGTGCTGTGACAATTTTACCAAAATCTGTCACAGCCTGAGTCTTAAATATATCAGAAAATATATTTACACACTAAAGTCCAAGGTGATCGTGATATATTTGATTAGTGCAGATTGCAGAGAATTCGAAACAGAAAGTCCCATTTTCTTTCATCAGATTTTTATAGTCAACTACTGTTTGTCTCTCTCATAGCTGGAAGTGATCGGTGGAGCTGACAAGTATCAGGCGGTGTGTAGACGGTGTTACGGGGATCTGATGGCAGACAAAGAGAACAGTGCTCCCATCGGGAATGAAACTCCACAACATCCCCTCCCAGGAAAACTCGGGGACTGTGGTGTTCACAGGAAGCTTTTCTCCTCTCTTCACCTCTGAACTACAAAATAAGAGACATTGCAAAGGTTCAGCGGAGAATTGAGAAATTCAACAATCGTGTGTGTGTGTGAGAATTTATTCTATTATAAATGGTAACTTTTAAATGTTTGTTGGTGTTTTAGGTGCCTTGAAGCATGTCTGCCACAGAATTGGGTTTAATCAGCTCAATTGATTTCCTTTGTATTTGGTGTCAGATTTTTGAGACTTATTTTTGTCTTTAGTGTTTTTACTTGATTAATAGGGAAGTGCCCTTGATATTAACCGCCTAACTTACTGCCATAGATTTCAATACAGTGAGTAACTTTTGTTTGGACATCTTTTTACATTTAACTGTAGCATTATCCTATCAAATATATAAGATTTTAATTTATTAAAAAAATGTATTTTCTGCAATCATTCATTATGAAGATATCCTTTGTGTAAAGGTTGACTTGTGTTTGACTATGTATGGCAGGTGATACCAAGTAAAATTCATGCTTTCAAAACACAGGATATTATTTGATTATTTCTCTACAGATTTTCATAGAGACAGTTGGGAAATGCTCCTTTCCTCACACTTACAAATGTTTTCAACTTGTTGCACTATCTGTGCGATATGTAATCCAATGCCCTCACATGCAGCTGACCAAAATAACCTGTTTAAATCCTGGCATCCATGGTTGTGCAGTAAGCTGGCACGCCGGAATGGAAAAGTATATCCTCACTATACTACTCTATGAAACCTGTAGTACAGCAGAACATGAATGTAATAATGTCCCCAATAAGACAGAACATCCTGTGAATGATTTTATTCTATAAACAAAAGGTCTTGAGTAAATCTGTCTTCTGCTTCTGACACCAAGGCATGAAATTATGACAAAAGATGAAAACAAAAGGACAGAAAGCAACTTCACAACTTCAGTGATGACCAACACAACAAACAGTAGAAAAACAAATCAAGCTGTGCAAGATCTGACTAGTTTCATGTGCCAGTTTTTATAAAACATTTGAAGAAGGCATCACAAATCACAAATGATTTAACAAAAATCATTTTAGTTTCATCTAAAACATGAACCCTGAAATATAGTTGAATCTAATCAAATATCAAGATAATTAACTTTGCAATACTAAACGCTAATTTGAATGTGGGTTACTTTTTACTTCAAATTTACATTAAATCAACATTACATGTCGAATTTTAGCCTCACGCTACTATTGCAATACTGTGTAGGAGAAGCTGGAGACAGTAAGTCTAAAGGCACAATTTTAGAAATTCACTACCAGTTGAGTTACTAAAGCTGGGTAATTATGAGAAACTGTAGTCTTTGTTGTCACATGAACACACTGGCTTCAAGTGTTCATTGAAGAACAGATTGAACTGATTTTCCAGAGCATGAAAATGAGCAAAAGTCACTCAAGCGCAGAAGTGAGGACAGCTGTGATACACAACTGCTTAACCTTAACATATCATCAGTATTTAATCATGGCATCATTTCACTCTCATTCACTTTCCTCCAAAATCCTTCATGTTCAGTTTCCCTCCTTAAGGCACAAATGACAAATCATCAGCAGTGTTCTTCAGATATGTGGGTTGAGTAAGTTATGCCTCTATAGGTCAAACAATATATTTGAGAATGATTTTTCACTATTACAAATGTCTCTGATGTAGTACCGTTAACAGCATGTTCAATAAATATAACAACATCCAATTTCTGGTGCGTCATTCACAGATCTACAGTCAGCCGACACACCCGCAACAACCTAGGGACAATAGAAAACTGATCTCAGGCCAACCTTTGACTCACTTTAGCTGGGAAAAACAGCCACAAGGCAGCTGAGGTGTTAAACTGACAAACAAATTACTGTCAGTCACAAAGCAACAAAGTAAACCAGTTGCTTTTCTAAGGACAGGTGTTTGATTCTCACCATCGCAGGCTGAGGTGTTAATATGTCATTTGTAAAGACATACAGGCTGCAGTCTGCCCTCTACAATTCAGAGTAAGAAGCCTGTAAACAGGAGATAAGCATCAGTGTTATGAAAACTAAATGTCTCTAATACCACGGAGGAAGTGTGAGGCCTCTGATCACAGACTGAAGAAGAAGCATTGTCACTGGTAGTTAATAAGTTACGAGGGCACGCTCAGTGGGTAAACCTGTTCAATAAGTGCATAGTTAACTACGTTCCCCTCCCTCTGAATGTTGGCTACAAGTTTAAAGGGCAACACTGATTATGAATATGCAATAAATATCTACAGTTTGGCACATCTAACCAATTATTACCAACACAAGTCTGTTACATTTGCCATGGTCAGAATTAAGGAAATGGTCTTTACGGTTTTTCTTTTCATCATCAACTATAGGTTTTGAAGTTTGTGAAGTAGGTGTTAAAGTTGTCTTAAAAACATTGTTAGGTGAGATGGTGAACATAGGAGCTTTTTCACTGTTGCTTAAACCCAGAAAACTTTTTTTCAAAGGTAATTTTATGGTTATATGGCTAACAACCTAACTGCATAATCTCTACAGGGCCCACATTTCACAAAATATAACTCAATCACAGAGGGATATTTGGCTTCAGAGTGGTCTTTTCCCACTGGACTCTACTCCCAAATAATATTTAATTTAATACATACTAAACTGTTTAGAGGTCCTCAAGATAACTGCACTGAAGGGGAAAAATAAGGAAAGAAATCAGGCACGTACAACCATTAAATGGCAGCTTTGCATCGTGAAATCTATGTACAAATGCACATTCTCAGGTTCCAACAGAGTAAAGATAAACACATTCAGTGCTGTCTTCTTCCACTCTGACTGGAGCTTCATAATCTCACTTTATGTGACCTTTGACCTCCTCCTGGGTACATTCTATCTACCTCTCCCCTTCAGGATCAGCCCATTTGAGGTAAAAGTTGCATCTTTGCACAGAGGTCTAAGGTCAGATTACCCATCATCAGCACTAATTTCAACACTCAGCCTGATGTCTTATGATCTGACCATAGACCCTTTGAAGTAAACCACGGTGTCCCTCCTCTCTAACTTGCAGTTGCACTGCTCAGGTTCTCTTGAAAAAGTGGGTTGAATCAAATGTAAAACCACATCAATATGATATAGCTCTGTGTCTGTGCAGTGCAACTCCAATCACTCTATCAGCAGAAGACCAGGGACACAACCTCGACCATGTGAGCTCCCTTTGTCTCAGTAGTTGGGCGGCTGGTAGTCTCCTTGTGGCTTGGGGTTCGAGATGAAGGGAGGCTGTTGCACGTCGGGCACATTGCTGGGATAGGCTGTGTAAGTGGTAGGGGTGTAGGTAGTGGGGTTGTAGGAGGTTGGGGCGTAGGTTGGAGGGTAGGCGGTGTGGTGATCCGGGGGTGGCTCTGTGTAGGTTGGGATGGTAACTTCATTTACACCACGGCGGAAACGACCCAGAGCATAGTAGGCTAGGATTCCCTGCACGATGAAAATGACAATGTCAGCACAGACACTTTGAAGATTTTTCCAGTATTTCAATAAATGACTTTGATGATGATCCAAAGCAGATAGAAGCAGTTTTCTCACCAGGTTTCAGTTCATACAAGTGTTAAAATATACTTGCAAAGACTTGAAACTTGCTTAGGGGTGATAATCCTTTACACTGACATTTAGTCTGTCAGTGCATTACATTATAGCTACATTACTGTCGCTGTGTATTGCGGTTGATGCCGGGTTGTTTTGAGAAATCTTCTGAGTGCTGTGTTCAAGTGATGGTAGGATGCTCAGACATGTAAGATTTGAGATATCATTCCATTCAGGCATGCAGCAAAAAAAATCTTTCTTCTGCTATTCAGTGTAAAAATTATTTCAAATTTTGTACATAAACATGTAACTTGGCATCATAGCGATGTACTGTACATATAGCAATCTCATGTGGGTTGGGTCCAAAATTAGTAAGGTAATGCTGTTTGTTCAGCTGTTATTGGCTACACAAGATAAAAGTCTATTATAGTTTCTTGCAATAAAAGTTTGCAGTTTAGCTGCTAACACCTTAGAGTCAAATATCAGAGGTTACCACCAGCACTCGAACGCACCAACCAGGAGAACCTTGTACTATCAGCTGTGTTACCAGGCCAAAGTCTGACAATAAATACAACAGTGCTCAGTGACATAAGTATCTCAAGCAGGTTTCAAGCAACTCACTTGCAAGTTTTTGTATCATCCTGGCAAAAACTGAATCCAGTGGCTGCTTTAAAGATATAGTTTCACATTTTGGGAAATACATGCATCTGCTTTCATGCTTAGAAAAATGCATTAGTTGTCTGAATAAGCTATGAAATTTATCAAAATAAAATGTGTAGAAACACAATATGGTTCTTGAACTTCATTAGAAAAAAGCACCAATAATTAATAATCCGTACTGTGTTAGACAACAATGGTCAACAATCATGTTATTAGCTTTTCTATAGCTCAAACTATAGCTCACTGTTGAAGAAAGTGACTTAACATTTGATCTGTTTTAATGAAAGGAAAGTCAGCAGTCCTGCTCACCCAGGTGGCGATGGAGAAGAATGAGAAGGCCACGGTGGCACGTGCAGCGTCCTGAGGGATACCCCTGACGTCATGAGTGCGACCCCACTGACTGGCCAACAGGCAGAAACACACAAACCACAGGAAGGTCCACGCCCCTAGAAAACACACAGATGCACAAACACAGACACAGATATAAATGATTGTTTTTTGTCCACACTGCGTGAAATAATAACAAAAGCCCTCATCTGAGAAGCCTTGATACGGAAAATGATTTCCTCTGGATAAACATACAAAAGAGCAAAAATGTCAACAGAATAAAAAGAGCTCTCCTGTCGCCATCTGCTCAAATGACCACAAGCTGTTTTTCAAACTACCACTTCTTTGTTTCCTTGAAGAATGGCTGACTGTGAACTGTGCTGTGTACAGCTGATGAATGTTTAATTTCAGCAAAATCTGTGAGGTCATCCTCCGCCTCCACCCCGCTGCTCACTCATCTAACTGCGTGCAACAATGAATAATACATGTTATGTTATGTCAGGAAAACAGGCAGGCGGTCTGTCCCACATTACGCCAATAATCAGAGGCTTGTATGAAGGAGTTCACATTTAAATTAGAAAAGTGAAACTGAGATGAACTCAGAAGACCCTGTCCTCGCATAACTCATCCTTCATCCTTTACTGGCTACTCAGGTGTACAATTTATATTTTCGTCTCATAAATAAAAAAACCTGTGAAGAATCTTCTACTGTCTTCCACTGTCTCTGCAAATGCCTTTTCACAAAACAGCATTTACCTTTTAAACCCATCACAATGTTCATTTGTATTATTTATGAGCAAAGAAGCAGTTTTTCAGACCAAGAAATCGAATCCAACTTTCAAAATCACTTTAAAGCAGCATGATGTAATGTTTTTTGCCTCTATGGTTGGGGCAGTTAAATAAGGCGTAAACACAACATTGACACTGACCTTATAGAGTTTATATGGGTAATGCATTAGCAAACAGTTGCTTAGACGCATTCAGCAGACATAAAGTAACATTATCATTAAGTTGGAGTTGTGATTGTGTCCACTGAGAAATGTCTTCACTGAATCTTGAGGGAAATATCTCGCTCATTAGCTGCTAAATTCTCCAATATGTTCACCAGCTAGTCACTAACTATGTGAGTTATGCTGCTGTTTAGTGCTGTTTAAGCTCTTGCTCACCTGAGAATCCCAGGTCAGCCATGACAGCATACTTCCTTTCCTGTGCATTGCTCATGAAAGGAAAGTAAACATCCAACACCAGAAAGGCCACACAGGCCAAGAAGGCGATCACCCCAATGCCAACCGCATACTGACACGCCGAGTCATTCTGGTTGAAGATGCACTTTGCCTCGGCACTGTGGGGAGTGTTGACGTATCCCTCTGTTGTGATGCAGGCAAACACCACCATGGCAAATATCTACAATCAAACAGAGAAAAGAGGAAGGTGGCAATGACACGTGAATGAACATAGGATTTATTTCACTTTGCAAATCATTGAAGGTTTTAAAGACACAAGAAGAAACTGTCTAAGTTAAAGGAACATCCCGCTGTTTACTTCAAGTGTGTCCATTAACTTCACACTGCATACTTATACAGTACACTTAGTACAGTATGAAAATCAGAGACTTAAAACTTGCTCAGAAATCGGTAGTTCACTTTATCTGTGTCAAAGTCACGTTATTTTCTCATGAAAATTCACTTACAAGGGGACTATTAGCAAAACCCTTTTTGGTGGTGCATTCAAAGACACCCGGATATCTGGAATTTGTGTCTGCTTCCAAAAAACACTGCAGTCAGGAGCTCTGCTGTCACAAAGTCAACCCCAGCAGAAAATAAATAATTGTGGCCAACATGAAAACAATATGTGAATTCAACTTTCTTTCATTATAAAGGTTACTGTTAAACAGCCATCTCTCAGGAAATATGACACTGAAACAAGAAAGGGCAGTCAAAACAGTCCCCACCTTAAAATGAATTACAACATGAGAAAATGAGCAAATATCCTCAGGTTTAACTTGTGTCTACTGAAGGTAACCTTTACAGAACACATTACTGAAGTCATCACACTTCAATAACATGACATAACGTTTCAACAAAATCATGAAACCTGCATCCATTTCTACCTCTCAGGAAACACAATGAGATTACGTGTCATCGCAAACAGTCTCTTCTTTTATTGCTGACTTTTGAAACATCTTAAAGTTCCTGTGTCAATTTCTGTGTTCTCGTGGTGTGTTACTGTCTGCTCTGGTTACCCATCTAACCATGTGACCTACTTCTGAGTGCAGCTGCCTGCCATGTGACTCCAGAGATGCCACCAGTTCCCTAACTACACTCATAATGAGATCTGGGAGGAGGATAGAGAGAGACTGTTTAACTGGTGGGAAGGAGGAGAGGCCATAGTCTTGCTGGGGGAATGAGACAAAAGGTAAAGAAAAATGAGCAGGAGACAGAGACTTTAGGGAAGTTAGAACACGGGAACTTCCAAAACACAAGACAGAAGTGAGACAGGCAGTGTTAGAGCAGCAGATGGATGTTTCTGTGCATAAATGGACAGATGGAAAGTGTTGAGTGACAGATGTCAAACAAAGGCCAAAATATCCCATATGTACATTAAATAGGCCTATATTTTTTGGTGGATGTTGCTAAGCTCTGTCAGTTGTCAGTAAACAGCAGAAATACTGTTGACACCCTCTTTTTGATGAGTTGTATTTAGACATAAACTAAAACTCTACCAGAAGGGCGATTACTAGCATAAATATACTGTTTCAATGCAGCGTTTAATAGTCAGGACAGTCGTGTCGCCGAAGAATATGAACCTTTTTTTATATCGTTCTGGCATTTCAGAGGAAGTATAATGATGTGATTCAACACTTTTAATGACAAAGAGCCATTGTGCGCAGACTGTTCCTTGTTCCAGGAGCAGGTGTGGTGCATTATGGGACCTGTAGGCAGAGTTACAGAGCGAAAAATCCTTTCTCATGGAATAGCTGCTGGCTGACTGAAGTAGGATTAAAATCACCAAAGATACATAGTGATCTAGCCAGAGTGAATTTGAGATGAGTTGAGCAGTGTGTGTGTGTGTGTGTGTGTGTGAAAGAGAGAGAGGGAGATCAGTACAGCACACACATTCACCAAGAGTAAACGAGAGGGTCAGTGGGGGAGAGGTATCATCTTACCTGCCCATCAGCCCCTGTTTACCAGTGACACATACATAATCTGTCTCTCACACACACACACACACACACACACACACACACACACACACACACACACACACACACACACACAGGGTTTCCCAAAAACAAGCATATAAACAACTGTTGTGGCAACCAAGGGCACATTCTGTCCTCAGCCCTCATCTGCCACACTAGATATGCCTCCCTATTCAGGTTAAACTGTGTGTTTTCTCACTGTGACACTCACATACATTAAGAAATACTTTACGCCTCATGAAAAATCATTACATTACATATAACAGTTCAAATCTGCTCCTTCAGTCTGTGAGCTCAGAATCACTCAAGGTTAGACAACACTATATTTTATTGTGTAACCTGTCTGGTTGAAATTCAATTTGTACTTTCCAGATCAGTGTCCTAACCACAAAAACAAATCTGTACCATTAAATTTGCCTAGCAACAGGTGATCAGCAGTGTACAACAACTTTCCCTGGTACATGAATTCCCCTCTCTATGGAAATACCCTTTTCTGTATAACTTCTCCATAAGAAAAGACATACAACTGTCTTATTGTCATTTCAGAAGCATTACATTATGTAGAAGAACGGGAATTACCAACAATCTGTCATAATATAATCCTCTAATAGTCAACTGCTCGTGGGAAGCACAGCTGCTGTTAATTATTATCACATTATTGTACAGCCTATCTTTAGTTGGTATTTTGCTTCCAGGAGTGGAGATCTCACTGTGTGTCTGGCAGTTTTCTGTCTTTTGTCCTCTGACAACAGCAGTGTTGACCTGTGCTGTCACCGAGCTGCTGTCACACACCAGCTGCATGCAACATGACGCCCCGTGGAGACGCTGCATATAGTGAACTGTTGTTCTGGCCAGCACAAATAAAAACATATAATTTAAACGCTCCGCAGAGGCAGATAAATGGCTGCGGGCCAGGCGCACCTGTTATTTGGCCATGTTGAATATTCTTTCTGTTTCATTTTCAGAAAAAAACATACACCCCTCCATCCACGCTGCACTCACCCAGCTAAGTAGCCGCACGATAGTTTGCGGTTGTCGGATAAACTTGAAGAAGTCGAAGCCTCCTCCCGCGAGCGAAGCCCCGTACGCACTAGCACCGCCCGTCTCTTCCATGTCTCTCTCCCGCTCAGCAGTTCCTCTGGAGCTCACCGTGTGGTAGCCTACGACCTGACCTGACAGGGTGAACCTACACCAACGAAGCCAAACTAAAACTACAAGCTACTGCTGCCTCCTGCAGCGCTGCTTCACTTGACGAGGACGAGACCAGCCAGTGGGAGAGGAGCTGCGCACGAGCGGCTGCGCGTCAGAGGGGCGGACTTCAGAGGCCAGGAGGAGAAGATCATGTGTGACTGTCATCAGCACTTGTTTTTAGATAATAACAATTAAAAGACACGACAGCACATAACACAATGAGAAGAGGTTTATTTAACGACAAAAGTCTGTGTTTATATGGATCAATCAGTTTGAATCTTCATGGTATCTCAATTGGTTCATCCTCCAACGTCTTCTTCTGCTCTGCAATTTGGGGCCATTCGTCCAGAGAAGCCTCAGATGCCTGAGGAGAACACAGACAGAAGATGACTGACTGCTTGCTTGTTTTTTAAGGTAACTGACTGACTGGTAAATGGATTTCATGAATTCATCTGATTTCACCTGATCAAATTCATCCCCTCCTGATGTCTCGACTACATCAGCATCCTCGTTGTACTCAGAGTCCTGAAAGAAAAGACAATTGGTTAAGTATATACCAGTATGGAACAATGTACAATCATGTAAAATTGCTCTTGTGAGAGTGAATGAATGGGAAGCGAAGAAGAAGAATAATGCAGATACACAAAAACTGACTAACCAGCTCGCCCTCGTAGGCAGCTACCGTTCTCTCCATCTCCAGGCCCAACCTGAGAGGAGAAAACAGCCAGGTGTCACATACACAGCTTATGTAATATGGGTCCACACAGTTGTTTGTGGAAATGTTGAGCTCTCAACAACCTGAGGAGGACTGTACTTTCCACCATTACACCCACATTAATGATAATAATAATAATGATAAACTTTATTTGTATAGCACCTTTCATGCAAGAAATGTAGCACAGTGCTTTAGTGCCTTACAACAAAAAAAGACATGCACTAAGTGCTTCACATGAAAAGACATAAAATGAACATAAAACATGTTAAAAGCATTGATCTGAAATGAAACATCTCCCACATAATCACATCCCCAGTTCATCTCCAGCTCAAAGCTTTGTCACATGTAATTCCCCTCCCTCCCCATGTTCCCTGTTAGTCTGTGTTGTCAAGCTGTCTAATAAAGGCAAAAATGCCAAAAGAGATGCACTCTCAGATTTTGTTACTGTTTTGCAAAAAACCCCAAAATACCCCAAAACAGGAAGAGGGCAATTGTTGTACTTCTACTTCACTTATTCCACCAATGGCAGATGGTTGATTAACGGTCAACATGTAACAGCTTCATAGGAAATGTGGGTCATCGTTTTTTCAAGGAATCAGAATTAAACAGAGAAATAACTCACAGAGACTTCTCTCCATACTGCCTTCGCCCTGAAAGAAGAGTAAACAATGTTTTTTCTCAGTAGCAAATGAGGAACAACATTTAATTAAAAAAAATCTTTGAAAAGTATGTGATCTCACTGTACACCACTCCAATCCCACAACAAACGGAGACCAGGAGAATCAGCAAAGTGAAACATCCAAAGACGACTGCCACTACTAAGTCGGGGAGACGATTAAGGACTGGAGGAGCAAGAAGAAGAAGAAGAATAACTCCAGCTATCACCTGTAACAAGGATGTTTGACTAAAACAGTAACAACAACTAACAGCAATGAACCAACTGTACCTTCTTTATCCACATATTTCCTCTTACTGCTTATCACAGTGGTGTTGTCAAAACTATTGGACACTTCACAGTGGTACGTCCCAGTGCTGCTCCTACTGACAGACAGCAAGAGCATCGATTGTTTTGGATCCTGGTTGACCACTTTGTAGAAGCTTCCTAGGCCATGTAGAAGCGTTTTGTTGAGGAACCACTGGTATTGTGGATGTGTTCCCTTCGCCGCCTTGCAGTAGAACCTCATGCCAGTCACAGCATAGTTTTCTCCAAAGTCATAGTCATGGCGCATGGTCACAGGCCCACCAACCGAGACTGATGGAGACAGTTAGAGGTTGAACAAAGAGACATTGCAAAATGGACCGACGCTACAAACAGTAGTAGACTGTGTCACAGTTCTATGTCAAACAATGCACATACCAGCTTCTAACTTCAACCATTGACTGTTTGCAGTCTGGTTTCCATTGTTCGCCTGGCACTGGAGATATCCCAAGTGCTGATCCAAGACCAATGGAACCTTAAATACAACGCTTCTGTCTTCACTCGTCATATTGGCGACCAGTACATCCCCGTTGTAGAGTGAAAAGGTGACAGGTGGAGTCCCTTTTGTCGACTGACAGGTGACCACGGCAGAATAGTTGTGGGACTCGTCCTTTAACACGGTGAAGGAGATATCAGGGGTTGACACCACGTCTGAGGGAACAGGATGTTGGATGAAGGCGGGTGTCATTTTGTTCAAAGAAACCATGTCAGATCTATAAAATGTGAGCATTTATTCACCAGAGAAGATGGCTGACCTTTGACAGTGATTACAACTTCAGAGCTGTTGACGGTGAAGACAGTATTGTTGAACTCATTGGAAGCCTCACATCTGTAGGAGCCGCTGTCTTTTGACGTGGTTCTGAGAATGACACAGATTATTATTTCAGTAACTTTACGATTCCTTGTTGGATAAAGAGGAAGACTTTCTTAGACAGTGTTGGACACTCAAGTCATTCATACTCTGCTGCTACTAATAACGACTACTCTCTGACTACTACAAACACAAAGTATGCTCTATCAACCCTGCAGTATCCCCCATCAACCTGTGATAATACCATAGCAACCACCTGGCAACACCACGCCAACCACCTGGTAGTTTTATGTATACACCGCCCACAGCTGCTCACAACACCATAGCAGTGCCACAGCAACCATGCAGCAGCAGCCGTCCATGGACTGTCTGAATGGGATTTTGCTGACCTGTCGATCAAGAGACGCTCAGCTGAAAGAGAAACACCAGGAGACTGAGAGATGGGCCAATCATTCAGCAGCCACATGTAGGACACGTGATTTCCTGCAGTAAGTTTACAGACTAGCTCCAGTCTGTGCCCCTCAAAGAACTCCTTTGGACCTGAGCGGACGGCGATCTCTGCATCTTTCACTGGTTCTGCAGGACAGACAGCAACAGACTGAGATCACTGTCTTAGTTCAAACCATACAGAAATTCTTATTATTCTTAAAATCATGTTGTTAAGGAAGTAAAGAGCCACTGATTTCTAAAGTTGTGTTTCATGTTTTCATGGTCAATGTCTGAATACTGTGGCTCTATGGATGGCAAAGTTGTTCTATTGGTCAGTCTGTCTCTTGTGGATGGATTGCCACGAAACTTTGTGCAGACACTCATGGTCCCCAGAGGATGAATCTTACTCACTTTGGTAATCCTATGGTCCCTAGATGATAAAATCCTATAACTTTGGTGATCCCTTAACGTTTAATACTAATTAGTAAGTGTTAGCTTGGTTACACTATCCACTTAAGATGTGCACCTTACACTTCATACTGACATGCCCCTTGAGAAATATGTTTCTCATTGCGTTGAGCATTTACAATTATAAATGTGTACAATGATCTACTTTATGTTATATGGATGCCGTGTGCAAATGATATATGATATATCCATGGTAATACAGAGACTCACCAATAACCCTAAGGTAAAGTGTGTTGCTGATGGTGGGCTCTATGTTAGACCTGTTCTGTGGTCTGGCCACACACTCCAGGTTGCCCTCGTGGAAAAGCTTGATTATAATAAGGAAGGTTCCAGGCTCCCCCTCCAAGGAGGTGTGGTCGCCCAACAACTTGGCATTCTGACCCCTCCTGGAAAAGGTTGGTAATTAGAGGGATTTTTTTTTTTATCATCACTTAATGCATTTTAATTCAGTGGTTAAACTTTACGTACTAATACTCACAGAAATAACTGCAGCAGGATGGATTCATTCAGAGGGTTGCTATGTAGTTCACATGTAAATTCTACAATGTCTTTCACCTTAGCCTCCGTGGGGCCAGACAGTTCTAGAGTCCCCAGAAAAGTCTGATCTATCAAAAAATTAAAATGAAACAGAACTGCACAAACACTCAAAGGACAGAATCATAAGTTACAAAATAACCTATATTAATATCATACTGTGTATTAATTAACCATGCACACATACAATCAAACAATACATCTAACTTACTGCTCTCCTTGCAACAGTAGCACAGCCCTGCGGAGGGGAGGAAGAAATCAAATAGTTTATAAGTCCGAAATGACTTTACTGTGCTGTGGTGCAGTTTGTGTTGAACTTACCCAGCATGACCACAAAGAGGGAAGCAAACATTCTTCAAGAGAAACTGTCGACTTTAATACAACTGCAGACTTCACATGTGCTCACGCTGCACTGTGTAATGCACACGTTTTGACAGTTTTGAGAGGAGGGTTGAAGCACTGCGGCCGAAAAAAATGCGCACACACACACGCACTTAGAAATGTGCAAATAACTGATAGCATTACTACACTACACCTCCCTGCCATACCCTCCCTCACTCATCACAAGATGAATTCATTCACTCATGCTGTCATAGCTCTCATGCTGTTATGTTTTGAAAAATGTGAGGATTAAGTGGTCCAGCATAATTTGTCTCATTGGTTTAGTAAAAAACAACAACAACATTTGATAACATTTAATTTTTATTTGGAAAAATATGACAGTAAACAGTAGTTTTGCTGAAAAATATAATCTCTCACTCTTTTTAACTGAATGTTCCACCAGTTTCTTATAAGTAACTTGGCAGGTCAGGAAAAGTAATAAATGAAGTACCTGCAGAACAAAAACTAAAAAGCTGCAAATTTAAATGAAATAATGTCAATTTGATGAAGAGGAGATGACAATCTTCCTCATGTCTCATACTGTGGTCTCTGTGGTCTGAAACAGAGAGAGAGAGAGAGAGAGAGAGAGAGAGAGAGAGAGAGAGAGAGAGAGAGAGAGAGAGAGAAATGTTATTTTCTGTTTTTGTTTACACATGGTCTGTTGACCAAATCCTCAGAGTTGTTTTTGTCTGAAGGTTTCTGGAGGATAATATGTAACACTTTTACAAGTAATCTCCTGACAATTTGCTCCTTTTGCTACATGGTCATGGTAGGAGCGAAATAATTTGGTACTGTTGTAGAGAAAAGACAATATACTGTATATTTAATTCATATATGCAAGTTAATTAAAACAACATGCTTCTGCTTATATATATTTTATTTACTGTAATATCAACATATATCGACAGGCTTTGGGATGGATATATATTTATGGAACGTGTGTCTACAATGTATGAATACATAAACATACATATTTGTATGGGCTAGTCAAATGTTGTTTCTATTTCCTATTTCTAATAGGTTTCATTTATAATTTTTGTTGTATGTTTTTATTTTATATGTACATATATTTCATATATGGAGATTAAATATACATTTATTGCATTTGCCTATGGAAATGCTTGACAGTAGACAAGATTCAGTTGTGCCGCTAAAAACACTATTAATTGGGTAACTCTTCATTTCATGGGTCCATATTTTACCAATAAATTCCTTAGAAGTTGTAATTAGCTCTTGGAACTATGTAAATTTGTACCAAAAGTAGGGGAAATAGATATAGGGCTCAATTAATTTTCAAATGACTTATTTCAGTTAATTGTTGAGTAACCTTGAGAGGTGAACAGTAGAACAGCTGAAAATGCAAAGTGTCAAAAATGGGAAATTTGTCTACAGGCAATCATATAATTCACTTTATTAATAACTAACAAATAATCTATTAATGTTCACTCTACTTTACATAGAGCAATTCTCTCAAGGAAATTCCTACTTTCTCTATAATTAGTAATATACTACACTTTCTAGAAAATTACCATGAATTTGCATTTAAATATAATTTACTTTATAAGAAATTATAGGAATCTACAGGATCTGTAAAGTAGAGATACTAGTATGTCATAATTCATTGATTTATGTGCAGTATTGTGTATGGTTTTGTGTTTCGATGGCCTGTATACCCGACTCGGGACGTCACAGTCTGTAGAAGAAGCCTGCTTCCCTCCTGACGGGGATTGGGGTTCAGACAGAGGCAGGGCATCAGAACTGAGAAGGTACAAACATTGTTGAACTGGTTGGTTTGAGTTGCAGAAACAATAAACTTTCTTGGGTCCACCGAGATAAAGCTTACTTTGTCATAGCAACGTGGGCATGAGCTGAAAAAGAAGTGAGAGGACAAGATATAGAAACAATTAATCTAAATTCAGACACACGTTTCCAGTCAGAGGATTTCTCCTTCACGCACTCACGGACATACACACCTTGGTTGTGGTCGAACATCCTGTAAACACAGCCACTGCACACTGCCATCATCAGCATAAGAAAACAGCAGAAGGCTATGGTGATAATCTCGATTGTGGTCATAAAAAATCCTGCAGAAGGGAAGGGACGAAGCCAGTGAAGTGTGACATACTTTAGAGTAGGCATGTATTAGTTATTTAAATATACAGCATGCGTGTTTTACTTAGTGGTGTTTCAGTGGAAGATGTTGTTCGAGGCATGGAGTTAAGGATCCTGTCTGGTTCAAAGTAAAAAAGTATCATGCAGTACAGAGAGTGGAGGCCCCACACAAATAAGACAAAAAGGCACCTGTCAGATGTTAAGTCTGGATTAAAAAGGAGGAATAGTTTGACATTTTGGGGAATATGCTATTTTGCCTTTTTGCCAAGAGCTATGTGGGAAAACTGATCCCACTCCCTTGCCTGTATCTTATGCTACAGTCTGCAGCCCGTTAGCTTAGCTTAGCATACACACTGACAACAGAGCGAAACCGCTAGCTTGGCTCTGTCCAGAGGTTACAAAAGCTGCCTACCGGCCTTTCTAAAGCTCAATAATAAATTATCAATAATTATCGCATCTGTTTAATCTAAAACAAAGGTGTAAGTGTCAAACAGTTTCTCTGAGATTACTTTCACTAGGCAACTAGTCTTGATCTTTTCACCTGTGACTTGGACCAGCACGGCTGCACTCTCCACCCAGGGCCCGGAGTCATCGTAGCTGTCCCTGACCCTGCAGTGGTAATACCCAGACTCCTCTGGGCCAAGTTTAGTTAGGACAAGGGTTCGTCTTTGGCCAGTGAGGGCGACGTGAGGCAGGACGGGTTGAAGGTGGGACTCCACGTGTGTCTCGGAGGGGAGAGCAGAGTCATTCAAGAACCAGGAGATGTAAGGGAAAGTTCCTCTGCTGACCTGACAGCTCAGCCTGGCGGCGGCCAGCTTGGAGTCAGCTCTGTAGAAATATTCCACCTCCACTTTCACATCACCTCCAACTGGGACTGGACCAACAGGAAGGAGAGAGAAAGATTAATGAAGAAGGGGAAATTAAATGTAGGACATCACAGACAGACACATCTCTGTCGCACATGTGTGTGTAGTTCGTACCCACTTCCAGAGTCACAGGTTCACTCATCAACTCCTGCACCTCAGTTTTCATCCGACATTGCGCCACGCCCATATCCAGCCCCGGTTCCATGGCAACAAGAAACCAGGCAGTGAGGGAGTCAGTTGCTGTGATGGATCCAACTTCTTTGTCATCTACCAAAAGAGAGATGTTGACCGGATGACTCCCTCTTGTTGACCAGCAGGTAACGTTGCCATGGTAACCAGCTCCATCTTTGGAGATGGAGAAAGAGATCTTTGGCTTTGATACATAAACTGGTGGAGGAAAGAGGAGGGGAGAAGGTGGGGACAGAAATGATACAGTACGCGTTAGTGTACTTCCACACACAGTGGAAGTGAAACAAATTTAACCAACTTCAGGCAGGTGCACAAATCAGGTTTACTTGGTCAAAAGTATGTGGACAATTATTGCCTACTTTTTATCTGAGGGTTGTTTTTCATGGTTGAGGCTAGATCCCTTACTTCCAATTCAGGTAATGCTACAGCTATCACTATAGTGAACTTCCAGCTTTGTGTCTCAGTCACAAAGCCAGGTCCATGAAGAAATCTATTTTTCCAGTGTGGTGTGGTGACCGGCTGCACAGAGCCTAGATCTCAGCCCCATCCAGCAGCTTTAGGATTGACTGGAAAAAACAGACTACGAGGCAGACTATCGCCCAGTGTTGAATGCAGAGAAAATTCCTGCAGCCAGGTCCCAAAATCCTGCAGGAATCCTTCCCAGAAAAGTGGAGGGTGTTCAACAGCATTTGAATGCCCATGATTTTGGAATGAGATGAGTAACGTCAAATTGTCTACATAGTTTTGGCCATATAGTGTCTTTTCAAAAGAGGTGCTGCAACAACTTGGCTCTATAGGCTACATTTGGTAAAAGAACTCAGTCCTTTGTTGTTGCTAGTTGAAATTAAATTTTTAAATTTTCAAATGTTTCAGTATAACTCAGTGTGAATGCTAACATGCTGATGTTTAGGAGGTACAGTCCTTATCAAGGTCACATCTTGGTTTAGCATGTTAGCATACTAACACTTGGTATTAGTGTATAACACAAAGAACACAGCTGAGGTTGGTGGGAATGTCGTTAGTTTGTAGCTCTATGGCTATAAACCAAAGTTTTGGTCAGTCTGAATTTTTGACCTATCGATGGTGCAAGATGAAAGGTTAAGGAATCAACAAAATTACATTACAGAGGGGGACACGACCCCTTGTACCAGATTTCACAGCAATCAAACAAATAGTTGTTAAAGGATTTCACTCTAAACCAAAAATGTCAACGTAATGGTGGTGCTATAGGAAAAGTCAGAGGATCGCCAAAGTTAGTAGGATTCATCCTCTGGCAACCATGCATGTCTGAACCCAATTTCATGCAACCCCATTCAATAGTTGTTGACATATTTCAGTCTTGACCAAAGAGGTGGAATGATCGACAACCGACATGGCTAAAAACAACTATGAATCATTCAGTACCTCCTCCCTCTGGTAAGTCCTCAAAGTACTCTTGTTATCTTTATACGGTATGTTTTGTTGATATATACCTTTGACTGTCACCTGGAGCTCTCTGCTGCTTGAAAACCTCCTGATGTCCTGGACCATGGACCACGCCATGCAAGAATATTGCCCAGTGTGCTCTGGAGTCACGTTCTCCATCAATAGCTTGTTTCCAGTGAGGTGGACAAAGGGAGAGGTTGAGGGGGTTATTTCCTTCCTGTTGAGTAACCAGGTGTAGGACAGGTGGGAACCCTTTATGACGTTGCAGCTCAGGACAATGCGTGATCCCTCGAATGCGACTGGAGGGGAGGGTTCAGAGGTCACTCTGGTATTTGATGGTGGAACTACAAATGAGGGAATTATAGATGGTAAGGGAGGAAAAGAAGAGGTTCAGGTTTTGACACCAAATAACTCGTGTCTGGTACTCACTGACTACACTCAGCTTGATGATGTTGCTGACTCCTGTTTCCGCTCCGGATGTCGCCCTGCAGTGGTATGACGCCTCTGTTGTTGCAGAGACCTTCAGGTAGAAGGGTGCAGGTTGGTCCCCTTGGGCTTGGTATGTGGCGATCAGGACATCACCGTCCCGCATCAGGTCGTAGGTGACTGGCGTAGAGGAGTTAGATGCAATACACCGGAAAGCCACCCTCGAGCCAAGGTAGGCCATGTCAGGGCCAGTCAGTACCGGGCGGAGAGAGACTGATCCACCTAAAGAAAGACATGAAATTTTAAACAAGAGAAGACAAACAAAAGAAATGAAAGAAAACTGAGCCCCATATCTTAAGCACCACTTAGACAAACTTACTTATCTTGATGAACAAACTTGCCAGAGCTGAAAGAAAAATGAACAACACATTTCTGTAAGAATATTTGTCCATTAAATAATTTTTGTTTCCAATTTGAAATAAACTCACCCAGAATTGGCAACAAATTAAGAGTCTGTCGATTCTTCATAACAGTGCTATGTATTGGTCTTTGACATGGTTTCTCTAGCTTGGTTGTAGGTGTGTGTTTCAGCATGTGTGTGCATGTGTGAATCCATGTTTGTGTTGGTGTGTCAGAGCTAGGGGTGTTACACATGTGTTGCAAGTAGATAACATATTGGGCTGCGCGTTTGGCTTAATTTCAATGATCTGGTGGAGACAAGAAAAATTTTAATAAAATACACAAACCACAAAGGTTTTAATGAGCGTTATATCGCAAAAAAAACATTCACAGTTAACTGAATACATGTACAATACAAGAGGCATTTTGGAATATAATTAAAAATATTATGTCTATGAATCTATGTGTATATTCATCTGCATAAAATCTTTTATTTACACGGTCTATAAATTGTATAAACCAAGCTTAACACATTCATAAACAACATAAGATAACCATCGAAATGTACAGCCACATAAAAATGACTTGACTAAAAATAAGAGAACACATCATATGAGGATTAAATTAAGACAACTGTGAACTTTGCAGAAAAACAACAACTACACGTCTTGTCTTTGTATATCAAGTGTAAAGGTGAGAGTTCATCAGTCTGGTAGAAAGTTTTTATTCACAGGCAGTTCCAGGCGTCCAGGCTGGTTTTCTGGTCAGCCAGAGCAAGGCTTTATTTGTTAAGAGGAAGTCTGTGGACACATAGGCCCAGCAGCTTAGGCACTTTAATCAGTTTGCATGGAGAGGGGGTCTTTCCAGTAACTGAGGGGGGGCGTCCTCTCCGATGGCTGCAGAACGGACTTTGCGGGTTTCCTTCTTACGTCGGAGCATTGTGGTATGCTGTTTCACCAGGAAACGCTTATCTGAGCTACTCTGTGAGGGAGACACATACAGACAACATGCACACACACAGTAGAAAAGTATAACAAACGGACAGACCCCAGTTTAAATGCTTCACTTGCAATCAACTGGATGTATCTCAAATATTTATGTGCTTTCTGTGACTCATTTTTGGATATCTAACTTGTTTAGTGTCATGTGACTTACCATAATCAGCATATCTTTCAGTCTCTCAATGGCCTTCTGATTGGCTCGCCCCCGTGACACATATGAGGTTAAGATTATACTGAGGGAACAGAGAGTTTCATGTCACATTTAAAGACCAGCAGATCAATTCAGAGTACTTCTTGGTCATCATGTAACTGTACTCTTGTTGCTTCTAGTTCTCTCACCTTAAGGTTGAAACAGTCTTAAAGTAGGTTATACTTACTGCTGGCGTTTGCTTTCTCACTTTGTATACTTACATTTCAGCTAGTATGAGCGGCAGGGCGAAGGCCTCAGAGGACAGGTAGCGCAGAGTGCTCTGTGCCAGGCTGGGTAGACTCTTCACACACACTCCTGTCACATTAAACACCGTTTCTCCATTTCCAAAGGGACCACAGGAGGACCTGGGAAGGAAACAGAAATAACAAACTGAAGAAATGTGCAACAGAGGAAAGTAACTTAAGACACAAATAGGGTGCACTGAATTTGAACATGCAGACACTTGTGGATGCAGTGCTATTCTCTGCAACAATAACTGTGAAACAGCAAAATAACAGAGTTACAGTACATGTCTATATTGTTCAGTGTCCCGTCCTGCTGGTAGAATTCGAAGCCCACTGTGGTGGCAGCCATGAGGAGACCGAGCAGCAACATGAAGTGGAACAAAACTGAAGAAGTGGAGGCTCGAAACATTCGGTGCTCCGCGACACAGCACTGCAGGACCGTGAACTGAAGACAGTGTTAGACAGAGAGAGACATGGATATTATTGGAAAATGTTGAAATATAATTGATGGTCACTGCTGAGCAACAAACCGTAGACTATTGGGCAACAAAAGAACACAGAACTATTAAAAACAAACAAAATTTCTTTTCTAGAATGTGACAATTATAACAATGTAAATTATTACTTAAATTATTGATATTTTAATCAATACATTTTTGGGAAACTTGCTTAATAATAATTATATATAATAATCTTAGATGAGAAGATAAAGCTGGAGCCAGAGGGCGAGGTGCTGGTAAGAGGATTTTGTTACCGGGCTAAGCTAAGCCAATCGCCAGCTGGCCGTAGCCTCATATGTAGTTTACAGACATGAGAGTAGTCTCAACCTTCATTGAAACTCTCGGTAAAAAACAAATGAGCGTATTTTCCCAAATTTTCTAAGATGACTTCATTAATTCTCACATCATTTGACTAAACAAATAATAACATAATCCAAATGAATGTCATAATTGTGATTTATTTACCTCTGTTGTGAGTGTTTATTTCATTATTTAACTGACTGGTTTAGTTTTATTCATTGTAGCAGTATTTTGAGTTTATTGTTGGACTGAAACCTTTTGGGTCATTGTTCAAATGCAGGTGCAGACTGTTTAACTGGAAACATGAAGAGACACAAAGTGTGAGAGAGCTCGTGAACGGCTCCGACCTTTTTAATGTAGAACGTGGCCACCAGTGTGACAGTTCCTATGAGAGGCAGCAGAGGGCAGTAGTACATCCCCACCCAGGACCCTGTCTGACTGTACACCAGATCCAACACATACAAAGTGATCGGGAAGTGTTGTTTCCCCAGCAACCGGGTCAGTAAGGATGTCGGGTATTTCTCCCGCAGCAGCCTGTCAAACAGAGGAAAGACAGAAGAAGAGAGAGTTTTTCCCGACTTCTGTGGAAAAAGACATCACATACATCGATCTTTCCATTCAAACCACGGCGATGACTAAGACAGAGAGAGACTGTTGTTCTGAAGTAAACCCACTTCCTGGGGTAGCCCACAAGAAAGGCGTTGCAGAAAGTGTTGAGGAAGTTGAAAATGCACAGCTTGTACATCTCTCTGCCGAACTGGTTCTCCCTGCACCAATGCTATAAAGAAACACACGGATAGAGAAACGACAACAAGACACAAATCAGTCCTGAAAGTCTGAATCAAAGACAAATAGCATTACTGTAACAATGTCTCATCACAGCCCATTTCATTCGCAACTCACTTGTTGATGTCCTGCTGTTGGGAAGAGGAAAAATAAGTAGATCCCCAGTGAAGCCAGCTTCAAGAAGATGCTCCTGAAGAGGAAAAGACAGTGAATTTACGCTGTCTGTGTGTACCGAAGAGTTTCATGCGCCTTCCTTACCTCACAAGCGTGGCATTGACCTGCATGGTGAAAGAGTAGTCTTCAAAAGACGAGATCTTATGGAAGATGTAAGGGAAGACCAGGTTGAGAGAGGTGATGGTGATGGGAGGAAGATACTGGAGGAACAGACTGACCAACCCATAGTGCCCACTCTAAGAAACACAGTCAGGAAGAGATGTGAAAAGCTGGAAAAAAAAAAGCAGGACCACCAAAAGCTGATATTGAGCATCGCGGCCTTACCTCATTCAGTGATGTTTTTGTGGCAAAGTAGATGAGGCAGAAGGATCCGCCCAGCAGAGACAGAACGAGCACGTTGAGGATGAACCTGAGCAGGTAGAGACGCACCCGCTGTCTAAGTGTCCTCTGAGACTCACGCAGGGAGAAACTCTGCTCCTCCAGGAACAGCTGAAGACACAGAAAGACTTTTATACTCAGGCTGTGTATCATATCAAATCAACCTTAACACTGTTTCAACACAAAGACACAAGACACTTCAAAATATCAGACAAGAACAAGAATCATATTAAATATACTGTTCACACCTTTCTTTAGCCACATAGTTTCATTTAGGGGAACAGGGGAACTCCAGATAAAGTCATCATGTCATAAACACAAGACTCAGAGTCATCTGTTTGTACATTTATATCTTATTTTTGAGCTGGTCACTCTCTGATTTAAGCAATATTGCGTGGCCATTTTCCTCCATGGAGGTGGGCGTTACTTTTTAGTGACATTTACCACCTTGTATCTTTATAGGCATGCACATGTGTAATGTGTACATCTGTTTTATGAACACTTGGCCATTCATCCTGGTTAGTGGATACCTTAAACCACTCATTTTTTGACTTCATTGATCATCATCTTTATTTTACTTTTAAAAGTTTTTTTTTAAGTTTTAAAAGTTGTAAAACTTCAAAATCACCCTTAGTTGTGCATGATCGGCCAGGTTACATTTTAATTTATGAAGATTTACACTCTGTTGCCAGTTTATTAGGTACACCTCACTAAAAACAATACAACTGTCTAATACAATGAATCCGACCTTCAAGAAAGTTATAATGTTCAGTTTTTGTTGAAACTGTTTTAGAGAGGTGCTGATTCCACTTTATGGTAATTCTGGAGGCTGCACATTGTGTTGCTCTTGGATAGTTTTGTGTTATACGGAGAGGTGTTTCAGATATTAAGCCCTTGGTGTGTAAGAAACAGTGTTCACGTAGCAATTTACATAGCATCTGGTGGTTGTGGTAAATTTAGCACCCTGTGTGGAAGGATGGCATCATGCATGCAAATACTACATGTCCGTCCACGCACCTTGAGGTCGTTCCTGATGAAGCTGTGTTTGAGAGTCGCTGCATCAGGGTCCTGGATGTTGAAGTCCCAGCCACAGAAGATCTTATAGCTCACATTCATACTGTAACGCTTCCCGAGCATCCAGGTGTGCTTGTAGCCAACTGTCGTTCTATCAGAGGTGTTTACAGATGAACACATTAAATATGTAAGATGTTTAGGGAAATGACTATTGACGCTTTTTGTTGCTGTGTTGTCAGGGAACACTGACCTGCGGACTACCATGATGAGACTGAGGAAGAAGATGGTGATGATTCCAACCAGGTACAGCAGAGGCGTATTCAAGCATGGCAAATTCAGGGAACCACGTGTATAATAACCAAAGAAGACTGGAGAACGATCCAGATAACCCTGTTGAGAGGAGGGGAGAAAGAGGAATGAGAAGAAATACATCAAGTACACACACACACACACACACACACACACACACTCCTTACAGATCCCAGGAAGAAGTCTAAAACTGAGTCATTGCTTCCAAACTTCAATGGTTCTGTGAAACACAAACAAAGACAGAAGTTTATTTTTAGGACTCTATATCCAGTTGTGGTAAATTTACTGTAATCTGTCATTACAGCTGACTCACCACTGCTGTTGCTCCAGCCATAAAATGTTGTAGGCCCCAGAATGAAACCCCAGATAAGAGCACAGTTTATTAGGTTCAAGTAAATCAGATACCTGAGGAAAACAAAATAGGCCTTCACGCCCACACCAAACCTGCCTGGGAACAGATCAACAGTGAGCATTAGGATTTTAATTGTGCAATAACATTAACGTGCATGGTGAAGTTACCTCATCACTACATCACAGCACACTAGCAGCTAAGAGGTGTCAATAGAGGTCCATACACAGTAATCTACTGCAGGCCTTTCTTACCTTCAATGGTGTGGAGAGTGTGCTGCCATGGCAACAGGCTTGATAGAGTTCCTCCCATCTGTGCCCATACCCTCTTCCTGTTGATGCTCTGGCCCCGCCTCCAGGACTCCCAAAAGCCAATATTTCTGATTTGCATCTTCCTCCTGTCCCTAATTAACAGTGCAAACATAATAATTCATGAATTCCTTCGTATCTTAACATCTTAAACCTTTACCCTAAACATGAAAATACCATTAACACACTATTAATTCAAAAATTGGAACATTTAGTTTAAAGGTACACTGAAATTTCTACAGAAAGATGTGGAGGTGTGAAAGGCATGGGTGTTTATAATGACAGATGCTGTTAAAATTGATTATGGGTATGGTATCTTTGGAACTCCACACTAGGAATTAATCAGGGTATTTCGGCCTCCACTCTTATTTTCATCATTCCTTTTATTTTTTTTAATCTGTGTCCCCCAACTGCATAAAAATGCAATACCATTGGAATGTCCCTCTAACTCATTAAGAAAAAGAGGATGTATAATGTTTTCACATTTTCTTCAAATTTGGTCTCAAGTATAAACTGATTATATTCAAGTATTCACACACTAATGAACTGGACTGGTTGGTAGAGGCATACAACTGCAAGGCGGATATTCTACTTCTTTTAGTTGTGTTTCTCTTTTTAGAAACAGAAGAGAAACTAAACTTTCTTTTTTATCTACAGATCTGAAGGTTAATTATGTGGACAGGAAAGAAAATTATAAAATTTTTCCATTTGGTTTTGCATGTGAATTACTGGATATATTCAGGCCCTTAAAAAGTATTTAGAGAGAAAAATAACCGAGGTGGCCACCAGTAAACTGGACGCCACACATGAACATATGCAACTTTTAACATGGGGTCCCAATAGTCTTTCATTTCACTGGTTCACAAACCAAAAAGGTTGGAAACAATTGTTCAAAGTGCGGCAGACACAAAATAGAATATTGTAGTATGTGAATGATTTGAAAGGACTCTTTTTATTTAACTCCATAAAGCCACATGTGCTAGAGTGTGTGACAGCGTGGACTTTTTCAAACGTCAAATTAAGACGTAGATCGAGAAGAAGCAGGATGAAGGAGTATATAGTAAGCTCGCCCACCTGGTATCTCGCTTCGCCTGAATACACATGGCCAAGTTTCTGAGTGGCTGCATAGACAGCTTGTCTCTGGGTCCTCTGGACAGGTGGCCATTGATGAGCTTCTCCCCCGGCTCTGGGCTGCCCTGGTAGACCTCACACACTTCCAAAACACCCTGTCTGTTCTGCTCTGGCCGGCAAGCCTGGATGCTGGGCAGCTGGTCAAATATCTCTGTCTGATAGTACTCATAGTCGGAGTCCAGCGACAGGGTGGATTGAGTGCTCTCATCTGTGGTGACAATGACATGCAATTTCCTGACTGTGACATATGAATGTAGATAACGGTGAGTGTGTTTGAGCTAAGTTATGATCATGATTGTTTTATTATTAAGCTGCAGATTATTTTCTTGATTAATTAATCGCTTTGTTTACAAATGTTAGGACATAGTGGCGAAGGTGTCAGATGTCTCGTTGGGTCCAAACAACAGTTCAAAAATCTTCATATTTGAGAGGCTGGAACCAACAAATGTTAGAAATCTCTTCTTGAAAAATTACTCAATTATTAAATGACCAAAATAATTCATTCATTCATTTTGTGGCAATTCACAAGTAAAACACTGAAATGTAACCCTCCATGAAATATTTGCATGAATTAGACCAAAGCAGGTCTGACATGTTGACATTTAGCACAGTTGCTTTAAAGCGTTAAAATCCTGTGTTATTCCTGCCTCTGGGCTTTTCTGTGTGGAAGCTGCATGTTATGGTTTTCATGTAGTTTTGGATGTGACTTTGTTAAACATAGATCAGCAACTTATACTATTCACAAACAAGGTAATCGTGGCTCTTTGTTTGATTTAGTAGTAAGCTCTATGCAGAGGTACAGTATATATTATGTTCTGTATACAGTATGGTATACTGTAGAGACAGTGTTGAGCAAGCAAGATGTCCTCTCTCTCACAAACACACACAGAGATGATAAGTGCAAAGGCACATATGTATTATTTTCTGTTACCTGATAAGAGTCTCTTGAAGTTGACAGTGTTGTTCTCCTCCATTTTTTTCTCCCTGAAGTTCCTCTCTAAGCACCGAATCTTCTCACTTCATATACAACACAAGTCAACATACATCTCCACCGAAGGCGTAAGTCAAAATTCTAAAATTACTTCCGCAATCTGCACCAAAATATCCGGGGTTTTTTGTTTTTTTTTTTGCTCCTCACGCCAACGTCACACTGAAGTGAAGACCCCTGAGCGGCTGGGCTGGTAGTTAGCACTGTTGGCCAACCCCTGTTGGTATGTCTCAATCTCTGGCAGGTGGAGCAGATGTTAGATCTGTTCACACATAAACTGACTGTGACTGTGGCTGAATATGACTGACAGGAAATCACATGGCAGGATGTAGACACGGGCAATAATTTCACAACATAACAAGAAATATCCACACATACACACTGTACAGAAAACAAATGAGAAAATGCTGAAAGCCATAATTAGATGAGTAAGGTTCAGGTTTGAATTAAGACTGGATCTGCTCAACATCAGGCTATGTAGACTACTTTTCTTTTTTTTTTTAATGGTAAGATTTACAGTTTCATTTTCATAATTTATACTGTTGTACTAATGATTTATGGTGCAGTCTGGTCTCTTTTGGTTGTTTTCAGCTGACTTTATCTATGCAATCCACTGAGTACAATGCTAAACACACATTTAGTTTCAAATTACATACTGTAAATTGTAATTCTAAATATACTTTGCAATGATTATCAAGAATCTGTTTAACACGTATAAAGAAATGCCACAGCCATAACTCAGTTTTTCTTAAAGCACATATAGTAGTCATCATCTAGGTTTTTCACACGTAAACTATCATTTGCTTGATAACACTAGATGGACTTGACAGGATCGACACTAGGTAGTGTTTCATTATTTGGAAACTGACATTTGAATCTAATGTACGGGATGATGAAGCAGAGAGACTCTTTCCACCCACTTGCTATACCACAAGGACATCTGAGGTTTCCAGTCAGTACTTTTTACAAAGAAACATGAGCATGGGTGGCATGTCTTTTGTGCTATTTCAACATGCTTAGTTTCGATACTGATGCTCTAATGAAGATTTGTCTTTACCTGCTTGCTTTGTTCAGTTCAAGCGCACACTGTACAAGCAGTAGTGGATGAAGAATCAGATCAGATCTTTTACTTAAGAAAAATAGAAAAATCTCAAGGTAAAGATAATACACTACAAATAAAACTCTTGTATTCAAAACCTTACTTACAGTATATACAACTGCAGTTATCAGCAGAAAAATGTACTCTTAAAGTGTCAATGAGTCAGCAGGAACAATACTAGGATAATAAAACTGAGGCAGCTAAAAGGAATTCAGCCATCATTAATGCCCTTTCCTTCTGTGGCATGTCAAAATATCTGAAATGAAAAAGGGCCTTTGAGGAGTAGATGTTCACAAAGGCCATTTATGTATGACTCTTAATTTAGTAATATGAGGCAGGTCACTTTGCAAACAGCCTCACACGGGTTTCTTGGTGGTTTTCAGAGATAGCATAGGTGTGGCCAGGTCTGTGGAAGTGAGTAAGAAGGACGTGCCAGGACACTTTGTAGACATAAAGCAATGTAGGTCTATTTTATCTTAATCTACTTGTAGTCAAATGTTTTCAACTTTCAGCGTTGATTTGTGCATTTGTAGATAATGTAACACAAACTCACCGTTAACTTTGGTGGTTTCTACAGATTATATTTAACCCTACGTATAGTCTGTAGTTCCGCTTGTTTTAGTGTTTGTCTGCATTGTGTGACTAAACAAACACGTCTGGAAGGATGTCAAGCCAGAATAGGACTGCGCCATGAGTAGCAACTCTGCGGGGGTCAAGTTTACGTTACGTTGTCAGTAGAGGGTAATGCCGTTAAATAGTTTTTTGAGAGTAGGACAAGTATTTCAATTTTGATAGTGACTTTCGCATGTGACCAAAACCTTAGGTCCCGGCATGGCTGTTTAAAGTAAAGTGGAAAGCCAATATCACCCCTCCGAGACAAATGGTTCCCTCCCCCGCTGTCCGGCTGAGCGTGCTCACTATTTTGACTGACATAGTCGCGAGCAGTAACTCAAATGGCTAGTCAAGTTTCCGAACGGGTAAGTGAACTACTTTTACCTGTTTTTATACAAGTGTTTGTCTGTTGTTACGCTTCATTTAGCTTCCTCTTTACTTATAACATCACACATTTTCTGTCACCTCTGAGATAAACCTTTGCCAATTTAACGGAACTCTTGAATCAGGTTGACAAACCCGCAGCTTGCCGTAAGTCGTCATTGAGTAGGTAACTTTTAAGTTAGTCGACAACAGACGTAACAACACACGAGAGTTTGTCAGTTTCTCCTTTGCTGTTCTGAGAGGCGAGCTTGTTAAGCAGAAAGCCTGCAAAACTAATTACAGGTTCACAATCTCGGCTAAGGGAGCTTTTGTAGTCTATTGTGCAACAGCAGGGTTTGTTGTAGTAGGACTCTTAAGTGGCTAGAGATTTCAACAGATAGATAGATAGATAGATAGATAGATAGATAGATAGATATTTTTGCCACATCTGTGTAACAGCACAGGCCTTTCCAGTTTCTGTGATGTAGCCAACAGTAAACCTATAATTTTCTGTCCTTTTTTCCTGAATGAAGGCGGGGATACATGCAGTGTTATGGCCCTCAGAGTGCAATAACAGTGTAATTGTGTATGTGCATGCATGCCTGACCGTGTTAGAGACAGCAGAGTTGTCCTAATTGCATGCACATTTTTTTGTTTGCCTTCATCTCCCGTTAGTTGCCTGTTACTATTCTCTGCGAGCCTCTGCTTGTCATTGTCTTTTCATTCTTAGTATCTGCCTAATCTCCATAACCGTTCTTCCTTTGTACTAAAACACAGAATTGCAGGTCAACTTTATCTCTCTCCCATTTCCCAGAGCAAAACTCAAAACATCAGGGTATTGAAGTACAACTCTCCTTGCTGCCATGTTTGTTGTAGCTTTTTGCCTCCCTGATCCCTCTGTTGGCTTTTCTCAGTACCCTGGGAACTGATTAGCTTGCAGTTGTTGAGAGCTGTCAGGGTGGACAGATTCCTTTACACTGCTCCCTTCCCTTCACTCAAATGCCTCTACCTCACATCTGCTGATAACTGCCTTCTTTTTTCAGATTCAACACTGCCTATCATCCTATGTAATGTTAGGCAGTGTTTTTATTTGTGGACTAGGGTGTCTTCATTGTGACCCAATTATACTGCTGCCCTGTATATCCTGCAGCTCTAGTGCAATTTTGTCCTGATTTCTTTCAAACTCAATGTTCTCCAATGAACTTATAACCCAATTTAAACTCATAGGGAAACAGTCTTTATTCTCTCGTCCTCTGCTTTGTTTTCCCAGCTTATTTTATTTGGCAGTCGTGCAGCTCAACTCTGACCCCCTGTCAAGCTTTGTTTAGTGTTTGTCCCACTCCCACAATATCATGCCCTGCCTGTACAGTCTCAGAAGACCCCTTCAACATCAGTAATCACGTACTCACATGAGAATAAGACACACAGCAAGCCCAAACACTCACTATCATATAGAGAATGACTTGGGACTCCAGCCCTCCAGTGTTGCATAAACCCTTTGTTTGTTTCAATGCCCTGCAGCAGTGAGAAGCTGATGTAGTCAAAGTTGCGCAAAAAGAGATCAACATAGAGGAGTATATGGAATAGGAAACAGACACTTAAGGAAATTGTAATATGACCTCAGAGGCCTCAGATAATGAGAAGAGTATGTTTGAGAGAGAAGGAATAAGAACATATGTGTGTAGTAGATTTTCCATAAGAGGCCCTGAAAAGGACAAGCTTTAAAAGGATTAATGTTTGTGGTGGTAGAATGACATTTTTGAGTCATTTAGTCAGTGTGTTGGCTGATATTCAGAGCTGCGCCCTGCTTCATGTATGCTGCTGATATATTGTCTCAGGACAAGAACCCGAAAGACTTCCACCCCAAGCAAAAGTGCAGGTCTCTGTTGTCTGAGACACACACACACACACACATTAATGCATGTGTGATGATCACAATATGCTTTCATTATGTGTTGCTGTTCAGCCAGTACACTTTGTACAGGGCGCTCACATTAAACAGACGCATCCAGCTTGTACCTGTGATGTGGGAGGGGGAATACCCTCAGAACTACAACATATTAAAGCTGCAGGACTGGCAGTAAAATAATTGTACTTTGACTGTCAAGTGCAGAGTTTGTGATTGTATCATTAACAAGCTTAACAGATGTTTTCAATCCCAATCCCAAGAGTCGCATCACTAGCACTGTTTTCTGATGTGGGTGCATATAAACAGGAAGTGGATACGATGTTTATTTTAACCTAAACATGTTGTGTAGTTAGACCAGTATCTTTGGAAAATTCGGTGGTCAGTAGTGTTTCACTTTTTCTAATGTTATTATTTTTATTTCTTTTTATTATGTGTTTTTAACATACTGATATTCAGATTGTGCTGTGATTCATGCACTAAATATATTTCTGCATTGACCACCATTCTGTCAAGCTCCATACAGTGGCAAAAAACTGTGATCTTGTCACAATGTTAGTTGAATAGGAAAAGACAGTGAAAAGGGTTGGGTAACATTGATGAAATCCTCTATTGTTGTATATGTAATTTTATTTTCTGAAGAATCAATTGATATATTGGTTATGAAAACAATAATCAGAGATGAATAGCAGTTTTTTGACTAATCCGGTGACTTAAATGCCTGAATCACTGTATTTTGTCACATTAAAGCAAAAACATTTGAAAAATTGATTTTATAAAACAGTTCTGCTCTTTGATTTGCATTATTACCGAAAATGACTTCATAAATCCAAACTTACTAAAGATAGTCCAGGGTATAAACAGTAAGACAAAATCTCTGATGGTTGAGAGATTTATATATTTTCAAGATGTATTTCAACAATTGCTCACCCCAAAAGTGAATTAAAATAGAGTAATCTATCTGGTTAATGTTAAATTATATTCTCTCATCTGTGCTGCATTAACTGTGAGGTACAGTTTATGGATGTATTTTCAGATCAACTGTTTTTCTTTTATATCCCACGATGGCATCTGAATAGCAGAATTTATAGTTGTAGCTGGTGTTTTATTTATCCGCAGTCTCTGCTCTGCTGTCTCTAGGCAGGGTTGGATAAACTTGGTAAAGAGGTTTTATTAGTGACTAATGAATATCTGGATTCAATTTAACTGAAACTCGGGACATCTCCTCTCTGGGTCTTTGATTAAAGTTTTATATGCAGTCGTTGCACATAACTGAGAGTAGATTTTTGGACTGAAGTGAAGGCCTTTTAAAAATGAGCACAAACACACAAGAACCAACATGCTTCCTTCAAATCTTTCATATGACACGCTGACTGTGGTCACTGACAATGAATCCGTCTGTCTCTGTCTATGAATATTCATTTCACTGGTGACACTGCGCCTGACTCTGACTCTGACCACTGTCCTGATGACAAGCAGTGCCACAATGGAGCTCTCATGAGTCAGGACAAAATGACGCAGTTCCTCATGACAGGTCAACTTCACAAGAGACATTGTCCCCTCCCCACACTTAGTGTAAAAGCAGCTGAATGTTTACAGCATGCAAAAAAATGATGCATAAAGTTTTACACAGAGCTATATTTGAAGTTGTTCTATGTGAGACCCCGTTTACACTTTTATCCTTACATACAGATCACATATTAATGCAAAGTGTAAATGGGGCTTCGTGCTGGAAGTGCCATAGTCAGTCGTGATGTATGCAGTTTCCTCAAGTTGCAGTTAAAATGTGTGCAGGACAAGCAGTAACATGACAAGAGCGTTCAAATTCTAAGGATGTCTGCTGGCATTTTTCCCCTCTATCTCTGACTCACTCATTACTCCGTCTTACCCTCCTTTTCCCCGCCTCTTTCAGGTAGAGGAATAAACACCATGGTGGAAGTGGAGAGCAGGTCTGAGCAGGTGTGGGTGTGATCCCTCTACGATTGGTCAACAAAGAGAACGACGGCCAGACAGACTGAGACTGTCACGGGAGAAGAAGAATGGCTCGAAACGTTAACTTTGATCTGAACCATCCTCTCATGGAAGCTGGACTGGAGTAAGTGTCAAAGTTCATGTTTCTCCTGTTTTTCCTGTTATCTGTTTAGTTTTGCTGTACAGAGCGTTTTACACGAAGGCTGTGAGAAGAACAGAGAGTGTAAGGAAAATAAGGAAACGTTGTGACAAAACTAGCGGTGCTCTTTGATGTCTTGTTAGACACTTAACAGGAATGCGTACCTTCCCAATGCTTTCATGAATGTTTTTCACCATGCGATTGACTTCTAACATCCACTCTGGTGTGTGTGTGTGTGTGTGTGTGTGTGTGTGTGTGTGTGTTGTGTGTGTGTGTGCGCACTCTTCCTGTACTATCTTTGTAAAAGTGCTAAGTCAAAGGGAACTGGACTTACTGCTTGTTTGTTTTTTCTTCTTGCTATAAGAGAAAACAGTCAGTCCAGTTGGCTTTAACTCACAGTACATCTAGATAACGCAGGAAGAAGATCACAGATGTGGCAGTCTTGGCTATGCTGATTACAAATGGATGAAAATGACTTCATACACTCTTTTTGGGTTGTTTGGTTGTAGTTTCCTCCCATGAGAGTACCAGTACCTAGAGTCAGAAGGTCCTTGTGTTTGATCTGTAGTATTATCAGTGGCCATCAGTCCTCAGAGCACTCTGGATCTGTACTGAAGTGTGTCTTTGAATCTATCCTACCCTCTGTCACCCTCTTTTCTGTCCTTGTCCTCATGTCCATGTGTCTTTCTGTCAGGAGCCCAGTGGATGAGGAGGTTGTTCATAACTCGTTCAACCAGCTGATAGCAGAGCAGAGTCAGAATGAACTGACTGACGCCTTCGAGCTACAGCAGCTGCAGAGAGACCTGGACGAGGAGGGTCAAGGTACTGTGTATGTTTAACTGCACATAGATGCATGTCCATATGTGGAGAGCTGATTTTATACAAGAGCTTGGTAGTATGTAATTCAAATATTGATACAAGATGAATTAATTTGTTTGTAGTAATATTGTGATATGGCTTGAGTGTCCTCCTCTGGTCTCAAAGGCAACAAAATATTGAAGTTCTTTGAACTCATTTAACTGTTCCATCCAGCCTTTTGCTGTACCGCTTATTTAACTTTTCCATTGAATGTTTGTCTATAATCTTTTTGCTCATCATGTCAATATTACATCACCGCTCAAAAACATCTTGTATCTAAACATCATTTGAACACATCATTGGTCATCCTCAACAAATACCTTGTTCAAACATATCATCGGCTTTCCCAGAATTTCCAACATTTTTCATGTGGTGGTGTTTTTTTATTCTCCAGATAATGTGCCCTACCTGTCCAGCCCTGACTACAGGGAAAGGCTGCAGGGACAAAGAGAGGATGAATGGCAGGATGATGAAAGACAAACTGACCCCATCAGAGGTGAACACTGGTCCTCAGCCACCTTGAAGATCCTGTCATCCATGCCCAGTCGCACCATCGGTGGGTCCTGTCGAAGTGAAAACGCTGATAAAGAGAGAGGACGATGCATACAAACAGATACATATAGTGTTACTGTTGTTTATTTGAAGAGCTATTGAGCACATGAATGACTACCTGACAAAAAGATTTGTTTGTATGTTTCAAAGGGACTTTTTACAGATGTTTTGATATCATATCATGGCTCCCCATGAGAAAATGGAAGTGCAAATTGTGTGAAAGTTGGTAATTAACGAAAACAAAATGTTACAGCTAAGCTTTAGACTCAGCAGCAGTGACACACCCTAATGTTTCAGGGAAGTTCAGCATATGTGGGGTGTAGGACTGAATAGTTTAGTTAGTGAAATATTTTAACATCACTTGAAGATCTCAAGCTCATCTGCAGGTTGAGAAAAACCTATTCAAAAATTCATGGCTGTTTAGAACAAGGCTGTTTATCATAGTTCCCGAAAAATGTCCATGTTGGCCATATAAAGTTTCGCTACATAGGAAATACTGTATGTGCGTAGATAGTTGCCCTTGTTGAAAGTGCTTTATAGTACCATGCTTAACTAACACTTAACTAAGTAAGTTACTGTGTCAATATGGGGTTGCGTTGGAGCTATGCTGCACATGTTGAGCTATTAAACATAAAAACAGGCTTGTTTCAGTTGAGCAGAGTTTCATGGGGAAGCAACTGGTATGCTATCTTCCTGTCAGCATGTGTTGCAGGTCAGGTGCTTCAGCGTGTTTGTGAAGATGGCTCAATAGCTGTAATCAGATTCCTTTGGCTGTGGCACATGGTATATTTGCTGGTTTGAATTTCAACATCAGAAACATTGGTAAGAGATAACGGTCATTTAAGTCTACATGTCACAGTGTGCTCCCTTGTAAATACAGTTTTGCTGTTTAAACTTACAGCTTTGCTCAGTTAAGTTGCATCGTTCTCTTTCCCTCATTCTGATTTTATTTGTCATAAGATGGTTATTTCATTCAAATCTATGGAAAGAATAGAGATAGCAGATCCCATCTCTGACCAATCTGATCCTCTTCGTCTGTCAGGACGCAGCAGGGGAGCCATCATTTCTCAGTATTACAACCGAACCATGCAGCTTCGGAGACGCAGGCAGAGCAGACCCTCCATCCGTGACTTCTCTCGCTCTGCCAGACCAAGTATACGAGGCTACGGCATGGAGGGAGACTGTACTGACACAGAAGGTACAGAGTGTGAGGAGAATCACTTCCACTAGCTAGACTGTTCAGACACTACAGTATAAACTAATCTGTGTTTGACACATTTGTAATGTTACTTCACTCGTCATTCTGTGTGTTACAGTGACTAAAAGGGAGCGTTTGGTGAACAACCTGCAGAACCTTTCAGTGAGCGACAGAGTCAGGATGCTCCGAGCAATGCCCCTCAGTGTGGCTGAGAAGAGTGAACTCAGGTTCATGTGGTCTTTGTTCACATTATCAATATTTAGATTAATTGTGTTTTTTCTGTATCAGTCTGAACTTCTCTTGTTGATTCTCTGTCTACAGGACATTAGCATTACAAAAGGAGAGACGCATATTTTCTGGCAGTCAGATCCCCTGTTGCAGTCAACTCAAATATTACATCATAATTGTAAGTCACACCACCAGCAACATCTGTCTATGTTCTACTTCCTGTATTTTTTTTCACACACCAAGTTCGTACCAAGACCACCAAGACCACTCAGAGCGTATCTAGATACTGTACCAGTTTCTAGTGACCCCTTCATCAATCACACAGACAGCAAGTTAATTAAGCAGCATTAAGCAGGTGTGTCCAGTCCACACCTCAAAGCTTAAAAATCACCTGCTAGCTCATTTGCTTCTGTTTTACACCCTTTTGTTTGTGACTGAAAAAGAACTAATAAGCTGAAGTCAGTAACAGGCAATGGCTTATGCCTGAGACAACCTCATTAATGTGGGGCCTTATTCGCTGAAGTGTGATATGTAAAACATAGCTGCAGCTGCAGTGTAGTTTTTCCTGTTTTAAGGATGTTGATGAGCAAAGATTAGACAATATAATTGTCAATACTTGTGAATTATCACCAAAGCAAAATAAATCTTGGCTTAATCTTAACCACTAATTCATTTAAACTGCTGCAGCTGTGACATGCAAACAGGCTCTTTGGAGGTGTTGAAGAAGAGGAAGCGAAAAAGTGTAGTGTAGTGACTTACCTTGATTCCTGATTGTAAGTGTTGTAAAAAAAGATGCTCATTGACCAAGTCCTGGATCAGTTTTATTGCATCAGGCTGAAATAATAAAACATGGCTGAAAAAAACAACAACATAATAACATAGTAACAGTAAAGTCAGTGTAATTAACAGAGCACACAATCCAGTTATCAGAGTCATGCTGCTACATGTGATTTGAGATACAGTGGTCTCAGCCTTTTGGACCCCACTGTACGTTTGATTGTAGTAATTGATTGTCAGCTAGCTGATTGAATACTGGGCTTTGACCTTTGTGCACAGAGGGGAACGTTGTAGTAGTTTCAGTTTCTGTTCCTGGTCTTCTAAATTCATTTTCACATCATCTGTCTATACATAATGACCTCATAATCATTCATGTTTTTAAAATATTCTTGATTAGATTTACACTTAATATTTGCTATAAATAATAAATGGGACACACATTCTTCGCAAAGGCGGTAAATGGGTGTCAGAAGGTATTTCTTGTATGTGTTGCTATCAAAGCAGGGTAATCCCTCTGTTGCCCAAGCACATATGTCTCTGAGAGCATGAATCATACATTTAAGACTAACAAAAGCTAAACCACAAACACAAGTACACTTTGCCTGGAACTGAAGTGATTTTTAGTAAAACATGGATGTTTCTGAGTCATTTTTTTTCTTTCAGTATGAAAGGATTGTTGATTGTGAGATTTGTGATTGTCTTCTGTCCCCCTGTTCTCCCACGCTGTCTCGTCCTAGGCGGTGAGACAGAGCTGGTACAGCTGGTTGTCCTTCCTGCACTCCCTCCACTTGTGGCAAGTGGCGCTCAAGAGAGTGAGCGGGCGTTTCGGCACTGGGGTCCTCTCCTACTTCCTATTTCTTAAGACCCTGCTGTTCTTCAATCTCTTCCTGTTTCTAGTGACGGGTGCGTTCTTGGTGCTGCCTCAGGCAGTGCACCCTCCAGTGCTGCCTGCTGTGAAACGCTCCTTCTCTGGACTGGAGCTCCTTACCGGAGCAGTAAGTTCTGACCTGTTGTGACATGTTATTGCAACACTTCTCACACCTCAGTTTTTAGAAAACAATCATCACATACTTGTGTGTGTGTGTTCAGAAGCTTTACATCCATGTGATGAGACCCTTATAACAAAGCAATCTTTAAACTGCTGGAAATAAAGATCCCCTCCACTCAGAAATTAGTTTTTCTTATTGTTACTTCAGACTCTAGATGTTTCACCATCACTGTGCGGAATAATGCTTCATTCATGTTCATCTGCTGAAGGGGGAAAGTTTCTCTTTAATTCATGAACAAACAAGCAGGATTTTGTGACCTCACAACTTATTTGGCATCAATCATGGTCCAGTATGCAACTTCCATAAGTGTGATGTGGAAACTTGAAGCCTCCAGTGGACGTACACTGAAAATTGACTTTTCAGTGAAGTAGGAGACTTCATGCTTCCAGTTTTTAAACTTTTGAAACTAAAAACATTTGCATATCACTAGATTCAGTATTTTTCAATAAAGGAGAAAGAGTAGGTGTAGAGGAGATTTTAATAATTTTTTAACAAGGTAATTTAGGTTTTTTGTGGAAAAACCATACCAGACATATTATTGTTCAAAGCAAGTTTTATGTCCTTAAACATGTCTGGGGGGCTTCTTAAGTCTGAAAATGTGCGAGCAAGGAAAATAATCACATTCAGTTTGTAAGTTTTAACCCAACCGAAATGTAACAAAGTCAAAGTGGGAAGAAAATGTAAGTTTTTGTACAAAAGACTGTCTCTATGTCTCCTTTTGTCTCAGGGGTATTTGTCAGACACAGTAATGTATTATGGCTACTACTGTAACTACACACTGCACAGGAGCTGCAGGGATGATGGTCGAGAGCAGAATATCTCCTTGTCCAATGGAACCAGGCTGGACTGCATGTCGAAGCACCTGTCTTACAACATGCCACTTGCATACTTCTTTACCATCGGAGTGGCCTTCTTTATCACATGCATCATCCTCGTGTACAGGTACAGTGTTTGTGTACATATGTTGTAAATTTAAAAAAAATCTACTTCAGGCTTGCTTCAACCCACATATGTTATATATTTGTTATATATTCTGATGCATGTTAATGTGCGATTTCCCAACAGCATGTCCAAGTCGTTTGGACAGAGCTTCCGAATTGACAAATCTCACAGTATCCTGGCCGTGAAAGTCTTCTGCTCCTGGGACTTCAAGGTCATCAAGAAAACTTCTGTCAAACTCATGTCTGAAAATATCTGCACCCAGCTCAAGGTACATGTACACACACACACACACACACACACACACACACACACACACACACACACACACACACACACACACACACACTCCCACTCTTTGTTTTCTTTTCTGTCACATAGATGCAAGGAATGTGATGATCTAATACATTCTTCTCCTTCTTTATCCCTCTCTTTGTCCCTCCCTCACAATGTCCCTCTTCTCTCCACATACCTCACCCGTTCCCTCCCTCTCACCATCACCTCTCTCTCCTCTTCCTCCTCCCTCTCCAGGAGCTGTTGGCAGAGGTGAACCATAAACATGTCAAGAATACCGGATGCCAGAAAGTGTGGAGACTGACGGTCCAAGGTATAGCATGGGCCATCTGCATAGCAGGCACCATTTGCTGTGTGATCGGCATTTACTTCTTCTCTCATTACATGCACAAGGTGAGGCGGGGTGATTTCAGGGTACGACATCAACATTTAGTAAGGATCGACATTTGTATTGGTGGATACTCAGACTTCAGGCTGTATTTGCTATCCTTTGACGTATAGTTTTTGGTCTGCTGGCCACCATACCAACAAACTGCTGATTGGCTTCATGTTTGCACTATGTTAAATGGTATAAACAGTACCATCTAAATATCTCTTGCTACCTTTTTGATTTTAAATCCCCTATACATTATGTAGGAATTGAAAATTTCCACGTTGCTGGGGACTCCTGGTGGTGCTATCAGAAACCACATGCTGAGTCATAGCAATGCTGCTAACAGTGAAAGGAGCAGACTGGGTTTGTGATCTGATCTGTGACAGCTGGAAGATGACAGAGCAACCCGCAGTAACATTAAACAGCACACCAATCTAGCTTCACACTCAGCTTTCCCTCATTCTCTTTCCACAGAACCTCCAGCAAACTTCTCGTAGTCCTCTCGCCTCCCAGAACGCCTTGTTGAATGAGGCCAGCCTGTTGGCTCTGCCTGTGGTGGTGTCACTCATCAACCTGCTGCTGCCTGGCCTGTTCAACCTTGCGGCCTGGATGGAGGACTACGAGTCACCTTCTGTATGCACATATGTCGCCATTGGCAGGTATGAGCAGAGGAACTGAGTTGATGTTTGTGGGTAAGAAGATGCAGAGCTGTTAGATTGTTGTTGTTAACACGTTGTTTGCCGTCTGTGTTTTCTAGGAACTTGATGTTAAAAGTGAGCGTTCTTTGCGTCCTCTGTTACCACTGGCTGGGTCGGGTGGCTGCTGACCTTAATCACTTTATGGTATTATTAATGACAAGATTTTCACCTTCACATCACCAGACACCTCTTTCCTCATAGCTGTGCTAATGAGTACTTTTCTAATCTTGATTGTTTGAGTTTATGTTGCACAGGTTGTTACTTCCTTAATGACAGACTCCGTTTTGACTGTATTACCTTTAGTGCTGGGAGAGTTTTGTGGGCCAGGAGCTTTATCGCTTCCTACTAATGGACTTCATCTTCACTCTGCTGGACACCTTGTTAGGAGAGTTTCTTTGGAGGTGGGTCATTACATTTCATTTTTTGTTGCAGAGTTTTCTTTTCTCTCTTTGCATTAATAACACAGAACTATGAAAATTGCACTTAAAATTTTTGTTGATTTCTTTCTGTTCCTTGGCTGTGCTGTATTTAACCACCTCTTTTCTCCTTGTCTCTACAGGTTGTTTTCTATGAGGGTGCTGAAGAGGAGGAGGAAACCTGTGTTTGATATCGCCAGGAATGTCCTTGAACTCATCTACGGACAGACCTTAGCCTGGTACTAAACTTACTGTAACGATCTCCACACAGTCATGCGAAGTGATGTCAAATATTTTCTGGGTAATGACAATAAACTTTGTGTTTTTCAGGTTGGGTGTTCTCTTCACTCCTCTCCTGCCTGTGGTGCAGCTTATCAAGCTCTTGCTGCTCTTCTACATTAAGAAGGTACTTAAATGGAAAGATTTAATTTGAAACGCACAAAATTAAAGCTTAAACTGAAATTTCCATGAGGGAAAAAAACTAAACAGAAAATATTTGTACAGTTCATTTTGTAACAATCAGTCCAACAAAAACAATTTCCCTTGTTCTTTTTTTAATGTTGTGGTTGAAATTATCCTCTGTAGTGGTCTGCCTTTAGGAACTCCCAGTCTATTAGACAGCTCCAGAGTTTTGGATTGTGAGATTTTTCCATTTGAATTTTTGTCTTGAGCAGTAACAGTATTTTTTCGTCTTAAGCTCAGTGGTCCTCTACTTTTGTCAGATTTCTCTGTCTCATTCTCACACTTCTGAGAGTTGGGATGGAAGCAGTGACCTCTGACCTCAACATCTCTTTTTTCTTTTTCTTTTTTTTTTGTTTCCCTACAGAGCAGTGTGATGATGAACTGTCAGGCTCCCAGGAAACCATACAGAGTCAGCCAGATGACCACCATCTTCATCACTCTCCTCTGCTTCCCCTCCTTCCTCGGTGCCTCTGTGTGCGTCACATACACCATGTGGAGGTACTCACAGAGTTGACCTTGTCGCTTCAAAGGGCATTGCATTAACTTATATTATCCTTGTGGATTTATCCTATTCTTAATCATAACCGCTAAATGGCCACGTACAGACCAGTGGACCTGCGTGAACAAACACAGTCCGCTCATTCATTTCAGTGAAGCCACTGTGTTGTTACACTGGCGTTGTGGGCTCTGCCAAAAAACACAGTCGTTCAGCTCCTCTTTTGCCGCAGTGCAATGTAATCTGACAAGGCGCTGCAGTGGCCAACCAAACAGGTTTATTATTATTTACCATTAGATTATTTTGTAACATTAACACTGTATTTCTACCATTTATCTCGTGATCGTTGTTGCGGAGGATTAGATGATTGTTACTGTGGGACTTTCCAGAGTTACAAAACCATACCCGATTGTACTGTTTACTGCTGTGCAGTGTTTTGGAATCTGATAAGCCAAACTCATAGATCTCTTACTCAAACCGGTCTTCCTAGATGGTTCTGAGAAAACACACCCCTACCAACACCAGTGGCCTTTTTTAAGTCGATGCATTTTTCAGTCTGAACTCAGTAACCTCGGCCAAGTCTTAACCCTCAAATTTAATAGTTTGTCTTGTGTGGCACCCACTGAGACCAACTTTTTGTCCCTGTGAATGTGGCTGTATGAAATCTTTATGCCAACAACATGAGAAGTAATTGCACACACAGATACAGACACACACGTTTGGCATTGTAGAGACTGTATTGCTATGTGTTTCATGTTATTAACCCATCCCAAATCCTCACACACACACACACACACACACACAAAACAGCAAATTGTTAAAATATGTATTGCATTGTGGGATTGTTAACACAAAGTAATGTACGTACCATGGACACTACTTTTTCCATTCCACAGTGGATTGTTTGAGGGCACTATATAGAGGACGATTTTACACATTCAAATACAATGGTGGACGTTAAATATGGTGCACCATATAGTAAATGGAGACATTTTGGACACAGCAAAAGATGCTTCGTATTGCCATGCAAGTAATGAAACAACGAGGTGTTTATCACACTCGCCACTTGCCACAGATACAATGCTGGACTGTAGGCGCATTACTAATCTTTAAGGTTTGTTTGTTGTCAGTTTTCCTGGCCGTGACATAATTCACCTGAATTGCTGTGGACCAACTGAACGAACAGTGCTGTGTGTCTGCTCTGCAAACTGTTTTCTTTTGTTTTTTTTTGTGGCATCACAACAGAGAGATTCACACATACAAACTCAACATGTTTCTCCTGTCCTCAGTATCACGCCCTCCTCTTCGTGTGGTCCGTTCCGTGGGCTCAAAACCATGTTCCAGGCGGGGAAACGCTGGGTGGAAGAACTGGAAAAAGATAATCCTAACCTGTCCGTGCTGGCCAGGGCTCACTCCTACCTGGTGGAAAACCCTTTCTTCCTGTTTGTGGGAGCAGGCATCTTTCTGTGAGTGCATAGAGAAACACACACAGACACAGCTGCAGCAGGGTGTCCCACAGTCAGTGTGTGCTTTTATATACTGTAATATCAACTTGCATTACTATTGAGATCAATGTTGTTGAGTGCAGCGCTGCTTGTATCGATCTGATGCGCTCTGTCGCTTCTTTCCATCAGGATAGTCATCTACTTCCACAGTCAGGTGGTGGACGGTCAGAGGAAGATCATCAGTTTACTACAGGAGCAGATAGAAAATGTAAGACAGCGCCTACACAATAACAACTCTGTTTCTCAATCTATCTAAATATGAAGATGACTATAAAACAGACTGAAATGTTCTTAAGTAAAAAGAATGTTTCCTCTGTTGTTATTTCCTGCTCTTTGATGTATCTGGTTCATCTTCTTTTCATCCCTCTGATCAGGAGGGAGAGGATAAAAAGTTTCTCATCACTCGCCTCCAGTCCATCCATGAGCAAAAACGAACCCCCGCTCGAAGACTCACAAGTCAGGTTGGTTTTTGATGCTTTTTTGCTCTTCTTTACAACAGCAGTCTTTTCCAAAGCTACAATACAAATGTCTACACCCTGGCTTTTGCTTATGTACACTTTTTTTTTCAGGACTCTTCCTGAACGAGCCTTCTCAATTCTCTGAGCACAAGTCTGGAGAAATCTTAAACCAGGGGTAATATAACTGGAACATTAGCACCGAAGGACAGCAGTGAATATGACCAAAATCAAGTGTATCATGCATCTTGTAGATTTTAAATTTGGTGAGGATTTTCATTGCTGGAATATTTGTAGAGAGAAGGAACAAACTACGTGGAATTATCAGGTGAAACAAAGCTCTGCTTCATCCAGTAGGCCACTATATATACTGTATATGAAATGTTTGAACTCAAACTATAGGAAGTCAAAGTGAAGCCTGACAATGCCCCTTGTAAGGCCAGTAGCTATGTTTGACTAGTGATAGATAGATGGCTGCTCAAGAACCGAGAGAAGACAAAACAGCAAAAGAGAGGAAGAGAACTGAACTCGTGTGTTTGCAAATGTTTTTGAGTTTAAAAAAGTAAACTAAGCCGCAAGCAGCTGATCCTGTCTGCAAGAAAACAGACTGTATAACAGACAAAAGTTTAAAGTGTCCTCATTTTAAATAGATTTTAGTCATCTCTCATAGAAGCACTTTCATCCCAACTGTGAACTGTTTTTTTTAATGCTTTTAATTTTTAAATTTTTTTTATCAGTGTGCATGTTGTAGGTAAACTTGGATGTTGTGGGTGTGAGTATGATACTACTGTTAATGATGCTGTTTTTTTTTTTAATTTTGTTTTCTTAATTGTTGTTTTAGGGCAATAACTGCAACTGTAGTGTCATACTTCTGTAATTAAATTATGTTTTATCATATTGGTGTGTATTTGTATTTATTAGTGCTTATGTAAAGTGTGGGCACTACTACAGCACAAGAAAATATTTGTTACAAACTCAACAGCCTGAAAAACAATACCGACATGATTTGTAGTGTGAGAATACAGGAATTTTACAAACATGCAAGTAACAAAAGTAAATGGTGACACGACTAACTGTATGCGACTATAAGACATATAAAAGATATTTTCAGTAGAAAAATAAATATACAAGCACTTTTAAGGAGCCTGGAGAACAGTAATAGAGTAATAATCTTAATCTTTGTACCTTTTTATTAGTAAATATTACCCATTAAATTATTTTTACAAAATGAGAAAAAGCAGCATATTTGGTGTAGGATAGAAACAGCAGCACCGTAGATGGGTTTCTGAATGTGATATTTAGAGTTGACACAAGAGAGCACCAAATCCCCACAAAACAAACTGGGAGCTGTTTTCAGTCCAGCGCTTCCTCATTACAACTCTAAAGACTATTGTAGACTACCACCATGACAGTTTCAACTGCATATACACATTATACAGTATATATTTACTGTATATATGTATATGTATGTACATACACTGCACCCAGTTCATTGCACTTGTGTACACCTCACAATAATAGCATATCTGCATCCGTCTATATTGTTAAAACAAGGAACATGTGATCCCATATGTTGTGTTTAAACAGCTCAAACGTTCTGGTTCGATTGTGTTTGACTCAGTAACAGCTTTAAAACTCATCAGGCGCTTGTGAGTATTTCAGTTGTTCAGTTTTTTCAAATGCTGAATTAGTTTTGTCTGTTGTCTGGAGGAACTGACGTTTTCTCATTAGAGTTTCGTTTCCATGTTGCTGTTGTCTTCGATGTATATTCAGCACTTTTCTCGTCTCTGCAGAACGGCTTACCGACGCTACACTAAAATGTGACTCAGCTCCCGTTATTGAGCATGCCCAGTAGCTTCCTGGGGTCCATCCCCTGCTGCTGAGCCATCTTCTGCACGTCAAAGCCCATGTGCTTCAGGAACTGGATCACGCTCATCTCCTGTCCCGTCAGCTGATCACGAATTGTTGGGCAAGAGGGGTTACAGTGAGGCCACGGGCAGCTGTCAATCAAATGTAGAGGACAACCCCTCATGGGTGGGGTCTTGTGCTTTTGGTGGCTGTGGTTGCCGTGGCTGCTGTTGATGTGGAGGTTGTCTTGGAGGCTGCGGTCCCAGCAGTGGAGGGCTCTGGGCAGGGAGGTGCCTTTCACCTGAATGTCCATCCAGTAACTGCAGGGACAGGAGGACACAGTGATGGAGGGGGCCATGACTTGAGAGTCAACGGCTTCACCCCTCCCCTTCAAAATGTTCTGAGAATCATACATATTATCACCGTGTTAACTGTATTATTTGTGTACAATGTTTTAGAAGTGCTGTGCACTACTTTTCTCTATGGTCTCCAATAAAGGCATAAAAACTGCCCCTAAGTACTTTGAAAAAGATCTTAAACACGTCTTCGGCAATTTAGTGTTATTTACACGACATAGAGACAGATACCGATATAACTGTGACAAGCTGATATCTTAGCCCATTTAATTCATCAGTTTAGCTCCAGTTGTATATATTTTTTATTTTTATAGATGTTACACTATAAAGTAAGAGTATGACATTGAGTATTGAATATAACATACATACGCTACTGCAAACCACTTGTAAAATAAGTAAAACAGAGACTGCATATTTACATAAGAAGTGTAAAAACTGTACATTTTACAACATGTGCATCACTTACAGTTTATTTTTATTAGTTAAAGTTAAATGAAGGCAAATAAGAAAACATAGTAAAGTTTAAATCTGGTTAAAGTAAATGTTAAAGTAGCTAAATAATAGTTAATGAAAGTCTGTTTATTAAAGTGGCAGAAAAATCCTTGTCTGTCCAAGTTCCCTGTTCTCCAAAATGCTGATAGTCATCTGACATGCTGTGTGTAGAGTCCACATCAGACTGTTTAAATAAATTGTGAATAGAGAGCATCTCACTGACCCAAGCTTTATGATTTAAAAAGTTTTATTCACTCACGTTCTGGTAATGAGCTCATGAGACAAGCAGGCCGGAGCAAACAGCGCCCTGCCATTCAAAACAGAATCACACCATCAACAAAACAGGCTTTTTAAATTTTTTTATCTTGTATGTGTGAGTGTGAGTGTGAGTGAGTGTCAGTCTTACGGTACATCACGGAGAGTGCCCCTCAGCTCCTGCCCCAGGTTCTGTATGTACCTCCACTGGCCCTCGTGGACCGGCTGTCCCGTCAGGTGGATGTTGTCGACTGTGAGCTGGGCCTCATCAAACAGCCACTGCACCACAAACACCGGGCCTGGACAGGAAAGAGGACGTCCCGCAGGTCAGACTTTGACTCACACACCAGACACTGTCTTAACTGTGTAGGCAGGCAGGTGCTTTGTCACTCACTTTTTAACGTGGGGTAGACTTTATACCCAAAGAAACAGTTCCACTCTTCTCCAACATGGGCCTGTCTGCAGCTTTCTGGCACCTGTCCGGCCCAGTACCTGCACAACAGCAACAAGTGTCACCGCTTTACAAAGTCTGTACTGCTCATGAAACTTCCTCCTCACCTCAGTAAATCCATCTGCCCTTCCCTCCATCTTTGCCTTACCTGATGCCTCTCTTTATGGCCTCAGTTGGGGCACAGCTGATGGTATCAAGGCAATCTGTGAATTTGTATTGTTTGTTGTCCAGGAACCATCCGGAGTCTGCCAGGCCCCTGACCTGCACCCCTGTGTAGCCCTGTGACGCCAGCTGCTCAGCAACTTGGTCCACGTTCAGCAGGGCACCTGTACCGCCCGCGCTAGTGACAGGAAGAGCGGAGTCAGAGCCGGGCCAGAGGGCGCAATTGACCGATTAACTTTGGTGAAACACACACAGTTTGTACATACAGAAGGTGACACACACATATCTGTCCAATACTGACCTGCTTCCTGCAAGAAGAAGAACCTTGGCGTTGTCCAGACCTTTTGTCAGCAGCTCATTCACCACCTCCTTTATGATCAGAGATCCCATGAATGCATAGTCACCTGACAACAAATTAGCAAAGAGTCACCTATAATAGTAAAATACTAATAACTCTATCTAAGCTGAAAACTGTAATTAACAATGATTATTATTAATGTTATTAGCTGTTTTTTTTGTTGGAGCACTACAGTTGCCACTGCATTACTATCGCTGTTACTGCCGTTATACTGTCACTATTATTAATATTGCTATCACTGTACTTTCTTGTTCTTTTCCTCTGTGCTCTCTCGCTCTCTCTCTCTCTCTCTCTCAACCCAACCGGCCGAGGCAGATGGCTGCCCACCCTGAGTCCGGTTCTGCTCGAGGTTTCTGCCTCTTAAAAGGAAGTTTTTCCTTGCCACTGTCGCCTAGCGCTTGCTCTTGGTGGGAATTGGTGGGTCTCTGTAAATAATATTATTAAGAGAAGGTCTAGACCTGCTCTATATGGAAAAATATTCATTAATCCAAAACCCAAACGGCACCTGACTGATTACTCTGACTGACACTCAGCGTCTTTGCTGTAAGCTATGGCATTGTGAAAGAAATGATCAATCTTGATTTAATGGAGAATTTAAGGATCTTTAAGGGATGAGATCATGTAGGCTGGTTTGTAGTGCTAAGTTTTAATTCCTATATTGAGATACCTGCACATTCTGTGTGTTATGTTATTCATTAACGTTTAAGTATCTAAAACAAAACACAGTATAGTAAGGGCTTTCAGTAAGTTAGACAAGGGGAAACTTACGGCTGATATTAAGATTTTTGTATCTGGAGCCTTTTATCTGCTCTATCCACTCACACCTTTTTCTCTTCCTTTAAATATCTACTACATGAATCAGTCTCTTTATATATATATGTGCAGTCAGAGCCACATCGCCTTATTTATTGTGTCTTACTGTGATCTGTCTTTGGGCTGGCGCCGCTCCACACATCACTGGAGCAGTATGGGATGAACCTACAGGAGAGAGAAACGGCAGCACTGAGAAAGTGGAATCAAAATTAAAATCAGAGCAGCTTTGATTTGACTGCTGCTGATGACGGAGAAGACAGTTGCCAACCTGGCTGAGTTGAACACAAACAAACAGCACAAGAGTGTTGTAGGATGTCAGTGTGTATCTTTCATTGTCATTGTAGGTAGTAATAATAGTAGCAGAGCTGGCTCAAATGTTCATTATGGACATTAAGGAGCCATACCAGAATGGAAATTGAAATATAAACCATTAAAAGTTAACGTTCTGAAAGATACAATAACTTCAGTAAATGCAAAAATGTAGTTCCTTAGTATTGAGAGTAAAAACACTCATTCTATGAGGAATAGTCCCTTTCAGAGTGCTACATTAGTCCTGCATTAACCTGTAGGAAATATTTCACTTTGTAGTTGGTCTATGTGAAGATGAGTTTGACTAATCAACAAGTAAGGATCGTTCTCCATGCATATTTTAAAAACATTATCATATCTTTTCATGTTACATTAAATATTTTATTGTTTATATCTGAGTTTCACAACTTAGAAATAATCATATAAGTGAAATACCACTATGGGAAAAAAAGAAAACTTATAACTTATGAACACAAACACTTTAGGTTTTTTTTTTTGTCAATAATATGATAGACATGCACTTTCCCAGGTGTGTGCACCCATACACTCATACAATCATTGATGTAAGTGGAAAGACCTATAATTGAAAAAACAAACAAAATACACACAAGTGTATTAACTATGAAGTGAAGGAGAGACATAAGCTCTTACACCATGTTGGCGTTCCACCAGTGCGGGTTTTCCTCCGGCTGAGGAGACAGGATTCCTGTTCCTGTGAAGTACAGAAGGTGAGGTCTCACATTTATTTCACTTTCAGGTCAGATATCACAGAGTCAAAAACCTTAAGGTATGAGGGGTTAAAATGCTTTAGGCTACTTGTTAAAATGCACAAACCTTGATGTGTGTGTGTGTGTGTGTGTGTGTGTGTGTGTGTGTGTGTGTGTGTGTGTGTGTGTGTGTTTCCCTGTGGTAAATAAGTCATTAAGTTTCCAGCAATTACATGCAGGCATTGAAGAGCTCTGCGGCTGCTGAACTAGCCACCAGTGCATGTATACACAGAGAAGGTGGTGGAGGCAGAGAGTCATAAACAAACAAGGGGTTCCCTGATGGCTAAAGGGAAAGAACCAGAGAGTCTGACTTTTAAAAATGAATGCAAACTCAGCTAAAGAGGAAACACAAACAGGCCTATGAATCTCTTTCATTCAGGGGAAGTTTTCTCCCTGCCGAGGAAAGCAAAAGCTCTGTGGGGGCTGTGAAGAGATTTTTCAAAAGCTGCACGAAGGTGTGACGCTTTTCATGCAAGTAGATGTTTGTGCATAAGATAAGACACAGAGTGCGTGGATTGTGTTGTGCACAGTGTAGGAAATGATGCTTCTGCTTTGTTACCTGTTCTGGTTTGTGGCCACTTGGCGGAGCTCATCAGTCTCCTCATTGTCTCATACCTGCTGTCACAGGTCTGCCTGTTGAAACAGTACCATCCACCTGAACAACACACGCACAAGCTTGTTAACAGGTCGCCTACAGTTGTCTTTCTCTGTGTTGAGCTCAATGTCTGTGTGGTTTTCTGCATCGGGTTTATTTCACAGGTTCTTTCTCACCTTCCAAGAACAGCAGCCACCTCTTGCTGCCTTTGGACTCCTTAATGTAGTACCTGCAAGAGAACACCAAAACAAATCAGTGAATGTGTTTGTGTGTGTCAGGCATACACAGATGCACATGCAAACACAACACAAGCTTGGGATGCTACCTTTGATGCGGACATGAAAGATTTGGCTCTGATCCCACCGCTAAAAATCTCTGCAGGAGCCTGTTTAGAGGCTTTCAGAGCTCTAATTGCTTATTTTAAAAAAAAAAACATTAGCAGAGGAAACTCGTCACACTGTTGGCAGAGCACACACACTCTCACACACAGGTTTGACAGCTTGGGTGGGATATGTAAAAGTCCCTCTTATTCACAGTCCCAATGTTTTATTCAATTGATTTAAATGTATGATAGTTCTAACATGATTAGCTTCTCAGGGTTTATTTTAAGAAGTCATGTTGGTCTCTTTATTGATGCCTCACCTGTTAATGATACAGGAGCACTGGGATAATATGATGCACAATGCAGATCATATTCCACTGTATGGGATGATTGGCACAACACTTAGGACTCTAATCCCCTCAACATTGACTGAATCTGGGATCTTGCAGTGATGCTCACAGGCACAGCAGGTGAGGCATGTGAAGATAAACCCCCCCAGGAGTTTCTTTCACTTGTACTGGAGCTGCTGAACAAAGGATGATTCAGGCAAGAACTTTCCTGGTTCTTCTAATTCATGCACTGTGAAGTCAGAAACCTTTAAAACTATCACTGTGTGTGATCTATCTTTATCAGTCTTCTTTAATATTGTAAATATTAGACCCAACAACTGTGGTCCATCCGACTTCAATGAAGTCAGCGCTGCAGGGATGAAGAGCGTTTGCCTCTCAGTCGGGAGCGCGCATGGTCTCTCTCACGTATAGCTCAGCGGCAGCGCGCACTGCGCTCTGATCTGGCCCTTTGATCCATTTTGGTCACATCCGGAGTGGCACGAACGCAGGTTGAATGTTTGGTGCAAAGGAGCGCTAGTATTTGCGCCTTCGTGGCTTTAACCAAAAAAGTTTCCACATAGAAAATGATGACAGGGATCTCTAGTGACAATGATGTTTTACTGACAAACTGTTGAGAAGCAAAGAGCCAGCTCACTTACCCTGCAGGTGACCCGTCATTGCAAGTCACAGACACATTCTTCAAAAAGTGCAACTTCATGTCTTGGTCCAGTTTCTGCGCAGAGCACGGGTACAGTGACTGCGCCAAGTTCTTTATCTGCACCATGAAGTTGTTCATGTTGCCCTCCACGGCTGTAAAGTCTAAAGGGAAGCTCTCTGGTCCTTCCACCCGGTCCCTGTACGCCGGAGCCTGCTGCTGCTGCTGCTGCACCCGCCGAGTTTGCGCCCGACCTCCGCGCACTTTCCTCGCCTCCACCGGTGCGCTCATGTGGATGAAGAGCAGCAGCAGGCAGGAGCGCACCGCGGACAGACCGGCCGAGCTTCTTGCTACACAACGGCTCTGCATTTCTATTTGTTACTGGAAAACGTCTCTCAAGTGTGTGCGAGGCGTCTGAATAAAACACAGCATGTCCTAAGAGTCGACAGAGAGGTGGGAAGTTCTTTGAGAACGCACGGACACCTCTTGGAAACGACCGCTCGTGCAAGGTGTGTTGAATGACCGCAGGTTGAAGAGCTCCATGGCGCCTTGAGAGATGGACAGCTGCTTTAAAATTCACCCCAAATGCACGTGCAGTTCCCTATTCATTTCAGTGGTAACACTGCGTACAGTTCATCCAGTAAATGCGTCATTACACGCGTAAAAATCCGTCGTCCAGCCCAGTTTCATCGGAGCAGGCTAGTAGTCGATCTGTTGGCTCTGGGTTCTGGTCTTCATGAACTGCGGACGAAGGGGGTTTTTATTTGAACCCCCCACCCCACCCCGCCTCGTGCTTCCCACTGCCGCGGGCCAGTCATTATTATCGTTGGCTGATGCTCCTCGCGGGGCGTCGGTCTCACACCAAGAACGCGCGCGTATGCCTGGCACGCCCCTTCAGTCGGTTCACTCATACCCTCGCTCCCTTTGATGTTGGGTCATCTTGTGACCACGCTGCCTTTGAAGTGTCTGTGATTGAATACGGTGTGTGAGGGAACATCGCAGCTGGGCAGGCCGATCTTCTGCAGACAGCGGTTCACACTGTGCCGCCACGGTCCTACAGATCAGTCGAAGCGCACGTTTCATGGCTGTTTTTTTTTCTTCTTTTTTGGATCGTGCTCGAAAAGGACACGTTCATTTTCGATCGGTTTGTAGTTGGTGAAGACAATCTCACAGAGACGAGTTGCTTCTTCTGGAGTAACCCACGAAAGTTGTAGAGGAGACTCAGTCACTGGAAGGCTTTAAATCACGACTGTGGTGTGTCTATAGATCTCTCTCTGTGTCTTTGAGCTTCACTCATTCACCAACCGTTGCACACATATGTATTTAATACTTCTTAGTAAAACTAAGAGTATCATAAGGGGCAAAATAAATGCTTCATCAAATCTTTGACACACAGTATGTGACAGAATCTTATGAATCTTATGCTCCATGACATGACCACTGGGCTTATCTGTATACCTCAGGATTTGATTTGACCATTAATATAATAGTTATAACAACTGAAGGACTTCATGTCTGCAGATCTGATCAAGAGCTTTTTCTTTTTTCTTCTGCCTTTAAGTGGCAGGAGATTCTATAATAGATTCCTTTCTGTCTCTCTTGGCGTTTTAACCTTGTACATGAGCTCATTAAAGGTCCAGAGCAGCTCATCTAACTGTTGCTTCACTGGGTCTGGGAACATTTCACAAAGAAGAAAGGAATTCAATCAGCCCTCAGTTTAATGTCCTCAGACTCCTTTTCACTGATTCATCATCGTCATTGTAATGATGTCGTCTGTATGTGGCCCACATAGATGGTACCAGGCAGTTTTTGTGGTTCTTCCTTTAAAGGTGCATTCCACTGATTTTGTCCATTTCTTTGTCATGAGCCTGTGAAAACAGTTGTATAGTGTCTTGTGGAAGGACGCTTAGCTGATGGTGTTTGGTAAAAGTTTCCAGAAACCATCTACAGCAGTGGTCCCTAAACTTTTTCATGTCAAGAACCTCAAAACTGACACAAATTAGAGCACAGACCCCCATTTAATAATATTTTGTCTCAGGGTCTCCTGTCTGATAAGATTTTTGCTTTTAGATGTTTTATTACAGAAAGTGTTTTAAACCCATGACCAATAGTCACACATTATGTCATTGTGTTCCTTATGGATGGAATTATAGTGAAAATAAATGATTCCCCTTTCTGCTTGGAATCCCCAGGAAACCCTTCAAGGACCCCTGGGGATCCCCAGACCCCACTTTGAGAACCACTGATCTACAGAATGTCTTTTTAAAGTTAATTTGCCTCATCGTCACATAAAGCCCTTTTTTTAGTGTCTTCAAAGCAACAAAACACATTATGAATTAGACTTAGAATAAAAAATCTAAACCACATCCACTTTAACACTGCCATTCGGCAACATACTCCCATTAGATTTTAGTTTTCTGACTTTGATAGGATTTACAAGTAAGGAAACCCTGTATTTATTATGCATATCTTTTTACCATTCATTAATCTGTGATTGAAGTCTTTTTTTGTAAAAATGTGTAGAACTTTACAAACTCCCAGCACAGATGCCTTCATGTGCTTGCACTCCATTCTGGCATAGTTTTGAAGTCTCTATCCTGCTGAGTGAGGAAGGAAACTGATTGTTTGTTTGTTTATTCAGACGGCGGCAATTTCCCCCCAGAACTGAAGAGCTGTATTCACCTCTCTCTCTCTCTCCCTCTCCCTCTTTCTCCCAGGTGGACTCTGACTTGTATCTGAAGTGGTCAGTCAGTCATTTACATACGCTCTGAAGCTGTGGCCTCACACCTCTCCATCTGTTGGCACCATGTGTCGTGTTGTCTGTCCAGTCTGATTCCAGCTTTGATCCAATTTGATTCTTGCTGAGAGAAAACGGCCTTGATTCCTTATGTTTCTTTAAAGGTCATCTGTCAAACTGCACATGGTACATATATGAAGTCGTCCATATGGGGAACAGATTGGAGATGTTGTTGCCCTTTACATACAGGATCTATCTTCTTCTCTTGTGAGGATCACTGTGCTTGAAGTAGGAGGGCTTGTTTAGTTTTTGTGTTTTTGAATAGGTTATATTAAAGGTCAGGACAAAAATAATGATCTTCATATTGTTTCGGATAGCAAATTATTTCAAAATTTCAGGCTCCAAGATTACTGTTATGAAAATTAAATGAAATTAATATGTCAGTATCAGGTTCTGATATAAGTTTATCAACATTTTTAATAAATGATTTGGTTACATTTACACAAGCAAGATGACCTATAAAGGTACACAGAGCCCTGGGACTGACACATCTGCATGGAATTCAACCATCGATAATTTTTATTATTTACATCTGTGCTTTTTCTACTGTTACATGTCAAAATATCATCAGTGAAAAGGGCCCACTATATCATGTAGTAGTATGCCCAACTTTATGGAAACATCACATTCATCATTCATTGTTTCTCTACATATTTATTCAATTTTCCTTTAATTTGTGAATTGTCTGTATGTATTGAAGTGACATAGTCATACTTTTGACACGAGCATAATCTAAATTTGTGGCTCATGAGTAATTTCTTTAATATTTGGAATATATAAAAAATACATTGGTTTTCATACAGATTTTTCTCAGTTGTTTCTATTAAAACAGTGAAATCTGTTCTGATTGTTCAAGTCATTGTTTCAGACACAAAAAAATGTAACAAATGAATGTAATGCACCACAAACAAAATTCCATTCACTCTTTGTTCTTATACTATGGGTGAACTGACTCGTTACATCCTTTTTCCAGTGAAGAGTCAATAAAGTTTATTCAAACAAACACAGTGACGTCACGACATACAATGGCAGCTATCGGTACAGCTGTAACGGTTCTCACTCCAAATGGGAGAAGACAAACAGTTAAGGTGTCTCCAAACACACCGTTATTACAGGTAAGTTGTGTTTTAAGAACATTTTGTATTTTCCGATGTACAAGAGTTGTTTCATTCTGTTCGTTTGTTCTCAAACCAGCGCAAAGTATTCTCCTCTGAGTTAGCTTGTTTGGCTAACAGTTGTTAGCCAGTGACAGATCAGTTTCTGTTTTCGTGCCGGCGAAATCTAATTGATTTACTCATTAGGTGGTATAAGTTAATTTGTGACATTGCGCTTATATCTGCCATCCTCAGGTGCTGGAGGACGTCTGCAAAAAGCACGGATTCGACCCAGACGATCACGGTTTGAAGTGAGTAAGCTGTCACTTCGTTCATGTATCCGTCACAGTACTGACACGTAAAATGAATCTAATGTCGGCTTTTAATCCCCAGCCTGAAACGTTTTAATAATTTAAGCCCTGAGCAGAGGCTGCTTCTAAATACACCTGGATAGGTAAATAAGCCACACGCAGACTGAATACAGTACGATGCGTGAGATATAAAGTTTGAGAAGTTAATAGTAGTGAACAATAGTGTATAATAACTGATATGGCTGCTGATATTTAACCAGTTAAAGAAATTGTTTTATTGTTATCGCAAGCAGCTTGGGCCTGTCCCAACCTATTTAGGTGAAATATGTATATGTTAAAGTGAAAAAGTGTATTTGAACATCCACAGGCTAGCAACATAAAAGAAAAAAGATGAAAATGTGTTAATTTATATTACTTGAAAACGTGAGATAAAGCTCAGGAAAGAATTAATAGACTTCCTTCCAATTTAGCACAAGAGAAAAATCAAAGTGACTGTTGTTACTTAATTTGAATGCCCTGACCCAATGTGCCCTCAGCAATCACATCATTCTTTTTCTTTTCTTATTTTTAATGACAGGAAAACTCAGCATCTCTAGAATAGTGATATATCGTCAAATTTAATGGTTCTGATTATTTTGTATTATAATATAGGAATGCTCACTTTCCTTTCCTCTGTCATCACTCTACGACAGGTTTCAGAGGACTGTTATTGACCTTACGGTGCCATGGAGGTTTGCCAACCTGCCCAACAATGCTAAATTGGAAATGGTGACAAGTGCAAGGAAACAGGCTGTAGCCGACAGCCAGGTTAGTTGTGTGTGTGTGAGAGAGAGTGACAGGGATCAGGACAGACAGAGGATGAGCTGCGTTAAACTGTGGTGGCTGACTGCAGAATAAAGACTCATAATAATATACATGTATAAAACATAGATATACATGTCTATTATCTAAATATAAAATGTAGGGGTATGTATGGTGATTGCCTCTGCTAGTCATAATCACTGGTAACCCTACTAGACTTGGTGAAACATGAAACTGTAAGCTTATCACATAAATATAGTTTTTAAACATGTGGACTGTACATTACATGTTTGTAAAGAAGACACGAAAAACAAAAAACTGTCATTCCAAAAATATGGAAGATATTTTGTACATCAAGTACAACTAAGAGTAAATAGTTTTTATCACTTTCATAATCAAGAAAATTTAATTTATTGGCTAAGAATTCCCTCATGTCCCAAATCCACATAGATGTATTAGTTAGGATACCTTTGGCATCTACTGTACGTGTGGAAGCAGAGGTGGATGGCACTGACAAATAATGACATGGTTAGTGTGGCCAAACTTATGGAGGCATTTATTCAGGTAGAACGGTCAAATATCTAACTATGAGCTAGCCTGGAGCAGGAAACCAACAAAATATCTCTGTTAGATTTTGTTTCACCACAAGCATTCCCTCATTTGATGTTTTGATGATGGAGGAGAGTGATGTCTTTCATGTCGGTCAAAATCTTCTACAGGTTGTTCAGTTAAGTTGAGATCTGATGACAGTGAAGGCCATAGCATGTGATTTACATAATTTTCATAGCCGTCAAACCATGTAGTTACTTAAATTTGTTGTCCATCTGCATCTCACAGTATGATGATTAAGTACCATTAGTATCACCTGTATTGTACCAGAAAATAATCAAAGATGTACTTCACTACAGGTGTGATGAAGCCCTGTAACAAAATGCAGAGAATCTGTGTCACACAGCAACATGGGCACATGTGCCATGATTGCAGTGTCAGAAAATCCTAATATTGGCAGAAGCCGAGTTTAAAGAGGAAATATTTGCAGGAATGAAAGAGAATACCTCTGCCTAAATAATGCAACACAAACTATAGTGATCCTCATGCCGGAGTGTTAGTATCTTATCACATGAAACTTTATCAAGATATCAAGAATTTGTCCCACCCATAATTATTTGTGGGGAAATAAAACCCCAGATGATATGTAGCCTAATATTGAAAAATCTATATTATTTCATTATTTTGGTTGGCCATATATGTGGGTTCTTATTGTTCATACCTGAAAATGTATAAATTCTCAGTCTGTGCTTTCTCTCTGATTTGTTTCCAAAAAAACACTTTGTTGTAGCTGAGCTGTAGTTTCCTATGACCTCATGGCATCATAATCTAAGCAGTAAAATCACGGCTGGGTTTGATCTGTTGTTCTTGTTCATTTGATGGATGGTTGACTGTTGATACCTCACAGATTTTATATACACACACACACACACACACACACACACACACACACACACACACGTGCACACACAGAGTCTCTCCCAACATTCACGTCAGCCAAACTGGTGTGTGAGAGTGTTTCATGTTTGGCTGTTGACAGCCAAGGCACCCTTTTCATCTCTCCTGGTGTGCCGACATGCAGCATGCTGTCTGTGCCCTACAACACAGTTGTTGAGTAAACATAAACAACTCGTAGAATGACTCAAAGGGAGAAACAACAACAGAGACTCGCACTTATGCCTGGTGTTACTCATTTCAGACTGAGGTAGGCCCAGATGTGCAGCTTAATCAAGTTTGGTTATCAAAGATTTTTCTTTCTGCAAAATGGGTCAAGACTTTTGAGCCAAGAACCTACAAACGGCCACCTAGGGAGATGATACTTAATGTTGTGTGTTTCCTTTTCTGCATTTAAGGAAACTTTTTGTCACATATTCCTGCAATGTGGAAGGTTTGAGGTTAAGACATGTTTGCATCCACCTCTTTTGTATGTTATAGTGTTTAAAGGCAACTGAAATTGTTAAATAATCTGAAGAAAAGGTCAGTGGGGCATGTTTAATATGCATGTTATGTGCAGTGTTAATGCAGCGGTTCCCAATTTGTTTTTGTTTTTTGCTTGTGATTTACCTTTTTAAGTGGTTTCTTATCTTATTCTAGGTTTTATCCTGGTGGCCTGGGGTCCCAGCCCAAGGGGTGTAGATGGACTGATAATTGATAACTGACACATGCTGTTTATTCCTGGATCATGTGTGCTCATGTATTTGTGTGTTTTTGGTCTTACGATTAAACTACAGTTGCGTGTTACTATGGCAAATCCATCAGGTGCGGATTGCGCTTCAGATGGAGGATGGCTCTCGGCTCCAGGGTTCCTTCTCTTGTGGACAGAGTCTGTGGGAGCTGCTGACAAATTTCCCTCAGATCAGGTGTGTGTATGTGCATGTACAGAGTTTGTGTGCATGTGCTCTACTCTGATATATATTGATACCTCCTCCCAGCCCCAATATGGTCCTCACAAGTACAGATGACAGATGCGTGTGTGTATTTGTGTGTGTTTGCCTTTACTTTCCACTAAACCGGAAAGGTGAAGGTGGTCATTGTGCAGGAATGAACACAGGCCAACACTGTGTTAGATAACATCCTTTCTTCTCACCACTCCTCTACTGAAGTTTAAGCTTTCCCACACATCACCACCACTCATTCAAACACACACACGCAGCTGTTACTCAGTAGTTCCAGCTGTGAGGTCCCAGGTGCTCATGTGTCCGTCCAGCCCTCATCTCATCTCTATTAAATGACATCACTCCATATCCTAATCCTTTTCCAAGGAAGTTACACTTCCATGAAATGAATATTAGCTCCACGCCAGCGTAAAAGCTCTGGGAATGTTGTGAAGCAGAGGGGGAAGCTTTGATTTTCACTATTGAGGAGAACAATTGTAAAACATTTATGGTTCAGTTACTTTCTACACGGGATTTTGCACACATGGTTTACACATGCAGACAGCGTGCCACTGCATCGCATGAGGTTTTGTTGTAAAATCACAGAGCTGACTTCCCTCAACAAGAGAGACTCACTTCTGGGTTTTGTTTTGTCACAGCTTAAACAAATAAAAATCATTCATCCTAAATTTTTATATCTTTTTTTCTTACTGTCACCACCTTACTCCAGCGTGTCAGAGCTGTCTGAGGCAGGATCCACTCCCGTGTGTGTTTACATGAGAGACGAGGTATGCAATGTTCCTTCAACTCTCCCTTTTTCATGACATGAAAGTGAGTTTTATGGTAAAACAGGTGTGTGTGTGTGTGTGTGTGTGTGTGTGTGTGTGTGTGTGTGTGTGTGTGTGTGTGTGTGTGTGTAGGTGAGTGGTGAAGAAGCACTAAAGAAGGCCACTCTGAAGTCTCTGGGTCTCACAGGAGGAAGTGCCATTGTCAGGTAGACAACTTATTTCAAACCTTACACATGTTTTTTGTGTGGTTTTAATAATAATTCAGACAAAAACCTATTTAAACTACAGTTAATATACCATGTAAACTGTACAATGCTGGAAATCACAATTAGAGTTTATGCTTATGGTAAAGCTATTGTTACAATTTCTCTTTAAGGTTTTTACTCAAAAAGAACAAAACTCCTGGAGAGGAAGATGGCAGACAAGCCACTGAAACAGCTGTTATGCCAACAACTCCTGTTGCCAAGGAAACCAGACCTAGCTCGTCATTTAAGCCCGATCCTGCTCCATCACATCCAGAGACAACAACAGACATGCCAGTTATAAATTCAAGCCCCGATAGGCCAGTGGAAACCCTGCCTGCGCCAAGTCCTGCCTCTGCCACAAGCACACTTCCACACACTTTAGTTCAACAGGAAGAGGTTTTGAACCCCCAGGATGCAGTTCGGCCAAAGGTCCCCCACGTTGAGAGAGGAGCGCCAGAGGAAGATGGTGAGGAAGCGGGGCCATCAGGATTAAGCTCTCATCAATCTTCTTCTTCCTCCTCTGCTCCATCGGCCCCATTCATTCCCTTCTCTGGAGGTGGTCAACGCCTCGGGGGCCCACGGGGAGGAGTGGTTGAACGCTCACTGTCTTCATCCTCATCTCTGTCAGCCCTGACTGCTTCAGTAGAATCACCCAAAGCCAAGAAAGCCAAATCCAGCCACGGTGCTAACACCAAGGTGAGCAATATCACTACAAGAAGTTCAAATGAAGAAAGTCCTAAGATCTTGTTTTGTGATGTTTAAGTCTTTTTTCTTATCCAAGATAAATAATCTTGTAAAGCACAGTTTGCATTTTGAGATTATTTCATTTTTAAGAAAACAATCTCAACACTGTCCATCCAGCAGATTGTCCTGTATATGTTTAAATTCCCATTTTTTGAGCACTTTAAGGACTTTTCGTCCATGTCCATATTACTAAACTTGTTGTAAGTAAGTAAGTAAGTATTATTTTTCAGCTAAAGCAGAGTAGGTTGCACGGTTGATACATTAATGTTCCAAACATCTTATTAGAACATTTATGTGGGAATTTAATTGCTTGTATTAGAGATATCGTAAGATTATTTTTTGGTATATTAATTTTTATAGTGGACAGTGTAGAGATAGACAAGACATGTGGGGATAGAGTGAGGGGTATGACATGCAAACAAAGGTCCCCAGCTGGAATCAAAGTGGGAGAGCTGCAGTTATGTGATGTATGTTTTAACCATTAGACAACCTGAACGCCCATAGCAACGCTTTCTACCTACTTTTAAAGTCAGATCATGTGCCAAAGTGCGACAACCTTTATGCTAGCTTCAAGAAATCCATCCATCTCCATCGGCAGATTTCACTGGATTACTCACCATTTGGCTTAAAATTGAAAGATCATTCTCAACCTTGGAAACAGACGTTAACACAATAATCTCTTTACAAACAACACAGTGTAATTGGGAGCCTTTTCTGTTCCTTTCACAGCGTCAAGCCACCTCCAATCAGCCAGATGAGGATATGGATCATGGGGAGAAGTTCTTGGAGGTAAACCTATTTGTTCCCAGTCATAGGTTTCTGCCCTTTAACCTGTTTATTAGAGTTCATCTGCTTCCCTTGTTTTAGATTTCTATCTTTAATGGACACAGAATAATCTTTTTGACTCATCATTTAAGTGCTTGATTCCCATTCAGGCCGTCATGATGTTTCAGGGTGCTTTAGATGAAAACATCAGTGTCAACACTTTTATGTCTATTTGCTTTTTTTCTCCCACTTTCTCTCTGCAGCCAGTGGAGAGGGAGCCTCTCATCTACCACCTGGACTCCATGTCCCATCAGTCCGAGGAGCACGGGGATCTGCCCGATGAGTTTTTTGAAATAACAATGGATGACGTGCGGAAGCGCTTCGCCCAGCTGAAGAGCGAGAGGTGGGAAGGAGCAAATGAATAGAGGTGGTTGACTGTGGGTCAGAGGGCTGTGTGTGATATTTAGTATAAATACTTTGTTGCTGCAGAAACACGTCTGGATGAGATGTGTTCCTGCACTGTTTGTAACAGATAATTAGTTAGTTTGGCAGTTGGTCCTGTGGTGTTTTGTCGATGTATAACCCTTAATTGCAGAATACCATAGCAGTGATGAGAGGCCATAGGCAGGGAGAATGCTGGGCATCACTGCGTGTGTTTTGAAGTTTTTATTTATTGTGAGTTTGAAGTTTTTATTTATTTATGAGTGCTTCTTCAAAACAGATGCGGACGAGTTTACTCTGCACTCTCTGGATGTGGCCGCAAAAGACCACAGCTGTTGAGACATTGTGTGTGTTTGCAAACATGTTCTCATTTATAAGACACCACGCACACTACAAAAGCTTCTAAATATGGCACACAGAGAGCAATTAGTGAGCCTGTTTTGCATAGACGTTTATCTTCCAGTCATCGACCAAACACCATCAGGTTGAGACCTCACCGTGTACATCCTTTAATCTCCCTCTATATTGACTTAGCTGGCTGCCTCATGGCTACGCTACTACCGTGTCAATGACTGCAATTACCAAGGGTGGAATTAAACCGACCACAGCAATTCGTCTCTACCTCCAACACGCACACACGCATACACGGCCACACACGAGTAAAGGCAGAAGAGGAAACATTGATCTCTTTTTTTTCTCTGCTCATCTTTCCCATTGTCGGTTCCAAAGTCTGCTTTTTATTTCACAGCTCATTTCATTGTAACTTAGTCTGTCTCTTTCTCGCTCATTGCTTTAGGAAGTTAATGGAGGAGGCACCGCTGATGACTAAATCTCTGAGAGAAGCCCAGATGAAGGAGAAGATGGACAGATATCCCAAAGTGAGTACAAGTCACAAACACATTATCACAATCCTGTTTTTTTCTATTCTGTGTTTGTTTGAAATCTACAGATTTAAAATAAGCAACTACCCCTGTGTGTCTCCAGGTGGTCCTGAGGGTCCAGTTTCCAGACAGACATATTCTACAAGGCTTCTTCAGGCCCCTGGAGACAGGTCTGTGTGTGTGTGTGTGTGTGTGTGTGTGTGTGTGTGTGTGTGTGTGTGTGTGTGTGTGTGTTGGGGGTGGGGGGTGGGGTGGGGTGTTCATTTCAGCTGGCTAGCCACAGGTATGGCTGCAATGTTAAAGCTACTTGCGGCTCCCTCACCACATTTATGACTGTAGCCACACCAGAGTGACAGAGAGACAGAAAGAATGAGACAGGTCTGTAATTCCAGGGATTAGATCCACCTCAGCCCCAACAGCAACACGACAAGCAACAGAACAACAAATTGGAGGGAAATTCCATCTGAAAAATGATTTTTACTCCACACAGTGACTAATGGAGCTGCACATAGATCCGTTTGCTTGATGCTCTCTGTGTGTGTTTTGTGTCCAGTTGGTGCTGTGAGGCACTTTGTGAGGAGTCACTTGGAGGATCCTCAGCTCAGTTTCTACCTGTGTAAGTGTCATTTACATTCCCACTAATTAATCACAACATCATCAAGCATCAATATCCATATGTATATATATATATATATGTATATATATATATGGATATTTTATTATATATATATATATATAATTAAAAAAAAATTGTAGTTAGATAATCAGACAGGTTGTAAACAAGCCAGTGGATTATCAAATTATCTAAATAATGTTAATAACCCCTGGTTGCACAGGAAAGTATGGGAGGTCAAAGCTGAACCAAGAAGTTGGCCTGTAAACTATGGTGGATGTGTAGAACGCACAGATTTGGTCGCCTTTGTTTTCTCTTACAAATAAGTTTGGCTGATCTTTAAGTTTGTTTAAAACCTGATCTGATTGTCTGTCCGCTCGTGTTTCTACCCCTGACTCCCCATGTTGCCGTGTTCCCAGATCTCATATTAACCCGATCAGTATGGCGTACTTGAGATCAAGTTGTCTAAGCGACAAACCATGTACAATACCAATATTCCTGCTTTGAAGCTGGCAGGGGACTTGTGTTACTTGTCATCTACTATATCTATCCCCATGTTTCTTGTTTGCCTCTACTGTCAAATATTGAATAATAATGCAAAACTGACATTGCCTGGATTTAAGTGTGTTTTTTGTCAGCATTTCTCACTTACAGTGTTCTTTACAGACTGCGAAATATTGTTTTAGTTTATCTCCCAGTTTCTCAGTGCATTAGAGCCAGTTTGATGACAAAAGCCAAACCTTATTGTCATAGTGGCCGAATTCTCCACACATACCTCACAGGTCTATTTTGACTTGATTTACTTTTGTGTACAAAAATGTTTTGAGTGTTTCCACAGCTGACTTGCTGTTATTCATAATTTCCTGAAAAGCAGTGAAATCAATTCGGTCTTCCTCATGTACGATGTCTCTTGATGTGGACGAAACATTGTTACACAGCAGCATTTGTTTTAGATGAAAACGGTTCACATTGTATTAGAAAAGCTCGCAGTTTAACAAATCACATGTCTACAATCAATGTGTAATCAATTTTTTTTTTTAAATCACTTTGTCAAATTTAACTCTCCAGTAGTTCCAGCATGTTTATATGTTAGTAACGACTAAGCCTTATTAATCCTTCACCTTTTATTTGCTCAAAACTTTCTTTCAGTCATCACACCCCCAAAAACCATTTTGGACGACCCCTCAGCGACACTTTTCCAGGTAAGAATCCTCACATTGTCATTTAAGCGTGTCGCAGCACTTTATTCGAAGCACAATAACAAACAGAATGATTGACTGATGACTCAAACAAACCACATCACAATGAAACTCCAGAAAACAACAATTGTAAACCTTTGACTTTCCATCTTTGAAACTCTCTCTCTCACACACACACACACACACACACACACACACACACACACACACACACACACACACACACACACACAGAGACAGACTGACTGTAAAATGTATCGGCTGGTCCCTCTCTCCTCTTCAAAGCCCCACCACATTCCCGTTCTCCCCCTCTTCTCTCGCCCCTACACACTCTCACACTTGTTCCCCCCTCTCCACTGTCCTTGACCCCAGCTGGGCTTGATTTTTCCCAGACTGGCACATGGGGTTAATACAGGCCCCGCTTTGATCTTGACACACACACACACACACACACACACACACATACATAGAGCAATGGGCAGCCTTGATGTTTTGTTGCCTTTGAGTTCAGAGTGATCCGTATAGTGAAACCGTTGAGAATGAAGACATACAAATGAAAAACAAAAAAGTTGTTCTCTGGTACACACACACACTCTCTCAGCCCTCCTTGTTCTTTTATTTTTTACATACATTATTTTAGATTAACTAGAACATTTTCGTCATCAGTGAGTGCCATGCTCCTGTTTTTTGACACTTTGACTCAATCTGAAGCAGACGAAGGAAAAAGTGGAGGAACGAAGGGGAGGAAGAGAAAGTTGTTTGAAGTGATATCGTGTTGTGATGATGAACAAGATTCAGCTCCTCAGAGGGACTGCTACAAAAGATAACGATCCTCAAAAGCACACTTTGAAATATGCGTGTGTGCGTGTGTGTGTGTCCTTCTGGTGCCACGATCTCTCTGAATCAAATCTGATGTTCTCAAGTCGTCTGCGTTTCTTTGTTTTTCATCTTTTTGTCCCTTTCTGAACTCTCCCCGTCTGCTTTTCACGACACGGCCCTCTCATGTACCCCAACTCCGGCTTTTCTGTCTTTCCTCTCTTCTGCCCAGCCCCTCTCTACCTCTACCACCACTACTATCCCTCTCTCTTCGACCCTCTCTTGTGCCTCAGCCCCCCTCCGTCACCCCCGTGTCTCTATCCATTAGGGACTTAAAAGCATTAAAGTGCACAAAAACAAAATCTTTAATCCCCATGGTGTCATGTCACACACATACACTACAACTGGCTCCGTCTCCCTGTCTATACATCAATCTTTGACACACACAAAGAATCTTTAATCTTTTTTTTTTTTGTCATGTCACATAGACATGAGTGCACGCACCCACACACACACACACACACACACACACACACACACACAGATACACAGACACACAGACACACACTTTAATCACTTTGTGTCATGTCAGGAAAGGAATGTTTCCCAACCCAGAAGCCCTTTGATACCAGGCGTCCCCTCCCTCATCCGTCTCTCCCTCTGTCTTCCATCAGGATCTATTCTGCCTCTTTTTCTTTCTCTCTTTCCATTCCTCTCTTATATGTTTTTCATACTCTCTCTCTCTCACTCTCACACACACACACTCACAGATCTTGTCCCGTTGCCCTGTCTTATCCCGAGTGGAAGTGCGGCTGCCAGAGGGAGCGGGATAGCAGGAATGCCCGTTGTTCCACTGTAACACATTGTTTCCTGCTCACAGGGCTGTGATAATAGCAATTAGGCCAGCGTGTTCCGCAATTTAGCAACCAGTTAAGTGATGGTGGGGGTGGGGTGGTTGGGGGTGGTTGGGGGGGGGGGGGGGCAGAGAGAGAAAGGACAGTGTGTGTAAGATCGGCTGTAGTGGAGGGTAAACCCGCCTAATCCCAGCGACAGCCATATCTTTTGACACTGCTGGTTTGAAACAGTGTCGGGCTGAGCTACATGGAAAATGTGTCACTGATGGCACTTTGACGGCTTTTCAGCACCAATTAGTCTGTCAACGGACTGTTTGCTAAGCTACACCTGTTGTAAGTCCGTTCTCACCCGGCACAAGAGCAGCTTCTCATTTCTCACCAACAACTTTCTGTTTTTCTGGCTGAAATAACAAATGATGCTGTAGCTCACCATCACTAGTAGCTCAACAGTGTTAGGTAATAATGTTACAGTTAGATCCAGGAGTTGGTTGAAAACACAGCTTCCGGCTGCTTTTTAATGCTTTAAACTAAGTCCTTTTGAAACGAGAATCTTGTAAGAGGTTTCTTTAATGAGCACTTAACGGCTACGTACAGTAAAAGTCTGAGACGACTGTATGTGATATCGTGTAAAAGGAAAATTTAATTTAAATGTTGACTCATTTTAGGTTAAAAATGTATACAAGTCAAATTTCTTCCAAAAACTACAAATTAAACAAATTGTTAATAAAATATACAAACAAATCCATGACTAGGTTATCAAAAAAGTGTCATGGGGAGAATAAAGAACGTATTCAAGGCACATTGTCACTTGCAGTACAGTTAAGTCAATCATAAATCTGCCTTCTGACATGTTCCTGTGAGAGGGGAACAAGTGATGGAGGTCACCGTGAGACCTGTGGCAGCTCTCTGAGACCTCTGGTGAATTATTGTCCAAGTGGTCGACATTGTTCATACTGCTACTTGTGAAAATGTTCAATAGCCTGCTAACATGAAGTCATCAGTTAAACGCAGACACAGGTAAAGATCATTACACAGGGACTCAGCTGCAGGTGCCTGTCATTATTGATACAAAAAGGACTGTTAGGTAAAAGAAATTAATCCATGTCATCCAGTCTCTATGAAAACATTCCCATAGGGCATTGAGTAAGAAACACCTTACACATGCAGACATCACTTTACATCAACCTTTACTGTTATTGTCTCTATGATAAAATAATACTGTACCTCTTTTAAGATTCATAAAGCGCTACCACTGCTTCAGTGTTTGGTGTGAAGAATTAAGTCACCTTTTTGGTTTCCATATGTTTAATATGTAATCCATTAAAATCAATATCATACAGCCTATTCATCTTAAGGTAGTTCTACATGAGAGAAATCACTAACTGGAGGAAAAGGGAAAAAAGCAGGGATTACTCATGATATTTTTCTTGAGAATAAAGTTGTGATTTGTCCCTGTTGGTGGTTTTTGGCCACATGGTGGTCACCAGCTGAAGCAAATACTCATCTTTGTATTTACCACTATGTTTTTAATACAACACAACTTTGTACTTCTGCTTCCATGAGAATGTGAATGTGCAAACGAGCAGGAGACAGTTTTTTTTTCTTAAACTAGATTTGTTTGTCTCCTTTCTATTAGAGTCAGACGTGTGCCCTGCTTGCCTGCCTGTCTGTCTGTGTTTCTACCTCATAATTGTACGGTTGATAATATCTGCCTGCGACTGGTCCATTATAACCATTAAGACTATCACTGGAGAGGAGTGTTGTGCTTGAGGGGTGAAAGTGTTTTCACTAACCATTTGATTGGAGCTCATTTTGTGGTCTGCTTCAAAGTACCACGGTTACTGGTTCAGATCCCCGAGCAATGAATCATCCTCAAAAATGAACTTGACTTTGGCTTGGATGTGGCGACAGCAATTGGTTTGCGTGTAGCAGGAGGCAGTTTTGTTTGGATTTTTCCATGTTTTGCAGAAATTGACTTGTGTGCCAAACATTTTTGAAGGCTTCTGTTCATTTCTCCTCTCTCTGTCTCTGTCTGCAGGCTGACTTGTTTCCTGGTGCGCTGGTGTACTTCGGCTCTGACGTTAAAACAGGTTTTTGTCTTTTCGGTTCTTTTCTTTCATATGCTGATTTGAATTAGATACTGGTGTATTACTGAGGAATGTGATAAAACAGAACAATAGTTAACATTGTGTTTGTGTGTTTCCTCCACAGCTTTTTACATAAAGAGGGAACTCCTTCAATCCTCCGTCTCGCCCTTGCAAGCAAATGAATCCATTGCAAGGTATGCGCGTACATGTGCGTGTGTGTGCGTGCGTGCGTGCGTGTGTGTGTGTGTTTAAATGAGCGCCTGGTCGTGCGTGTATTTGGGTGTGTACATATGCACTTGTATCCCGCGGCAACCAGCCTATTTTCCTGTCACAAAGCTGTCATCATTGGAATCCCTTTGAGGTTCTGCCTAAACAGCAGGTGCCCCCATGCGCCCTCATTTCCTCCACACACACACACACACACACACACACACACACACACACACACATACACACGCGCGCACACACATCGTTTTCCACTACCTCTAAAGATAGAGCCCATTTCCCAAAAGTGACCCCCACCTGTTGTCCTTTTGCTTCTTTAACAAGGTCATTACTCCTCCTCTGTTTTAGATCTTTATCTTACTCAGTTATTTAATTTCTGGTTCAGCTCCTCTGCCACAAAACAGAGCCGCTTTAAGTAGACACATGAATTCCTCAAGAAAACGAAAAACAACATCCTGCACTCCTCCAAAGTTACTTTCCTGGTGACCCATTTAAAATTTCAACCTTTTTTCCCTTCTACCTCAGCTGCATGCTCTGGTCCCCCACACCCTCCTCCAGCTCTGTGGGCCCAGAGGAGCCGCTGCCTCCTCCAGAGCAGACCGCAGACACCAGTGGGTGCACAAAGGATGAGCAAGACCCGTCTGCACGCACCCAGGCTGCTAAACCTACCAGATCTGATCCGGGCAAGGTGCCCAAATGGCTCAAGCTTCCAGGTGAGGACGGGACGCGTCTATTGTTTTTACAACCCAGTTTAGAATAAACTCCGCCCACTTCTTTGTGACGAAAGATACCTTCAACTGCGGGTACTCCTCTATGTTCTGCTGTCTCGAGCACACACAACCACCAGTTACTGTAGCTGTTCCAAAGTCCTTACAACATCTCTGGTCATACGTTGCTGGACACGTGTCAGTGTGGTTTCTATGGAAACGCAGATGTTGTTGAGGCTGTATGAGGCTTCCATCATACAGAAGCGAGTGGTGTTTCATCTGAACTGGGTTGTAAAAATGATAGACACAGATGCGACAGGTCAGATGATGCTACATCGTTGCCTTTTGGTCCTGGTACAGCTTGTGTTCACACAGTTTTTGTTTGTTTGTTTGTTTGTTTTTTTACAAGAAACTATGAGGTGTAAATATGTAATGTGTGTAAACTCATTAATTGGATAGTGCTGGTGACTGTCCTCCTGTATCATCAGCATTACATGCTCCCACATATTGAAATCGGATTCTGGTGACCTGGTGGGCAGGTCATACAGCACTTAACTCAACTTTGTTTTTATTTCTGTGTCAAAGAGCTCATCAAGCAGTAAGTGATTGTGAGCATGCCATAAATGCTGGGAATAAGAGTCTTAATGTGTTGTTTCCACAGTTTATTCACTACATCTGAGATACAAAACACTTTCAGACTAGTCCTGTTGGGAAAGTTTCCCCACAACACTATTAGTTAGTCATCCTCGTTCAACTTAAAAGCTTTTTGTTTTAAAGTGAAACATGAAATACATCCATTAAAGTTTAACATAACATTCTTGTAGCTTGTCTGTTAGACTCATACTCACACTCTCCCTTCAGGCTCTTGGAAGGGCCAGAATAAGTTTCACGTGCTGTTAGCTTTTTTCAGTCTTTTTGTCCATTTGAGCTCTTAGTCATGATATGCTGTGGTAATTCTTGGCTTTGTGACGGATGATTCAGTCCCCGGGTACCAATCCCAGCAGACATTGGGTACACCCTGGACATGTCGCCGGTCTATCGCAAGGCTGACATGCAGAGACAAACAACCGCTCACGCTCACATCCACACCTAGTTAACCCAACGTGCATGCCTTTGGACTGTGGGAGGAAGCTGGAGTACCCGGAAAGAACCCCTGAATCATGTGGAGAACATGCAAACTCCACACAGAAAGGCCCCAGGCCCGGGGTTCGAACTCAGAACCGTCTTGCTGTGAGGCGACCCACTGCAACACCGTGCCGCCCCCAGCCCAAACACACCAAACCAAACAAGCAAACACACCAGAGTTCATGTGAACCGCACAAAAAAGATTAGGTGTGAAAACACTCGTGCACAGTCGACACAGAAATAAATATTTCACTCCTCCAGCTTTACTCCTCAGAGATCGCTTCCTTTTCTTCTGTAGAGAAGAAACAGAAGGCTTTGAACCACACGATTCTTGTCATGGTAAAGACACACACACAAACCCCAAAACCACAGTCAATAGGAAATCGCCTTTTGAAAGCAGAATTCCTCATGACTCAGAAGATAAGGATGCATGTTAGGATGAACCAATGAACCAATTAGTTCAGGATGGTCACCCCCTCCAGCCCAGGAGACCACTTCAGACACTCAGAGCCCAGGGAGAGAGCCTTCTACTCGGCCACATCACACAGCACGAGCCCATGTGGTCGGTCCAGGCACGGCACTTTTCTGTTGTTCTATTGTGGTGTTTCTGGTGGTCACCGTATTGATGTTTTTGCTTCCTTTTCTCTCTCTGTGTTTTATTTCTGGCTGATCTTTTTGTGCATCCATGTGTGTCTCTTAAGAAAGTTGTGGCTTCTTTTTCTTTCATGAGGAAAGTTAAAAGACAAAGACTGAGGGGAGGGGGCTGAATCTGGAATTACAGGCTTCATGTGTGGAAGCCTGCAGACGACACACACAGACACAGTAGACTACAACACGATCCATCTGAGACTGTTTGTCCAGCACTGAATTTGTCCTGTTATTTAACTTGTCCTGAACGATACTCCAGAGCGTGTTGGTGCGTTTAGAGGAATCAAGATTAGAGCCGACACACTTCAGTCTTCAGCCGTCGGGTGACTTTCTTTTGAATAAAAGTTTTCTTCTCCTTCTTGCATGATAATAATCACTATTGTTTCAATGCCACGCTGACAGGATTTATTACATATTTCATGTTGTGCAGGGTTTTTTTTTTTTTTTTTTAAACAGTTTCTGGATGAAGCTCTTCTTTTTGTTTTTTGTTTTTTTATTACTGATTCTCAATGCATATCTAGTGTCTGTTTCAAATTCAGTATGGATTACAAAGCAGATTATTCAACACTTGCTTAAATCTTGCACAGAGTGGATACATGATGATCTTGTGTGTGTGTGTGTGTGTGTGTGTGTGTGTGTGTGTGTGTGTGTGTGTGTGTGTGTGTGCGCGCAAGTCATTTATTTTTAAAATGTAAAACTTGTATTGATGAGATTGTGAGTTTTGTTATTACCAGAAAGTTATTACAGTCATACTAAGATACTGTTAATGTGTTGTTGATGTTTATGTTTGTTGATTGGAAAAGCTATTTACTGCTGTTTCTTGTTTCCTGCACAGGTAAGAAATAAGGAGGCCTGACCGCCACAGACGCCTGAGAAGCTCTGTCTTGCAGACCGAGTAGAGCACTTAAATCTCTGCTGCCCCGTGAAAAAGGCTCAGCATTGTGACTGCAGTGGACTTAATCCATCGTGTAGGATGCCTGCACTCAACTAGGTTTTCAAACTGTCAAAATAATGAGCTAAACCCCACTGTAAATGATGAATATTTCATTGCCATGACGATTGATGTGTATCATTCCAGCTGATCTCTGGGAGGAGAGAGCGCTGAAGAGGCTGCTTTTATTCAGCAGGTGAAAATGTATTGCAAAGTGAATAAAGATTGTTGTAGTAAAGTTGGCCTTACTTTGTCTTGTATTGAAGTTTAAAATGACTCTTCCATTTGATAAAACAAACTCACCTCAAGGTGAATTTAGTAGCTGCTGTGAAAGCTTTCAATCAAATTACAAATGACAATATGCATCAGCAGAAGATGATGTTCAAATTCTTCAGTTTTTCTGAGCACTTTAAACATGATGGCTATTGAGAAACAGTCACAACTCCTTTATCTATTCACAGATATATGTATATGTGTTAGAGTTACTGTGTGTGTGTGTGAGTGAGAGGGAAAGTTAAAGAGTTGCTCGACATTTTTCAGGTGCCTTCCTGGATCCATGGAGTCCACAGCTTTGATCCAACAGGACAGACCTCATGATAACACTAATTCACGCTGCCTCTGACTCTCACATGCCCTGACTTATCTGACCGTCTACAGGTAACAGTAAACAAGCAGCATGCTGCCATATTTTCACATGTTGTCACCATCAGGCGCTCACTCTGAACACGTTCCTCAGCTCTCTCCCCAGCTGCCCCCTCATTCACTCTTTTAGCTGCAGGAGGAACTTCAAAAAGAGGCCGAACACAGAGGGGAGCAGTGTGTGTGTGTGTGGTGGGAGTATGAGGGAGGAGTACATTCCATCCACTTGTCACACACACACACACACACACACACACACACACACACACACACTCTCTGTCTCCCTCTTGCAAATTAATTACTTCCAACTGCCCCTGGAGCCTTTGATGCCAAATAAAGCGATGGGCACTTACACAGGCCATTTATAGAGTTTGTGTTGGATGTGTGTTAGTGAGGAAAGGTTAACTCACAGTTGTCAATTATTCCTGTCTCCAAACTGTTTTTTACTTGGTGTCAAAATATTCAAAAGTCAGTCGCTGCTCATAGTTGCTAGTTTGCTTTCTACATAAAGTTGGATGTTGGGAGGCTGCAATGAAAAGCTGTGCTGTCAGCACATGGAGCCTCGGTGTGTTTTTAGCTGCAGTGCTGCTGCTTTGCAACAATGACGCTCCCTGGTGGCTGCTGGACCAAGGACAAATGAGGAGGAGTTAGGGCTGTGAGTAGTAGACAGACAGATAGACAGACAGACTTCTAGGACCTATAAAGCTGGCTGATTAACATGTTTTATCTGTACAAAAAACAAAAAGTGTGAAAACTACACATTTTACGAGGGATTATGTCAGTGGCAGAAGAAGTAGTCAGATTTATTTAGAAGATAACCATGAGATATTGGCATTAATCTGCATACTATAAAAAAGACTGACATTAACTGAAGTTAAAATGTTTGATATGACTTCTGAAGGAGTTTCAGGGAGCAGGAGGTCACCTGACCACCACTGTGGTGACATGGAGGAGTCGAGGAGCGACTCTGTGGATTTGGACGCACCAGCTTCTTCACTCGGATTCCAGATAAGATGAAATACAAGAGAAAGATAGGGCGCCCTAACTGAACTAAAAAGAAAAAAAAAAGACTCTTAGTTGACTACCTGAAAAAACAACTTTTGACTTGACCGAACCGAACTGAACTAAACAACTGAAGAGAAAATGAATAAGGACTAAAAAAGGATTATGGATTGAACTCAGGAATTTAAATACCCGGCTATAGAAGTGTGATTATTTAGTTTTTTTTTATTTTAATGTGTGAATCAAACAGAGCTTTGAACAAAGGGGCATTTTGAGATAGTTTGTTTTATTTTAAAGGCCTTGCTTTGTTATAAAGCCTACTCTCACATGAGTGTTGTCTTTTCTCTATTCTGTGATTAAAACAAATGTTATTGCTCAGAGCAGTCGCTGTGTTTTACTAAGATTTTAGATATTGGTGTATTACTATTTTATTGGAATCTAACCCATCTCATAATAACTAGTGGTTACATATACATTTATGTTTTTCCCTTTTTATTTACTAATCGATTTATATATTTCCACATTTACTTATTTATTTATTTGTTTGTTTGTAAAAGTATTTCTTTTTAAAATATTAGAGCATACATACAGTGCAGACCTTGTACTTTCATTAGTCATAGATCACATCGTGTGACTACATGACACCCTTGTGACATTATTTGGATGCAGCTGTTCTGAACATTTTTAGATTTAAACTGTACCTGCAGGTGGAGACAGAGACCGGAGGACAGATATGATATTAAACCAAAGAGCAGAGGCCTGCTCACTGTTCATGTGAACAGTAGGAGGACAATTAACATGGACGTGGAGCTAAGAGCTGACTATTGTGGAAATCCCTGCTGCTGAAACATGACACCCAAATGAAGTGAATGAGGTATAACTGATGTCATGTGAGGGTGTACAGGGTTTACAGGTACCAGGTACAACATCATAACACTTGCCTTTATAATCAAGGGGATATCAGTTAATAATGAAAAATGGGGCCAAAAGGTAAAATTTAAACAGTCAGGGGAGTTAAGGATTAACTTTCTTTAAATCAGTCAATCAAAATGAATTTATCACTCACCTTCTTGCCCTCAACTCAATGGAGCCTTTTAGCCCATTTTAGATCACTGGTTTGGTTTGGCCGATAAACTCCACCATCATCATCCTCCCCTCCAGCTGCAGCGTAGCGGGCAGCTGTTTTCACTGAAGAAAGCTTTGATAAATCCACTGTACACTGGCTGCCCAGCACCAAACAGCAGACAGAGACAAAGTTTGCAACAAGCTGCTGAACATAGCAACGCGCTTAGTAGTTAATTTCTGTGTCACCTTTGTCTCATCAGCCAGCTAATCCTCTGTATGTATATATATAGTCCAGTCTCTCCACCTGTCAGCTGCCAGATTATCTTTGCACTTCCAGTTAGTGAAGTTTCCAGTTTCGCCCCTATTTCTTGTTGAGTTCTCCTTGTGTGTGATTTTCCTGACTTTTTGCCTCTCCGTGTCTGTATCGTTTGCTACGCTGGCTGACTTCTCTTGCCGGCTTTCAAATACTTTGATTTTTTGAACTCCTTTTTTGAATTCCTTGGTTGAAGATTGTTACATATTTATTTGCATGATTATTTATTTCATAATGTCTTATTAATTTATTTGATATTAAAAAGGGCTGCACAATCAATCGAAATATAATCAGTCATCGTAATATGGCCAAGTGCAATATCCAAATTGCCCCGGCCTACAAAATCATATTCTCCACAGCTAAAGGAACATGATTGTTTGGTACAAGCCCCGACAAAAATCACATGATCATGATTTCTAAAAATTTTCATTGAAAATGAAAGGCAAAAACGATCATTCCAGCTGAAGTCATGACTCATATCTCAATCGCAATATCTGCCAAAATAATCACAACATGATATTTTTGTTGCATATCGTGCAGCCCTAATATTGAACACTTTAGGGCTCCATAGATGAGAGGCCTGCTTGTGCAGGAATTACTGGCTCTTGTGTTGCTTAAAGAGGGAAACTACACTCTTCAGCATGTGGAGGTAGCAGGATCGATGCAACATTGGAAAACCTAAAAAGTCTTTGAATGGTGATGAAAAGAGGAACTACGATCTGTGCAGCCAGTCTGTCTTATACAGACTGCTTGTCTTGAAAGCACGGGGTCATTCATCTCACCTCATTCCACAGGGTCTGTAATGTGTCTGCATGCTTGGACTCCACACCCAAGCACATGTACTCATCCCTCCAACGCTCGTGGTGATGGCCCAACCCTAAATAACTTCCATTCTGGTCTGACGGACCAGCAGCACCCCCTCCTCACAGCACAGGGAGGGACACTGAAGGAGAAAGTGTGTGAGAAGGAGTGTGTGACAGAGAGAGTATGAGGATGAGAGTTGATATTTGAGTGAGAGCTGATGGTGTCGTTGGCCCGTGTGGCCACATGGATTCACACTATACGTGTGTGTAGAGCAACAGATACAAACCAAACGTATCTGTTTAAATGAGCGGTGAAGATTGATGAGGAGATCCTGATCCTGGATCATTTCAGTTGAAGGTTGGACCGGAGCGGGTTCTGATGTGGCTTCGTTGGAGGTATTTCCCGGAAGACTCACCTCGACTAACATCTTCTGGACAAAACATCCTGGACAGATCTACTAGTTCTCATCTATGAGACAGTAACCTACTTTAACAAAACTACAGTCCGACTGGAGTTTGAACGCATCTTTCCTGGCTTGCTGGCTGCACAGCACTGAGTCTGGATATTTGTGAACGATGAGTCAGTGTGATCTCTCAGCTGACAGGTGAGTGTGTGCGCCTAGCCGAGCAGCTTGAGCTCTCACAGAAGATCTTGCAGAGGGATCTTTCCCTGTGTTTAACATACTTTGTTACGTGCTCTGATTCAACCACACAGAAATAGAGTTTCAGAAAGTCCCCACCAAGTCTATAAACACAGCAGAGAGAGAGGAGGGTGACCCTGCTGTTGACACTGCACTGAAAACCCCAGTGCCCACCTACCCACACCAGATATCAAGAACGCCTCAAAGCACCTGAGCATCCAGATATTCTCCCACATGTTCATCGAGGAGTTTCAACATCGTTTGAGCAGAGAGGCAAAGACATTTATTTATGATTGAAGATCTGACTGTGGAGGCGGCAGTGTTTTCCAGGACCACAAAAGTCTTGTGACTTTATCTGAAGGAGTGCAAAGCAAAACTAGAAGTGAGTGACGAGATCACAGAGAGGCAGAGGCTGAGAGAAGCTGCTTCATAGGAGAAGTGAGGTAAAAGCACACAATGCTAATTTTGAAATGTATGAGTTCTTTAGATCAATGAGAGTAATTCATACTTTTTGCTTTTGTTTGGTAGATGTCGTCAAGACGCTGGATTACATCACAGGACGTGAAACCCGAGCTGGTTAGACTTTAAACTCCACATCATCCTCTATTGTGTAACTCCTGGACATCCAAAATCTCCCTGCGGCCCTGAGGGACTTACCTCTTAAAGATCTCACTGTACACTGACTTCTTGACTTCTCCTACACGCGCCCAGTCATGGATTCACAGGGTGGTCCATACCTCAACAAGAAGGCACTCTTCTCACCTCTGGGTGCAGCCCGCCTCTGTCAGCTAGCTATGGGCTGTGCTGTGATTGCCATGGTAACCCACAGCGCCGGATACAGTGGTTCACAGGGTGTGTTCTGCATGGCAGCGTGGTGCTGCTGCTTTGCTATGTCGGTTGTGGTGTTCTTTTTGGACGCCACTCGTCTCTACAGCTGCCTCCCCGTCTCCTGGGACAACCTGACGGTCACGTGCGCTGCCTTCGCCACACTCATGTAAGTCACGTGTTCAGGTGTAAATCATGATGCTCATTTGGGTCGTTGGGGGGGGGGGTGAAGTTACAGGCGGAGACCTTTTCACTTTCACCACATCCTCGGAGATTAGTTAACACACACACAAAGCGCACTGAACTTTTACTCATCTTTAATCATCATCTATTAATCAGGACTTTTCCACTTACAGTAAATGTTCCCCATAAATGGAGTAGTACTGAGGGAAAGCACCACAGTGAGATGATTACAATGACCGTATTTAAAAAAATATCTATAAAGGTTTACAAAAATCGGACATAGTTCTGAGTAATACCCTCACAGTGTTCAAAACCTGTGTCTACCATATTTTCATTGGTTGTCCTCAGTCAGAGAGGGGCAACTTTATTATACTCTGCCCAGAAAATAATTAAAGCTGCTGCATAATGAATATATTCGACAGTGGAACAAATGATAACATGTGATGTGAGAGGGTTGCTCCTAGTGATGGACCAACTGAGAATTATCATTCAACTCCGCAGCAGAACATTTTAGTGCCTTTCGGCTCATTGTTTTGGTTTTATGCTCTGCAATTTTAGTAATTTATTCACTGTCTCAGCTCTGAAAGACGCCCTGCAGTGTCCCACCATGACACTCCACGGCATCTTTTTATGCCTCCACACCGGTGACAGCTAGAGCCGGAGATATATTGTTTTCAGGTTGTATGAAGGTACATACGGACGTCCGTCCCATTGGCGTGGACTCGATATCTCAGTAACGCCTTATGGCCTTGACGGAACTTCTTCAAGTTTAGCACAAACATTCACTCGGATTCAAGGATGAACTGATTAGATTTTGGGGGTCAAAGTTCAAAGGTCAATTATATAATATTTCATATGATTCTGGATAACCTGAAACTAGTCTGGTTTGATTACATCATATCTGCACTCATGTGTTTCTGTCTTCTGCAGGTATGTGACAGCCTCTGTGGTCTACCCACTCTTCTTTGTTCGGATTGAGTGCCCCTACGCCGGCTGCGATGTCCGAAATTTTCGCATAGCTGTCACCGTCTGCTCCATCCTGGGTGTTCTAGCCTACGGAGCTGAAGTGGCTTGGTGCCGAGCCAGGCCAGGCCAGGCTGTTGTGGGCTACATGGCCACCGTCTCCGGCCTCCTTAAAGTGGTTCAGGGCTTCGTTGCCTGCATCATTTTTGGAGCTTTGGCCAATGGGAGCGAGTACTCCCGCTATGCTGCTACAATCTACTGCGTTGTCGTCTATGCTTTCTGCTTCACTCTGACTGCAGTGGTGGTCATGATGACTGTGTGTGGGCGGACCAAAGCCGTACGCTGCATGCCCTTTGACCGCTTCGTGGTGGTGTGCACGCTCCTGGAAGTTCTGCTCTACCTGAGTGCATCAGTGGTGTGGCCGGTGTTCTGCTTTGACACGAAATACGGCTCCCCCTGGAGACCATCGTCATGTCCACGGGGAAAGTGTCCGTGGGACAGCAAGGTTGCAGTTGCGGTGTTTTCTTTCGTTAACTTTGGACTGTATGTGGCGGACCTGATCTACTCCCAGAGGTTACGATTCGTCTCCTCACATTTGTCCACTAACTCTCGGGTGTAGCGCCACATGGAACCCTTATTTAGCGTCACTGGCTTGACAGTTTTTAAGTTATTCATTTCACAGTTTATGAGTTTGTTAGTGCATTTATTTGATATTGAAAGACACAGAAATGATAGAGGGGGAGAAATGAATAAGAGGCCCATAACATCATTGGTGGTGCACATGTTACACCACTGAGGCAGCAGACACCCCAAATTCAATCTGTGGAATGTGAACTCTGTGTTTTTACTACTACGACCCCTCTGCCACTCCCCACTGATGTGACACCCCTTCCCTTTAACTGGACCCCTCTGCCCTCTGAGAGATTCAGGGAACAGCCAGATCCTCATGAAGCAGGACACTCCCACTGTTCTTGACCCGTGGCACAACACACACTTACTTGCTGCTTGTATTTCTGTTCAAATAATACAAAAAAAAAAAAAAACGTCTTGAGTATAAATAGCAAATCTGACACTGGAATCTGTGGTATCCTTGTCAACCGAAAACCCCACACCAGCGATCGACGGACATTACCCGGCCTGCCAAAAATAAACAGGAGCTGTCTGCATTCATATCTAAGCTGTGAGACAGCATTTAGAGGGCTCGTGTCTCTCTGTGAAACGGTTTCCCTCAGTCTATGATAACAAATAAAACCTATTTCAAAAACCACACGTCTCTTTCTACCTGCAGTTTTAGTTTGAAAACACAACAATGTTCACAGTTGCACAATTTGGACACGGTCAGTGCGACCCAGGACTGTCACTGGAGTTGGTCAATATGACCCTAAATATGTCCTTAACTAACAGATCTAACGCCGCAAGACTATTTACTTTACTACACTTACACCGGCAGATGAAAATGATCTGTGTGGTTTGATGGTTTCTGTGTTGTCTAGTCTAGTGTATTGAGACAGTAAATGTTTTTACACACTGACATTAAGCTACTATAAACTATATATTCTGACTATGTATAATGTGAATTGCATCTTCTTATGAAGTTTGATTGGCAGCAGCTTTCCAAAGTTGGAGTCCGATTTTACGTCAAGCGGTGCACATATTGTATCATTGCCTATTAGTATAAAATTACTATAGTGACGAACCCTTCAGAGAATTATCACCAGTCTCTGCAATTGCTCTCAGCATTTTAGCTTCATTCAGCTCATTGTTTAGCAACTTTTCTCAGCGCTCACACCAGCATCAGTTCTTGCCTATAGCTGTAAATTGTTGCTGTTTTAATATAACAGGCTCTCATAAATCGACTGTACACTACCTGCCCAGCACCAAACATAAGATAAGATATTCCTTTATTTGTCTCACAGTGGGGAAATCTGCAGTGTTACAGCAGCAAAGTGACAGTATAAAGACAGAAAACCTGCAAAATCACAGTGCCAAGTACATAAAAAAGATAAATGTAATAATATAATACGTACAATTAGACATTAAATATAACAAAACACAAGACAATAGCAGGAGGTAAGTGATATATTATAAACAAGCAAAGTCAGAGACCAGAACATAGTGAAGCATTTAGCAGCTTTAACTGCTGAACAAAGATCAGATGAGTTGGGCTCAAATTTTATCTAAGTCTGCACACATACCAGAAAATGTAATTCATTCTGAATGCTTGTGCCACACCAGCTTCGTTATGTGCACATAATACACAACCTCAGGGATGATAGGTGGAGATTTGTAAACGTAATTCTTAAATGATCTCCGAAATAGGGAGGTGGATGATTAATACAGGGCTGGGTTCACAGTGTGTCTTGTATATGCTTCTCCCGTTTCCTCTCCATCATTACCTCACGTCTAATGTGTTCAACACATCATCATACACAGTCTATAACTTCGGGCTCAGACTAGTCCTCAGTCATTAATTTGCTAGACAGTGTGTCTTTCTACCCTGTCATCCCTGCAGCCTCTGGGGTGAAGAAGGAGAGACAGAGGCCTCTCCGGCTGCCACCTTCTCTGTCAGCAGTGTTATAGTGTTATTTTTGACAGGAATAAAACAGAAGAAGGGATCTCACCCGCTGAGTCTCTCTTTGTTCCCCCTTTCTCTTGATTATTCTCTCTCTTTAATTCTGTCTCTGCAGAACCCCCAGCCCCCATTTCTGCCTCACACAACATACCAGTCACCTCCTCCTCCTCTTCCTCTCCATCCTTCACTCCTCTCTGCTTTGGTCACCTCAGTGAATCTCATCTCTCTAATCCAGGATCAATGAATTCCCCTGTCACATCTGTGAGTGCTATGGATGTATTATATTAAGTCCTCGGGAAGCCACTGTGCCACAGCATACGTCTAGCGAAACTGTCTCTGTGCTCAACAGCAAATCCAACACCAGTTGGTTGCTTTTGTATCCAAATCTGTCTTAAGACCAGAGAAAACGTCACTGTGTGTCTTCGAGATTTTAACCATTGTGACAGTTTTTGTAAATTAGAAACTAAGTACAAGTGAATAACAGGAAAAGCAGATGAGCCGTGGTTTATATGAGGATTTATGTAAACTGATGGTGATTTTTTTGCAGTCATAAATTACTTTGTATTGTTGAAGTAACATGTTTACATATTGTGTGTGTTCCTTGCTGTTAAAAGTATTTTGATCCTCTGATAAATCCTCCAGAATTATTCCTGTTGACAGGCCCTCTGGAGGCAGCACTCGCTCCACTTCTTCTCTTCTTCTGACGAATATTTCCAGAGTGAGATGTAACGTCAGTAGAATATGACAGAGCCCAAAGAAAGCTCCTACTGAAAGTGTCGGACAGTGTTGCCACAGAGCAATCTGTAGCTCCATTAAGGCCTGTGTACTCCCTGCTCCTCTGCAGATCCCCATTTAGCAGCTGTTCCACGTTTGGCACTCATTTTACTTCTCACTCCCTGCGGGCCTCTGTCTTAAACATAGCTGGGTCTCCACACACACACACACACACACACACACACACACATACGCGCACACACAAATACAACACAGCCCACGGTGTATGAACTCTTGTGACAGAGATGAGCTGCGACAGGTGTCCATCATAACCGACCCTTCCTGATTCTCCAGCCGGGGGGCCGCGGAGGGACAGGGGACTGCTGGCTCTCTGTCGTGACTAATCCCTGATGGCGCATGTTGCTGATGTCAGCTTTCCCCTGTAGCTCTTGGCTCTTGTTTTGCCAAATCTTGTGTGGAACATTGTCAAAGGCTGAGTCTTTGGTCCCAGAGGATCTGAATCTATGCCAGCTCTACTAGTCTGGCATCCTGTAGGAAGCTACTGTATACAAAACAGTGTTGGTGCTCAGTTTGGAAGCACTCGTGACGATCAAAGTGGAACAACTAACCAGGGGTTTAAAGTTGAACAGTTTCAGGGATGAATAAAACAATGGAAACATCTGGTAATATAATACACGTGTAAAACTCAAGTCTCAAGTCTCACCTGTAAACGAACCTGTAAGTAAACAGTTCATTTGATTCAGTTAACTATATTCATACGATTACTGTTTGTGGAACCCGTTTATAAAGTTTATGTTGTTTACCGTCATGAATTTACATGGTAACAGTGGATATACAAGTGTATTTATTGTAATAAATCCACAATCCTAAATTATGTTCAGATTATCACCAGATTATGTAAAATGAGCTTTAGGCTTTTGTTAGCATGGCTTTATATGATTTTAGGTGGTGTATCAGTTTCATTTTTTCTGATTGAAAACAAAATGTATACTGATGGTGACTTCCATCTATGACCTGCTGTTTATTAGACATGTGTGATAAGGAGCCAGAGATCTGTTTCCTAAACATTATCAGACCCTTTGGACCAGAGATGCCACCTGATCCACGAGGGAAATTAATAAAATACACAGTGAGATTTGTGTAACTTTATTAGCTTGAAGATTTTTCACTTCCCTCTGAAACTGGACAAATTTATGACCTGCCATTCACACTTCATGGTTAGCAGAGATGCAGCATGACCTTAAACTAAAAAGCTTCAGTTAACACTTTGTTGTCTCTTTAAAAAAAATATAGAAAATTTTGTGACCCTGTCTGAATTATGCTAAACTGGTCTTTTGAGTCTTTTTCTATGGTCCAGTGATTGACGTTTTTCCTTTATGGGTATTCTACACCCATGTAGATTTTATTGTTGAACTCAGACATTTCTTCCCTTTTGAGGATTTCTCATCATTTAAAGGTCTGAGTCGAGTCAACGCTGGTATCTTGTTGAAAGCTAAAAGCTGATAAATAGATTTAGAGCAGAATGTGAGGCAAGTTCAATCGTTTACTCTGAGGATTTTGTTTCCAGTTGACACACACAGCCTCACTTCACATGAATTTCCACTAGAAGGTCAAAGTACAGAGATGACCAGCCTGGCAACCTTTTAGTACTTAGTTACCATGTTGGTGGACACCAGTGACCCATCGGAGAGGAGCACAGTCAACAAATATCCTGCTGTGACCTCCTAGTCAGAGCTCTGGCCTCTCTGGCTACCTCAACACCATCATGGAGTTAAGGACATTGTTAAGAAAGTCTGTATTCTTTGATTAAATCACATCATTTCATCATCACTCTCTACTAAATACCTGCTGAATTGAGAATAGGGATACAGAAGAAGCCTTACTTATTGCACAGCTTCTCTCCTGCTGCAGGTCCTTTTGGGACTTTCAATCTGATTTGTGTGTGAGGTTTTGAGATATGCTGTGGGAAATCCTTTATTAGTTTTGAGTTTGACATAAAATTGAAAGCTGACACTACACTGGATGCATTAACTTCTTTGCTGTCATGTCTTTTGTATTCTGTCTTTGCCGCTCACTCTCGTCTCAGGCTGCAGGAGGGAGACGTATGAACACTGGGGAAAGATTTTCTGTCTGTGATATTAAATATGCACATCTTCTCTCACTCTTTCCCTCTCTCTTGGATTTTCACAATCGCTCTCTTGTTCTTACACACCGAGACACAAAAACACACCTCTGGGCCCCAATCACTGCAAAGCAACAAATTGTTGTGAATGCTTCACCTAGATCTGCTTGTCGCTGTGAGCTGTGTGTAAAAAAAAAAAAAAAAAAGGCAAAAAAAAAACAGATTTGTGAGTTCTGGTATTTTTAATAAACCTCTTAGGGTTTTGTCAAAAAAAGAAAGAGGGAATGAGTGTTGTCACGCCTCAGCACACATGCCGAGTCTGAGTGATAGATAGAACAGAGGCAGGCAGTGGTAAATTGACTTTGTATGTGTGTGTGTGTGTGTGTGTGTGTGTGTGTGTGTGTGTGTCTGACTGAGACGCAGAGTTGCAGGGATACATCAGTGAAATTTTTCAGCTTGTTTGAGATTAGGTTTGGAGAACAGTTTTGTGGGTAATTATTCCACAAACCGATGCAACAAGGGGAAGGGGACACGGCGCCGTATACCTCCTCTTACACTACTCCATCTGCTGCATTCTGTAACATCAGTCGGGAATAAATCATCATATTGTTCCCTAATTCCCTAAGATTTTCTGTTTTATTATAAGAGAGCACACAAGGGGACAAGACAACCTGCCATCCTTTACTTCAGACCTCTTCTTCTGACAAAGAAAAATGAGGCAAAATCAGGGCGGAGCTACAAGTCGTGTCCACGAGCTTTTACTGACTTGAGGATGAGTGGACATTTTGCATTTACACACATGAAAATAACTCATGATGGGTTTTGATGTTTTTCTGGACTAAATATGTTTACATTTGATATTTTTAAGCAAATATATTAGATTAAAGGGGCATTCCAGAGATTTGATATTGCACTTTTATCAGGTAGAGGGACTCAAGTCAGAATTAAATCAGCAGAGACTGATATTTCCTGACTTTCAGTCCCTCATGTCGGTCAAGCCCTCAAAACACTGGATCCAAAAAAGTCCCATAATCCAACTGGATAGCAATCTTAAATTAAACCCCCATTGCCTCCGAAACATCAATTTCTTTCAAATTTCACACTTCCAGTTTGGACTGTCTGACTTCTGTAAAAAGGTCTCAAGCTGAAGCCGGGATAACCCTGATGACATCAATATGACATCATCAGGGTAATATTGTCAGATTTGACAACGCTCCTCCAGATCCACAGCAGACATTACACAACTGATTTCACAGGTTAGGAATCGAGGAATTTGGTTTTTATCCATCTAAATTATATCCGTACACTGCGAAGAAGACCTTGAATGTGCATTTGACCCAATCGATAGATCATACAATTGAACGATTAAATTATATTTACTCTAATCATGTAAGTATTTTAAAAGTCCTGGCAATGGTCTCGCAAAAATAAATGTCTACACCTGTGGAGAATGAACTGATGATATATATCACTTTACCCAGCTGACTAAAGAGGAAGAGTATCCTAACAGCTGGTGCTGTTGGAGCTCAACCTCAGGCCATGCATTCTGCTTTATATATAGACAGGAGCATACGCAATCCCTCAGTCTGCATTCCTGTCCAGCGGCACTGTGAGAAAATAAATGGAATGTGGTCCCTCAGAGGAGACATACAGTACCTCTTGTGGAGTGTAAATTTAGTCTGGTATGGCATGAGAAACATGAAAGGAAGAGGCAGGCACATAGACAAGAGGAGGGCCCGTCCTATTAACATGTGCAGAGAGGAGATTTTAGCATCAAACTGACAGTTACAGGCCAAGTTCAGGGCTAATGTTGAGAATATGCATTGGAGAACTACCATGGGATAGGAAGCCAAACTGTATTCAAATGCCATGGCTCATTAGTGTACTTGCTGTCCAACTCTGCTTTATTTCAGATTCTGTCAAATCTGAGGGGGAGAGGAAAAAGCACTCGTCTACAGTCTCCTGTTAGAATAACAATCCTTCATTCAAATTCAGCTCCCTCAAATATCACAAGCCACTTCTGGTCCCATGAAATGATTTGATTCAGGTTCAAATCTCAATGCATTTGCATTCAAAATGATCAACACTGAACATGGCCCCAGATCGTTCTGGTGGGAGATTTCTTTTGTTGGGATGTGATATAATGTTTCCTGTAAGTAAAAGTATAATCTTATAAAATAAGCTTAACGTCTTCATTATGCAGAATTTAGCCTTTTAGAGTGTTGTAATACTACATACTGTGGCTATTGATTCATTAACATATAAATAGCATAATGTTGTAGTTGGTTGAGGTGCAACTAATTTAAAGTAACTGTTGCTAGTTTAATTTGTTGCACTGTGCTATATTTCATAAACTGATCACGTGTTTCACAGTGGAGTGGAATAAAAAGTGAAGTAAAAATTATTATATTTTCCTCTGAAGTGTAGTGGACTAGTAGAAAATTACAAATTGTACTTGAATAAATATACTGTGCTAGTTTCCACCACTGGTGACCAAGAGGGACCTTATAGACTTTACCTGATTCATCCCAGGTGTGAATCCCAGGTTGTGCTCTGCTATCTCTGATGATTTTTTCATTGATATTTGATTACCACTGAGTACTTTGGGTTACTTATATGTACTTTGTACATATATACTTGTACATAGCCTACTACTAACTATTGTTCACTTCGTGCACACTTTATTTAATAATCTTTTTATTCATTTGTTTAGTAATGCTGAGTTCTCTATTTATGTCTCAACAGTTCAAAACATCAGACCAAGATTTATTATCTCATTGTATTCAGAAAATCTTGCTTGCCTTCTATACTGAAGTCTTGATCGCATCTTATTGATTAACATGTCGAATATCTGATATTCTCTGATCTCAGTATTTTGCATCCTGAACATAATTGATGATAGGAGTGATTGTGGGGTCATAACACCTGGGTTATATAAGATCTATGTGGACATTGCAGCTACGATTATACAAATATGATTTTAGGAGCCAGACCAACAGTACCCGGAATTTTGCACACGTTTTGATCTTCTGTTTTCATAGTGTTTCTGTATCAGATTAGCTCTCTGTTAAGGTCCTGTCACTCTGTGTTGAATCAGTCAGTCGGGTCTGAATAGATGCTGTCAGGACTGGCTTTGCCCAATAAAAACATAACCTACTTTTTAACCCACGGTTCATATGTTTGACCTACTTTCCTCCCGGCAGCGTAAATCCACAGAACTGATGCAACCGGGAGTGGCGGACTGCAAACCCCGCCCAATTTCTATCATCTAGTTTATCATTGGTCTGATTATGAAGCTGTGTCTGTTCTGATTGGCTACTGTCGCTGTTCGTTACAGTTATGGACCTCGCTGGGGCTGAGTAAAAGGGAAGCCACGTTGACACAAAAAGTGGTGTTTTATGTTATTTTTCCGACGCCGACAAGTGACGGACACGTCGTCAACTTACATCTGACAATTCAGGAACCTCAACTGTAACATTTAGGGAAAGGTAACTATGTCCGTGTTGTCTGAATTTGTCGCATTTGTTATTCATTTCTGACTGTGAAACCTAGCTAGCAGAGCTAGCCGAGGACAGGTGGTCATCAGCTAGCTAGGAAATGCTACCATCCTGATCAGCATCAAATGGAGCGCTGATTTTACTCACTAATAATTAGCAAACATAAAACAGTCCATATATGAACTTTTGAACAGTTTAAATCGTACTATTCCAGTGATCAGTCATTAATGATACAAACACAGTTGTGTCAGTAAGTTGGAAGTCAAAGCGACATTTTTTATAAAATGTGACAATGACTTTTATCTGAAAATAAAGCTGACAGCTGTAAATCAGTGAATGTGCCCACATCCCAGTAAAATCACCCATGGGTGCTGCCAGTGTCAGAGGAGGCATTTCATCATCATTCAATGTCTATGAATCTGAGCCAGGATTTTTCTCTAGATTGCATCATTATCAAAGTGTCTCTTTGCTTTTGATAAGTTAAAACTGGATCCGCAATTCATCAGAAGTCAGTTGTGAGAGGGGTATTGTATATAAGGGTGTTTTGCTCATAAGTCCGTGGACACCTGCAACAGTTTTCTGACTGTGTTTTACAGGACAGAGAAGCCACATCATCTGACAGGATGAGTGTTGGATTCATTGGAGCAGGCCAGCTGGCTCATGCACTGGTGAAAGGGTTCACAGCTGCAGGTGAGGCCACTTTCTGTACTGTGCAATCTTTGCCATGCACTGAATCTAACTTCACTGATGTCAGACCGTAAACCCATATCAGCTGTCTTTGGCAAGGATAAAAATACAGTCACATTTATACATTCACCACACATAAAATAAGGCCCACAGAGCTGCACTAGAAGACCCATTCTGCACATATATACTTGCACAATGCACAAATCATGTGTATGGGCTCAGTATTGTGATGTATAATAGCTTTTTAATAACTGTCCTTTCATTTATTTTGTTTTATTTATTTACTTGAGATAGTCCTTTATCATTTCCTTACTGTTAGACTCCTCCTCCTACTGCTTCAACATGTGAATATCCCCCCTTGGGATCAGGAAGGTCTTATCTTACAGTTGTCGTTTTCCATCTCAGTCTACATCCTCATACTCTTCACATCCTCCTGTGTCCCCCCCCAGGTGTGATTGCTACACACAGGATTACAGCCAGCTCCCCAGACACAGACCTGCCGACTGTGTCGGGGCTGAGGGTGAGAAGACGAGTTTCTGCATGAATGTATGGTGGTGTCTGACAAATTGGAAGTGGTGAAAACATTGTTGTGAGCATGCATGTTTGCGAGCATGAGCTTGTCTGAGAGGATATAATGTGTGCATGTTAACAATGCCTATTTGCCCCCTTCCCTGTTTTTTTCCCCTTCCTTCTTCATCTTCTGCAGAAAATGGGGGTGAACCTGACAACTAGCAATAAAGAGACTGTCAATAAGAGTGATGTGCTCTTCCTGGCTGTGAAACCCCACATCATCCCCTTTGTTCTGGATGAGATTGGGCCAGACATTGAGGACCGTCATCTCATAGTGTCCTGTGCTGCAGGTGTAACCATCAGCTCCATAGAGAAGGTCTGCCTCCTTCACCATTTCTATTCTCTGCTGCTCCCTGATCTAGAGTTATTAAACTTCTGATGTTTCTCAGGCACTCTACTAGGGTTGCACAATTAATGAAAATATAATCAAGATGGCAATATGGCCAAATGCAATATCCACATCCAAAGAGCTGGAAAAAGAGCTGCATTTTTTTTTTTTTGATAGAGGTAAAATGTGTCACAACCTTGTTGTGCATTGTTAGCACCATAAGTGTTGTGGTGCTACAGAGACACCCGGCCTACAAATCATATTCTCCAGATGTACCAAAAGATGTAAACATGTTTGTTTGTTACAAAACTTAATAAAAATCACATCAGCATCATCATTTAAAAAAAAATTTCAGTGAAAAAACAACCATTCCAACTGAAATTGCATATTTCTGCCAAAATAATTGCAACATGATTTTTTTTTTTTTATCTATATATATTGTGCAGCCCTACACTCTGCCCTCTTATATGTTTTCTTTCTCCTCTCATTTCCATCTCAATTTACATTCAAGTAATTTTGGCATTGATCCTAAAATGTAAAAGAAATAGTTTTAAATCTTTGTTCCTCTTCATGCCTGTGTTCTCATTCTTGTCATTTTAACAGAAGCTGCTTCAGTACCGTACAGCCCCTAAGGTCATGAGGTGTATGACAAATACTCCGGTGGTGGTGAGAGAGGGAGCTACAGTGTACGCCACTGGGACACATGCAGAGGTAAAGAGGGATGGATAGAGGGATGTGGATACAATAGTCAAATGGTTTATGAATGCATTAATAGAAAGGAAGGATTTATGTTTTTAGGATCAGTCAACACTTTACTGTGTTTTCTATATATATGTAACTCTAACCGTGTCTCCGATAAATGTACCAGAGAGCTGCACAGGAAGGGTGGATTGGACCTTCTGCTCTCACCAGTCTTTCCCTGATTTTTTTCTTCTTAGATCTTATTAATAAGCATGTTATTTTCCTCCTCCTTTCAGGTGGAGGATGGCAAGTTACTGGAGCAGCTGATGGCTAGTGTAGGTTATTGCACTGAGGTGGAGGAGGACCTCATTGATGCCGTCACCGGGCTGAGTGGCAGTGGACCGGCATATGTAAGTGTCAAAGCTATCATCTAATCATTTCAAGCTTCTTTGTCCACTAAGACAGCCTCTTGTTTGGACCGATGTAGGAATGATCTGATGTGCAGTGTTTTTGGAAGACTGGTTGCCATAAAACTTAAGTATGTTTTCAGCTGTCAGGCCTCACAGCTACAACTTCAACTAAAGATTATTTATCTATCACTTTTTTTAAATGAATTATTTAGCATAAGATGTCTTAAACAACGACAGTAGCAATCAGAAGTAAACAAACCCTGACAGTGATGGAGTGTTGGCTCTGACAAAGTCAAAAACTCAATGTATTTAGTTCGTAATAAGATGCAGAGAAAAGCAAGTCAATCTGCAAGCAGCAAATGTTTGGTATTTTTATATTCTTAATAAATGACGTAAATGTTTTTTTTTTTTGTGTGTGTTGATTGACTTAGTTGATTAAACACCAACTCATTTTGGCTTTATACACTGTTGTCAACACCAGGCTGCCTGTCAGTTAAAATCCTCACTCTGTCATTCAGTGGCTGGTAATATTTATTTATTTATTTATCTATTTATTTATTTATTTTAGAGGTTTTCAGGCTTGAGACCAGGACATTGGACAAACAGTGGCAGGGAGGAAGCTGAAGGAGAGCCAGGGTTTTTCTGAATTAGTACATGTTCTTCTCTAATGAATGTTTCCGTTAGAAAACATATAAAGAAGCTCAGCTGTGGTAATGACTTGTATTACCATGCATGTATTTCCAAATCTCAATCCTTCCTGCTTTCTAAAACGGTCACGTCAAATGTACTGTGTAGCAGACAGAGGTGCGCGGTGGTTGAGCAAATTAAAAATAATTGTGTCCGTCGGGTTTTATCTGCTTTCTGCATAGAGCTTGAGCCTCAGACAGGTATTTTTAAATACAGTTGAAAAGCTCTGAGTACTTTTTTTTTCTCTCTCTAAACTGACTGAGGAAGCAGCAAGGTTAAATCTATTGGATGTCAGTCTTTAAGAGTCAACTTATTGTTCTACCCTACATTATGCAGAATGAAGGGTAAGTAATCAGTAAAAGAGAAGCAAAGCCAAGTTTTCATATGATGAATTTATATAGTTACTCTTTGTAAATATGCGATGGCATTGTTGTTTTAAAGGGAAAAATGTTATGTTTTTACAGGCGTTCACAGCGGTGGATGCTCTCGCAGATGGAGGAGTGAAGATGGGTCTGCCCAGGAGACTGGCTGTCAGACTTGGAGCTCAGGCCCTACTGGTGAGTTGTGTGTGCGTGTGTATGTGTGTGTGTGTGTCTCTGTGTGTGTGTGTGTGTGTGTGTGTGTGTGTGTGTGTCCTCATCTCGTGTAACATTTTGTCTACTTGATCCACTGGTCGTCTGTGTATCTGAAGTCAGAGAACACATTAGGACTGAGTTGCTGCGTTCAGTGCACCCAACACTTCTACTGTCTCATTACTAATGACTTTAATTCACTAATAATGATGAAACTATAGAAAAATAAATGTAATAAACATTAACATTGCTTAATTGTTTTAATGCAGACACTGATGTGATCACATCTTGGAGAATATTCACTTCAGACTGTTTTAATTGTGACAGCTGCTTCAATCTCAGTGTGTTGAGCTCCTTCCTGCATCTTTAGCAGCAGTCTTCTCTGCTGAAAAGCCTTTTCAGATGTTGTTACATGTTGCAGACAATAAATATCCTTGGTCTGAGTGTCTTCTCTTGTTTGCGCATTTGACTGTGGGAAACGCTCACTAAAGACAATATAGTAGCATAGTCATGTTAGCCTGTTGTAAGCCAGCATGCTGCCGGGAAAACCTTTACATTAGCTTAGATTTAATTTCCTGTGGGAACTTTTATTCTATATTACAATGCACATCAAGATGGCACAAGGATTTGTGCTGCGGAGGATGGATGCTGTATTAGCATTCCATGACACGATAAGTTGACCTTCATACAAATCCTCATCTCCCCTCTTTGTCCTTGTGCTCCTGTTTCTTTTCAGGGAGCTGCTAAGATGTTGCTCGACTCAGAGCAGCACCCCGGCCAGCTGAAGGACAACGTGTGCTCACCAGGGGGTGCCACCATCCACGCACTGCATGTCCTGGAGAGTGGTGGCTTTCGCAGCCTCTTGATCAACGCAGTGGAGGCTTCATGCATCAGGACACGGTGAGACACTTCAACCTGAAAACACAAATCACACATGTATCAGCACCAAGGGTTTCTCAACTTTTTCTTTCCATTCTTGGCTCCCTGGGCCACTGATTTTCAGTTCTTATTCATCTTTTTCAACTAATTGAGTAATTTTTTTTTTGTCTCTAAAATGTCAGAATAATGAGAAATGTCCATAAACTTTCAGAGCTAAAATGCAATCTTCATCAAGTCTTCACAGTAAAAAGATGGAACCACCTTTTGCAAGTTTGATGCCTGAATGTTTATCAGAAACAGTGGACTTTCTGACAAGTGACAATCAATGATTGTGGCACTAAATGTGAACATTTTATATTTTTATACTTTACTTTGAAGACAATGAAGGGCAGCCAAAAATACATATTATATAAACATGATTCTATATTCCTAATCAGTTGTTTTATTTTATAATTCACATCAAATAAATATGAATATTTCAGGCATACGATTCTCTCTTGATCTTGCTTCTCTGTTGAGTGAACCCTGATAGCTCTAGTTGTGACTTAAAGGGCTGGTGCTACCTTCATGCTTTTCATTAGTAAAATTGACAGAAATATGATACACAGCTACATTTGTACTGTACATCTGATGCCAGGCTTCCCTTCCTTTCACAGGGAGCTGCAATTCCTGGCAGACCAAGAGCGTATTTCTCCAGCAGCCATTAAGAAAACCACATTGGACAAGGTGCTCCAGCAACCTGGAGTCACAGTCAGCGGAGTGGCTAATGGGAACGGTAGATCGGGGCTCAACCTGTTCAACAATCGCAGCCCAGGGATCAAGAAGAAGAACTGAGGACACAGTGGGGCAGGCACACACACAAACATGTTACAGGTTCAAGTGTACTACATGTACACATGTGGACATACATACATCTTAAACTATTCAGCCATAGAAATTACAAAACGGACTCGGGACTGGTCTGAGATCACATCCAAATTACTTTGCCAAAATTATTTATTCATACTTGAATAACACGCGGACAGTGGACGTGATGGTGTCACCACCACCTTACACACAAGCACAGGTGCATTCCGGGTGCATTGCTCACAGTTATAGCCTTATGTTGTGATGCAGACTGTCTACAAATACACAAATCCAGATACACACTGAAGAGCAAGAGTGCATTTACAATCTGTTGTCTATCTGTTTGGGCTCTAGACTATGTAGAGCTGTTGAACAGTAATGACCCAGTGGGCCATAATGGGATCCTGGTACCGGCAGCAGATGGCTGCTGGGATACCATCAAGCTGTTAGTGTATGTCTTAAATGTCTTTATTTAAAAACAAATGAAGCCACCTTGTAAATCATCACGTACCGTTCTTTTGTTTGTAAACAAATAATTATCTTTGTTTGGCAAACAGTGTTATACGGTTAATGACTGAATATGGACTGAACAAAAATTTTAATAACTTTATATTTGCTTGTTTTGATTGTCATATATGAACACTATGGTCCTCATGGATACAATACCCTCCCTGCGTGTTACAATGGGGTTTCTAGCACATCAAGAACATTGTGCCTTTGACCCTTAAACAATTTTTTTTTCTCACACATAAAGGTCATTCCAAGCTTGAAGACACCTCTGATGTCAACAGTTTTCCTCAGATCCCTCTGTTCTCTTTCTGTCAGCTAGTTTTTGTTGCGCTTACTTCATGACATTGTGGGTCTTAAACCCAAAATCTTGACCTGTTATCTTGAACCTTCAGATGTTTTACACCATCAAGGCACTTTTTGTGTTTTCTCTCATAAGGGAATGTAATGTTAGCTGAAAGTGCTACAGGATAGTTTAATTCATCTAAAAAGCTTGAAGAATATGTTCATGTGGTTATGAAAGCATAACATCAGCCACAAATCCGTCCTAACTTTGTATTTTGTATTTTTCTGTATATTTTTATCCCCATAATGTTACATGTTATGTCTTGTTTTGTTTGGCATATCAACAACTGAGCTGGTGTGCTAGTCTCCAGACAATATTAAAGAAGCAGAATCAAATATCATTGTTCCAAAGCTAGTTTCTCTTGGACTCGATAGTGTGTGAGATCAGTTTTGACTGCTCTGCACTGACTCTTCCATTTTCTTGGCTCCTTTTTGGTTTTCCACCTTTTGTGTAGTAAAGTTGTTCCTTCTTGGTTTAGTTATAGTTCGTGGTTTCCCTCGGACTACGACTAACCAGACTATCAGTAATTGATAAAGATGCACCCTGGCCTGCAGATGGCGCTGCATGATCAGTGTGACCCATTTGCACATGCCCATGAAGATCAAGTTACACTCGTCACACAGATGCCACTTGACAGGGACTTAAAATTGACCCTGGTCTAACATCAAATATAACTACACCACCTCACTAATTGGTAAAGAGCATTAACTGTAGCGCTACAGTTACATGGCTCACCTGCTCATCATCTAAGACCCTTCTGGAGTCTTATTTTATCTCCCCTGGTAGGTCACTGCCTCTTGAGTACTTCCCCAAGCAGATCCCTCCTCTATCAAACTCAGACTATGCATGTGCCATAAATAATAAGGGTAATGGTGTTTTTCCTCACTGGCCTGCTGATGCATTGTGATTGGCTGTTCTAAGAGGAAACACGGTCCAATTTTAGAAACTTTCTGTCAGCAGGACATATGACCAGTGTGTGGCATCCTGGATTTCCCTCTAGATCCAGCCCTCTCCTCTTCTTTCTGAGAGGTCTTCACATTATCATTACTTGACAAGCTTAGAAACACAGAGGTGCTGTTGGTGAAAGAACCTTTCACTTCAGTGAAAGTCCTGCATTTAATATCCTGAGTATTATCAGATAAATGTACTACAAGTATCAAAAGTAAAAGGACTGTCGTTCTGCAGAAAAACTCCCTTGTGATTGATGGAATATTATATATGACATTATAGGTCATAAATATTGATACATAAATACATGAGCAGCATTTTACTGTTGTAGCTGCTCGAGGTGGAGCCAGTTTTAATTACTTTATTTACAGTTTGGTAGTTAAGTCCAGTGGTGTCCACCCCCCCACCCACAAAAAAAAGAAAGAAAGTTTATAACACAAATCTGAGCGATTGTGAGATGATAAATGGAAGAGAAGAGAAAGAAAAACGTTCTGCTACACAAGTTTTTGTACTTCTCTCTTTTCTCTACCTTTGTGGGCCTCAAATGGTTATTTAAATTAAACAACAGGAGCAGTTTAGAAGGGAAATCACTCTTTGAGGGAACTGTTAACAACTCACAGTCATGTGAAATGTGACGAGCTCCAGCCAGACCCTGCTTTTTGCTAAGGAACCACAAGTCAAAAAGGTTGGAACCTCTTTTTTGGTTTAATTTTGCATGCATGAATTGTAGTTTATAAGCTAATCATTTCAATCTAAATCAGTAACTAGAGCTATCAGATGAATGTAGCAGAGTAGAAGTAGACAGTGGCATTAAATGGAAAGTAAAGTACAGGTAAAGTGCAGGTACTTGTATTTAAGCACAGTACTTGAGTAAATGTTACTTTCTACCACTGGGTGCTGTGAGCTTACAAACTAAATATCAATAAGTTCTGAGTTAGTGTGATAGCAGAGGACCCAAGCGCAGCTACATGTGGGTATATTAAGAGACAGTAGCTACAGCAGACTCGAAGCCCGGTAAATGCTTTCTTACATATTTGGGCCCGTCCCTGTGCTCCAGGCTGCTACATTTTGGATTAACAGATGCCACTTTGTGCTGGAATGAGATAGGCCTGTGGGTCTATTCAGGCAATACACAGGTGCATAATGGTGAAGTAAAAATGATGGAAGAAAAGTGATGGTTTGTGAAGAGCCATGTCCTCATTATAATTGAGCAATTTATAGCTGTTGTAGGATTAGTTTATTTTTCTTAAACTAATACACACACCAGTGTCCCTTGATTAAATTGCAACCCACAAGCTCTTAGTGCTCTCAGGCTGTTTATTTGTGCGTGCAATGGTTTTTCCTCCGCCACTGAAGTGTCTCGGTAATCCCTCTTTTATGCCGAAAGGTTATTCTCCGCTTGCTCCTGCCGCTCTCCGTTAAGATTAGCCATTCCTGGAGAGACTTCCATTTGCCTCTCATTATTAGACTTCTGTTACCTTTCGTTGGTCGGACCGCTTTGAGCGCCTCTCTTCCACCCAAGGTGAAGAGGATGTGCTCTGTGTCAATCATCTTGACACCAGCAGAGGGTCTAAGATGGCAGTTCAGTGGCAGATAATCCTGGAGTGGAAAGTTTTGGTGTGGTGGTGTGTGTGTGCTGTGTGTTGTGTGTGTGTGTCTGAGTGTGTGTGTGTGTGTGTGTGTGTGTGTGTGTGTGTGTGTGTGTGTGTGTGTGTGTGTGTGTGTGTTTTCGTGCATGTGCGCGCTACAGCCCAGCATGGGATTTCTGTCCACAGGTAGGCCAGATGCTACCTGTCATCTCTGTTCAATCAATGTAATCACTGACCTTTGCAGTAACATGGTTGTTTGCATATCGTATCAAGGCCAGGAGGAGAGCTAGAAACCAAGAGGAGTGAATAGATGGAGGAGCTTTTTCTTTCTTTTTGTTTCTCTCCTCCATCACCTCCACCACACATCTACCTGATCCTGTCTACAATGAAAAACTTAGAGACGAGCAAGAAAAGAGGTGTTTGTTTGTGGCCAGTCAGTCTTCCATGTTCCTGTTTCACTGTTTGTGCGCTGCAGCGTTGTCAGTAATGTGTGTGTGTGTGTGTGTTTGTGTGTTTGTTTGTGTGTGTGAGACTTGTGCACAACTGTGATCTCTGAGCTGATACAGTATCAGCTTGATGCAGCTGTCTGGTGAAACGGTTGCAGAAAAGAGGAAGCTCCGACGGTTACCACACAGTCAGTGAATCTGCAGTATGGGCTTCTCTCTAATGCCAACCTGTAGTGTACAAGTCTAGAGGAGTCATGGAGACACACACCTGTGTTCGATTGATGCCTATCTGGGAATGAGACATGCACAGGAGTGTACAGTGGCATCAGAAAGTATTCAGACCACTTCCCCTCTTGCACACTTTATTGCTTTGTATATTTGATCTGATTTTCAATGGATGAAAGTAACATTTTTGCCCATCAATCATCAATCTACACTCAATAACCCAGAATGAAAAAAGTTTATTAAAAATCAAAAACTGAAATCTATTTATTCACAAAAGTGTTCAGATAAATTCATTACTTTGTAGAAGCCCCTTTGGCAGCAATTAAAGCTTTGAGTCTTCTTGGATAAATCTCTATGAATTTGCTCACCTGGATTTGGCCAGTGAGTCCCATTTTTACTGGCAGATCCTCTCAAGCTCCGTCAGATTGGATGGGAAGTGTCTGTGAATGGCGATCTTCAGGTCTCTCCACACATGTTCCACGGAGTTTAAGTCTAGGCTCATCCTGCAGCCTCCAGCGTTTTCTTAGCTGTGTGCTTCAGGTCATTGTCGTGCTGAAAGGTGAACCCTCACCTCAGGTCATGTGTACTCTGGAACGGGTTTTCGCCAGGTTTTCTTCAACGACCTCTGTATTTGGCTGCATTCATGCTACCTGACCAGTCTCCCTGTCCCTGCAACTGAGAATCCCCCCATAGCATGATGCTGCGAGCACCATGCTTCACCATATAGATGGTATGAGCCGGACGATGAGCAGTGCCTGGTGTTTTACAGACATAGTGTTTGGAGTTCTGCTCAAAGAGTTCAATTTTTGTCTCATCAGACCAAACAATCTTTTTCCTCATGCTCTCAGAGTCCTTTAAATGCCATTTGGCAAACTCCACTGTGCACTGTCATATGCCTTCTCCTCAAAGTGGCTTCTGTCTAGCTACTCTACCATAAAGAGCTGAGAGCTGGCGAAAATGCTAATTCTAATTCTATCCATTCACAATTAAATGAGCAACATTAAACTGCATTTTAATGAGGCAAGCTCACATTCCTTCCTCAAATCTGCAAATGAACTTGTAGATTTAACTCAGATAAATGTAGTGGAGTAAAAAGTAGATCATTTCCCTCTGAAATGTAGTGGAGTATAATGTAATGTAGAAAGAAATTTAAATACTGAGTTCAAAATTCTCACAAGTACCTATTGAGTTACTTATGACACATCAGTTTTTCAGAGGTTTAGCTTTTGTGCTGGCCTTCAAGGTGTGGTGGGGGGGTTCTCCACCACAGTTCAGATCTTTTACTTAGGTAAAAGTGTAGAAATAGTATAGTACCATATTACAATCAAGATATACTTAAAGCACAAAAAGCAGAAGTGCTCATTACACAGAATGGCCCAGTTCAGAATATATGTTGTATATGTATAATGGATTATGTATGTCACTTTTATGTTGTGGTTTAAGAATTATAACAATTTAATATACTTGTTATTGGTTGATGTTATGTATCTGAATCTACAGTAGCCAAAGTTTTCAGATCAATGTTGTAGAGTAAAAAGTACAATATTTGCCTCTGAAATACTGCGGCAGTATGTGCGGTGTGTAGAGTAGCATAAAATGGACAGAAAGTAGTACTCTAAGTACAAGAATCACTAAATTGTGCTTCACCTTGTGTAAATGTAGTCCATCACTCCCTACAAGCTAAAGTATAAGGAGCATTTATATTGGTGTATTTCCTCACAAATGCAGGAGGTTACCTCTCCTTTAGCGCTTGCACTTATCAGTCCAGTCTATGCTGATAAAATGTCTGGAGCTCCTTTGGATGAAAAATTGCTTATTTTAAGATGCTTTTGGGGGGGGGTGCAATTAATTTATCCTGGAAACACAATTTAAAATCTAATCCTAAAAAGACCTAACCTGCTGTACGATGTTTCATTTCTGTATTAGTCACTTTCTTAAAAATACCAAGCCAAATTCAAGTGATATTTCAAAATGAATCTTTACTTTCAGCAGCCTGGCAGAGATTTCCTGTGACTCCTCAAAGGCCAGTGGACGTCCAAGTGGAGATATCAGTCACTGAATATGTAATACCTCCTATTTTCATAAACTGAGTGGTATTATCTTGAAATAGGCTGCTAATATTGGTTGAGTGCTTTCTTATCTTGCATGGAAAGTCGTTAGTTTCTCAGCAATGGAAATGGAATATCTATAAACTACTAGGGATTATAGTTGTTTAGATTTGTTTTAAATTCCATTGTAAATCAATATAGGTCGTGTATGATCAGCTTCTCAAGATTCATGGTACTATTTTCTTTAGCTTTTCCACTCAAGACACAGTGGAAACATGGGATTTTAAAGTTGTCAGGCAGTCATCCAGACAAGAAAATTGAGTTGGCATCAAAACTAAGATTAACAAAGAATAAATAAGTTATTGCATATTAAATATTTCTACATGAAAATTCTTTACCAATTCATGCCCCTTAGCAAAATGCTAAATTTCTGTGGTGCAGTTTTTGTGAAAGTGACGGTTTGTTCTGTGGAACCAGAGTCAGGAACTCACCATTTTTGATATTGCCATTTCATGTCCTTCGTTTAGGGGAAGTGATACAAAGATAGAAATCTACATGTCAGTTTGCTGTTTTCTGCAACTTGGGTAAACAGCTTAAAAAAACAGGACCTGTTTAAGAAAGTATCCCTTTTCTGTCTTTTTGATGTCTGTTTTTCCACTTTCATATAACATCATTCCAATTTAATAGGTTGGTGCAATTCCATAACAAAAAACTTAAAATGGGGGAAAATGCATACAAACTTTGGTGTTATTTAACCAAAAACAAAATTTTGACATTTCCCAATGCTGATAGTATTCTCTTAAACTGACCGAAACACATGTTTTACTTTTTATTTATACTTTTATTTACTTCTTTTAATTTCATTTCTTCACTCTGCGTACAATTGTTGAAGGCAATCAGTGCTTCAAATGTTCGCTCTAAGTTTAGACATTTGCACAGAGGTGGGGCTGCCTTGTCACACTTTCCACACTGACTGTTGTGAGAACAGTCCATCACACAGTAGTAGTGTCTCATGTCTCTTTAAATGCGGGTTGCGTAGATCCTTCATGAATGAAACCATGTGATCCAAACATCATTTGACGTCTGGCGCCTCCGACCATAAAGGAGTGGATATATCTAGAGACCTGCGAGAAGGCGTGAGCGGAAAAAAACATTTCTCCAACTGCCTCTCCTCCACACCGGGTCGACCAACCATCGGCGAACCCCAACCTTCGAAGGTGCGGTGGGTGAAAGGCGCGCCGGTTTGACTTCTGGTGAGTCAGCTTTGACTAAATCAAAACTGAATTTCCATTCAAAAACTGCTGAATATAGACGTGCTGTTTTGCTGAGTGTGCACGGCCACCACCGCTGCCATGCCGTTATCGCCGCCAAGTGCGCTCGCACTTATGTTACCGCTTGTCCCGGTGCGCTGCCGCCGCCGCCGCCGCCGCTGCTGCCGCTGCCGCTGCCGCCGCTGCGCTGTCCTGTTCAGCCGAACTCACAGCAGCGCCGCTGCCGTTTAAAGGGCAGTAGTCTGGTAGTGCTGAATCATCACGAACCGGTCGTCATCCAGCTCCGTACATGCTCTACCGAGATCGGGTCGGTCGCTCGACCGCGGCGCCGACCGTTCATCCGGCGATTTCATAACAACACAGACAAAGGGGGTGTACGTTACGTACGGTTGTCAAGCTTAAAAAGAAGCCATGTGTCGGAATTAGAAGACCGTGCGGGGAGTTCGAGAGCAAGTCCGCTTTCTGTGCCGCTGGTACGCCCGGGGATTCCCTTGTTTTCTGCCTACTAAATGACTAAATATTTAGAAAGGTGAAAGAAAGAGGATATATGGGATACATTTGAACGTAGAGTAACAACTTAGGACAGCGGAAATCTTCGAAAACAACACATAACCTCAACGTTAGCTTCTCCGACTGTCCTCTCTTCGGGGTGCTGAAGCGGCAGCGGTGGACACAAACTGAAGCGACCCGCTGTCGCTTCACAAACTGACTCTGTTGTCTGTTGCTGCTGCACAGGTAAGATGGCCAGTCAGCTGTTTGTTAGGTATGCTGGGATTTTATCTGTTTTTGCGGGCGGGTTTACTGACTCTAGCGGTAACCTTTCGTCTACTCGCTGCTGGCTTAGTTGGCCGTGTGACATAAGTAAAATGTGATGAAAAAAGGGCAGCGACCACAACAAACAGCCCCGGCTGTCATTGTGTTGTAACTGTCAAACGTCCGGCGGTTAGCTACTGAATATGTCCTGGCTGTTAGTGAGAGGGCAGCGGTGACTCTGCTGGAGCGGCTGTTTTGACATTTGCTTTGTGTCAGACGCTGTTCTTCCGACAGGCCTTCAGTTCATGTGTATCTACTGACATTAGGTGATACATTTTTACGTCTAAAGGAGTTGTGCTGTCGGTTTAAACGGAGAGATTCGGTCTATTTCCTGGCGTGCCTGGTTGTACACCGGCTGCACTCGCGACAGAGATGCTGATTCATCACAACGTTGTTATTTCTCAACGTTTGCGCGAGCGGAGGCATGAGGGAGCCATGGCAACATGGCACCGGCGGCAGGCGGGCGGACAAAGGTCTGGCGCGAGGGAAGGAAGAGCTCGGTTTATATTGGGGGCTTGGCTCTGAAACAAATAGGCCTAGTCGTGTAGTGGATGTTGACGTGTCTCTTGGATAATTAGAGCTCATGTGGGCTGAGGAATGAGTGTTTAAAATGTGACAAATGTTAAGTATGTTCATTTTTTTCAGTGAGTTTTGGTTTATTCAGCCCCTTTAATACATCTTCAGTCAGTGGATTTAAAGCACATGGGAACAATGTGCACACAGGCATGATAAGTAACATGCACTAAATTATTTAGTTGCTTAACCAGTTTTTACTTTTGAGGTATAACTGGGACAAAACAATCTCACAGTCACAAGCAAACAACCAATGACACCTGCTACCCTTGATGTTGTGCAGTGACCTCGCTCACTTTTATTTATCAAGTCTACAAATCATAAGTTAGCCTTGTGTGTGAATATAATTTAGCAAATGTGGTCAAAAACAAATGAAGGCTGGAGGGAAGGACACATTCTCGTGGCAGTTAATGTTGGACATTGACTGCTCATGAACCCACACAGGCTTGTGCTAAAAAAAGAAAGCACCTCAATGAACTATAATGCCTTGCAACAGAATATCCTCTGATTGATCTCTAGTAGATGGGCCATTATCAGCTGCCTAGTACCAACCTATGAGCATTGCAACTCTTAAACACAGAAGAGTAATAGGGAAGCTCTGTGGGCACAAGAAAAACAGAAACTTCACCCCCTAATGACTTCATATCAGCAGCTTTAGTTAGAGTCAGCACTCTGCGGAGTGTATCAAAAGTATGTAGTAAGCAAGTTGGCAAGTACTGTAATAGAGGGTCATAATGATGAAACAGTTGTATCAGTATTGGAGAGAAGAGCACCCCCAACCCCCCTTACTGTCTTTCTCTCTCTTTCTCTCTCTCTCTCTTATACACACACACACACACACACACACATTTTTCCCATTTCCTTTTCTCATTGCGTGTATGCACACACACAACCTAGGGGCTAAGCTTTTTATACTTGGTATCAGTATTTAATCAGTGCTTGAAGTGCATTTCTCTGTCAAGTACTTTCCCCACTTCCCTGGTGTTCATGGTAATTGAACGCTGACCAATGCTTATGTGTGCAACTTTGCTGATGGTGGCGGAGCGGCAAGGCGCGCAGAGCAAGGGGGATGAAGGAAGAGGGAGGAAGAATGAGAGATGGGATTTGCGGAGAGATTGAGAACAAGGACCTTTTTGTCTTCAAGGCATTCCCCTGAAAATGCTGAGGCGAAGCAAATGCGCTCTCGCTTGACAGATGGCGTTTTCACTTGTTACTTACCACAGCTAGTTTCTTTGCCTTGTCGTGTGTGTGTGTGTGTGCATGTGAGAAAGTGTGCAAAGAGAGTAGGAGATATAAAACACCTATAAGATGCTAAGATCTAGTTGCTGTAGGGTGTGTGTGTGTGTGTGTGTGTGTGTGTGTGTGTGGTGCTGTAGTGTTGTGACTGTGTGTGTGTGTGTGTGTGTGTGTGTGAGAAAAAAACAGTGTGTTTGAGTTCCTAGCTGAATTTGGGAGACAGAAGCAATGGGAAGTGATTTTACTATCATTTGGCCATTACAACATTTTGCACTTGGCAGTTGATTTGTTTCCATCCCTTCACAATGTCGACCTTAAGCTTCTCTCTTCAGGAGGGTGTGTGTGTGTGTGTGTGTGTGTGTGCGCTCATATAAACTTGTTTGATTCCCTGATTCCATGTGCAGGGGTCAAGTTGATGAAACGCTGTGTAAAACTTCCTCTGGCTGTGTGAGGAAGGAGTGATGGGACAGGAGCTATTGAGCTTAGACAGGTGTTCAGTCCAGAGCAAAGAGACGTATTTACGTTGATAGTTGTTAGTTATTAGTTGATTAATTGATTAGATAATCAATCAGCCACAGTTCTCATCAATGAACAGTTGTTTAAGTTTTGAAACACAAACATGCCCAAAAATGACTGGTTCCATCCTCTTAAATGTGCATATTTGCTTGTCTTCAGTGATATTATACAAAATATGTTTCTGCTTTAGACCATTGATCAGATGACACCAGCTGCTTGAATATGTCAGCTAGGGCTTTAGGAAGTAGTAAAGGACATTTTTCACAATTTTTTGATACTTTATATAAAGTAATTGTCAGATTTATCACTAATGAAATGAATCACTGTTCATGTTATCGATTACTATTGTTTTAAAAACTTTTGTTCTCAAAGTGTTCAGTGTTGATTTTGACTTAAAGTGGAGCAGCTGTGCACAAATCTAACAATCACAATCTAATATTAGAAAAATTATAATCTAACCCAGGAAATATCTAATTAAGAAATAAACAACACTAAGAAAGTGAACAAGCGTTCACTGCAACCTGACATTATGGTCGGTAACAAAACTTTAAGGTTCAATACCCGGCCTTAAGTGTCAATGAGGTGTTTATTCAAGTCTATAATCCTGAGGTGGTGGTTAATAGTTAATCATGTTTTGGTGTTGTGCACTATTATATTGTAATATGTTGTTGTGTTGTTCCAAAATACATTTTCAGCTCCTGGATTACATTAAATAAGAAGCTTCACAAAGGCAGCGTTTATTGCAGGGCTATAGTACTGGATTGCATTGGATTGCACAGGTGTTCACAATATTGTGTCCATGTCCTGTGTGTGTCTGTGTGTATGTGTATGTGTAAGAGAGTTAATGTTTGGGAGATCATTTGTAAGTGGCGTCTGTGTATTTATGATCTTCTTTACTACTGGGATCCATTTCAGAAGAAGTCTTGTTATGCTTGCAAATTTCTGAGAGTGAGAGAGAAGTAAAAAGAGGGAAGTAAAAGCAGGAATAAAAGATGGAATTAGAGAGTGGGTGAGAGAGAGAGAGAGGCAGAGAGAAAAGGAAGCAGTGGGGCAGATCAATAGTTGAGTGTTTTTTCTCCACAGTAATGATGAAATATGGTGTAAGCAGATCTGGTGCATAATCATTGCTGTGCTCCACTGTTTTTTTCTGCTTCTGTGTGAGTGTGCTGCTTGTCCTTGTGTTATTTTTGTGTGTGTGTGTGTGTGTGTGTGTGTGTGTGTGTGTGTGTGTGTGTGTGTTTTCATGTGTTCATGTGTTCAACATACCATCCCTCTACAAGTGTCTTGACTCCTTATTTACATAACCTCCCTGAGAACCGGAAAATGTATGAAATCAAGATAAATCCCATTGCAACATGCACAAGAAGTCAAAAGGATTAGGAAATGGAAAACAAGTTGAAGTTCAGTCTAAGTGCCTCACATTACTGATCTAACCTTCTGTCCTGTAACGGTTGTGGTGTTCAAATACTAAGCAGATCCTCTGTATCAATAATCACTCTTTGAGTCAAATTCTCATGTTTTCCCTCGGAGGACCAGTGGGTTTATTGTGAAGCTTTCTGAGAAGGCTCCAATTAAAGGAGACTACTTAGTGCCACACACACACCAACAGACACACACATACTTCACATACACACATATACCATAGCCAGGATTTTGTTTTGCATGCAGGGTTGAGATATTGAGAATGGCGTTTAGCTGTGGAGATGCAAGGCCCTGGTAACAGGAACATCCGTACCAGCGGTTGTCTACCAGTTGCATCATTTTATGCGCCAACTTGCCGCATTTTTTAACTGCAGTGTGACGATCCCAGGATTGTGGTATGAGTTTCTGAACCTTTAAAAAAA